TTACAGCCTGTCTGTGTAGGACATTCCTTTAAGCTCTGGAATGCAGCTGGTTCCATTCTCTTCTCTGAACTGATGCCAAAGCAGTAAAATGTTTTCTATAACATACATACAGTAGTTACCAAAATTGTACACAGTATTCTAAATTAGGTCTTACTATTGCATGTTAAAGTTGTATCATATCCCTTGATTTAAATGTTATGCTTTTAATTATAAATTCTAAAATTTTCTTAACTTTTTTAATTGCTGATGTGTCAACACAAAACCAAAACACATTTATAGTTTGTTTTTAGTGCATGCATGCAATACCCTGAATTTTCTACATTAAACATTACCTGCCAGGTGTTTTCCCAGTCTTTAATTTTTATTTTTTTTTCATTACTTTGCTACTTCTACAGTGTCAGATAATCCTTCCAGTATTTGATTAGGTACTACTCCATGGCCTCAAGCCTTTTCCTTGATGCATAACCATTGGATATATGTAAAGATATTGGCTTCTACATGTTGTTTTGGTGTTGTATGCTACTGTTAAAAAATGTTACCCTGTTTTTGCTTTAATAATTTTAAGAAAGAACGAGATACCTGATTTATAAAGTGCTGAAAATATAATTCTGTCCCTTTTCCTTATACTGTTTTAATTTAGACCTTCACTTGTGTAATGCTGTTATAGTATATATTCTAATCATTCTAAGATAAAACTCTGTACTTTTTCTTCTAATGTCTTGTAGTTTTTCTTAGAAAGTCTTGTAAGCAGAATTTGTATTTATTGCTGAAAAACATTCTCAAACTACCTAGTCAAACCAGTGCAGTTCCTTACAACTGCTTCATTCATACTGAAGATTCAAATCTCTATGTAAATTCGTACAGATTTATAATGAAGTAAGTTTAGGCAATTAATTAAATGTGTTCTCTGCATGATAGTGAAATCCACAATTATGTGGATAGCTTGAGCACAAAAAAATTTACAGTCAATTATTTCTGCAAAATACTAAATATTTTAAGCAGTGTGTTTTTACAGCATATTGATGAGGTTTAATATATTAAGGCATTACTCAAACGATTGTGTCATAGCAAAGATTGCAAATATGCCCTATCAATCTGTTGGGTTTCTGTGTGCAAATTATTAATTCACTGGCAAGCAAGTGAAAAATAAAATCATGTTTGCAGTCTAAAAAAGTAATTTTAGGGAGCACTGCCTCAGCTTTGAAGGGCAAATCACAAGCTTCAAAAGCTAATACATTTCTCTGAGAAAAGATTTCTTATCCTCTGAGCCCCTCAGGGGGTAGAGACAGCAAGTTTCTGAAGTAACAAGTTAATGATCCTCACTTTGTGGCTGAAAAAGGTGATTTTACTGAAATCAATTGCACATTAGATGTCCCTTTTTATTTTTAAACATTAACAGTCCACTGTGGCTGACAGCTTTACTGACACATTAATAATGACTAGATGTTTTCAGATTTTGTTCTCTGCTGAAGTCAGAGGAACTCCTGATGCCATGTTAGGTGATAATGATGACACAGCTTATGCAGTGAAAACACCCATTGCTCATCATGATGAGTGTTTTGGTTTGACATAGTTCATCCTTTGTCTCTCATCAAAGTAATTGTAAAATGTAGCTGTAAATTACTTTGTCGTTCCCCCCCAAACAGATTTCCTGTCTGGGGATGAAGTACGTCATAGTATAGATGTGTGTGGGTTTGATTTATTTCAATACGGAATCATTACATTGTATTAGGGACTAGTAAGCATACTGTATGTACTTCTGATATGATGTAAATAAGCAAATAAACATCTGTGTAATGAAAAGCACATTGGTTAGTAGACATGCCCTGTTTTGAAAAGCTGAAAGAACTGAATCTTTCTAGTCTTGAACTATGAAATGGTGTTTAAAATCCTCAAGGGCATTGACTGTGTTAAACCAGAGTACTTTTCCAGAATTGGCAATGAAACCAATATTAGAAGGCACACATACTGTAGAACTTAAGACAGTGCATTTAAAAATGAGGAGTCACAGAAGGTTGTAGGAGTCTGGAATAAGCTACCTAGCTATATTGGCAAAGCTGATGCCCTGGCTTCTTTCAGAAAACTGCTAGGTGAGATTAAATTACCTAATAGCAACCAAAAAAGGAAGATGACATGCATTACTTTCTCTCATTTATCAATCTTATGTTTGTAAACATGAAATTAAAATCCGTTCTTTTAGTCTTTTAGTCATTTTAAATTAGGTAAAAGACTATCGGTATGCTTGCCAAAAACTTCAAATAAATTTGTTACATTCTATTATTACTCATCTCAGTGGAGAATTGCATTAAAATACCAGATTATTCTTGTGAAACTACATTTGACCTCTTTTCATATTTATAGATGTTGAACAGTTAAATGAGTATATAAATGAGATAAATTGAAGCTGAGGTGTCACATTCTGTTCTGAATGAAATTGTTTCCTCTGGCTAAAGACTTGTTGAATCTCATGGGGCTGTTCTAGAGAGCTGTTCAGAGGTGTTAAAACAACAGCTACAGGCGTGTCTGACTTGACACCCAAACTGTGTATAGAACAATAGTCATAAGTGCTGAATGAAAAACCATCAATCACTTCTGAGTTTCCTTTATTTCTGAAATTGCATTTTAAACGGCTATTACTACATTGCATTTTTGATGTCTTGGTATATAATATTTAAAAATGGTAGACCCTTCACTTGTGGCTCATGTGACTCATTTTGGCCACATTAGTCTCTTAAAACAGCTAATTTTCACCGTCCTAATCCAGTGTAACTGTTTTGATAATCCTTAGAATTTTAAGGATCTGTTCTTTAAATGTGGAATATATATCTTTTTAGATAAAGTATCAAGGTGTAATTCTTTAAACCATGTTGTTAAGCTTAAACGTAATTTTTAAGATTGCTTTGGCCTGATTCGATATTAAGAGAAGGTTCTGTAGGAGATTTTATACGTGTACAGTGTTTCATTATTAGTGAAATAAAGAACTTTCTGCAAGAATGCTGGTCTTGCAGATTCATTATAATATATTAGAATTACACATAGATATCTCCATTTTTAATGACTCTTCTGTCTGAATAGCTAGACAGTAAAGAACACTGTTTCTTTAGAATAGGCTATATGACTGCATGATTTTTTTTTATCCATTAAACCTCTGCAAATGAATATTTATTATTATTTTGGTGCATTTCTGATTAGCTTTATCTGGAGGCATCTTATTTTCTATCAGCTGGGCATATTATTTAAAGAATGCTTCTTGATTTGTCCATGTGCCATTATGTGACATTATTTGTATTTTAAAAGTTAGACAATTTCAGCAGATTTTGCCCCGTTTCTGGAGTCAGTCGTGGAGGTTAACATAGTGCATTGTTTGCACTGAAACACAGAATGCTAAGAGCAATGAGCAGTAACCCTTTTGCAATTTGTTTTGCATGCTGAAGTGCCTTTTCCATAGAGCCTTGGTGTGTCAGTGAGCAGAAAAATTACCCTTTTGACAAACGTGTATTGCCGTGAGTACTAAGTACTTAAAAAAGCTAATTATTGTTAACTCATGTGTGGCAACTAATAATTACCTTTTCATAGAATGTTAACTGATATTTGTGTAGGTTCATTATGTAAAATTCTAATTCTGAGAAGTGGATTTTTTTCATTTTGAGGCATCTTGCACACATGGGTGTCTGTTCTGAATGATGTGTATTTCAGTTGCTGTCATTATCCTGTTTACAAAAGACTTTGATGGAAAGGAAGCAAAGCATGAGCAAGCTTATTTATTCCTTTAAAAAGAATGGACTGCTCCCAGGCAATTCAATCAATACGTTTAAATTAGAATTACAGGCAATATTTATGCCCTAAGATCTCTTTGTAATCCTTGGTAGAACACCATTAAACAAGCATGAATTGAACTTTAAATCCTGATTGTGCTTTGGTTATATCAGTCTTGAAGTACTATTTAACATGAGAGGTGATCACCCTAATTTTTAATGCACAGTGATTCATGGAGCAAAGGCCTGAAACTACATTAAAGTCTGTCTGTACTTTTCTGTTTTATTTTTACTGGAGATTTGGCAAGATTTTGATCATTCTTTAACATCTAACATTGCATAATGTACAATGTTCACAGCAGAAGGGGGTTTAAGAACATCTTAAGCAACAGTTTCTTTAGAAATTCAGAAACATCTTCTGGGTTATAGGAAAAGTAAACCAGTGTTTAGTACCAATAACATGTTTCTGTAAGGTGATTAAAATGTGTAGTGGACTGAGGCAAGAGGATTTTTGTATACAGTAATACAAATTATTGAGCACCTTAGCTCAGAGTGTCAACATTATTGTTAAAGATTATTTTGTGACTTGAGCAGAGCCCATTTCTGCATAGCTGCAGAAAAAAAGACTTAAAAGAGTTTCCACTGTATAGAAGATGTTCTCTCCAGGGAATGTCCCTTAGCGCTCTTAAGTAACTAATACCTACATATAGGTAGGGAAGAGAAAATGATTTAGATCATGGCCAGTAGATAATACGTACAAGTTGAATGATAGTTGTACATGTCTGTGGTAATTCTCCAAGACACAAAGGAGTCAGCAAAATAAATTTACTGGAAAGAGCACACAGTGAAGTTTTGTTTAAAAAACAAACTATACAGTAGATTCTTAGGTTTTTTTTTTCTTTATCTGAAAATGATTCCCAGTCCTATTGTTTTTGCATCATGTCGCGTCCAGCAGGCAAAAAGACAAATAATACTGCCTGCTGCGTGCAATAAAGCTGCACATTTTATGCCTCTTCAAGATGCGGTGCTTTAAATTCAGCACATAATGCATACCGGTTTCAAAGGGAAACTTGATTTAATCTGTGTTGCTTTTTCTATTTTATGTGAACATGATGTATAGTAGGGTATGCAGGACGTCTGGAGTCTTTTGATGATTATTGCCATCATACTGGCCTTCTCTTTTTGACAGTATTTATCAAATCTGTCATCCATCCGTCTCAAATGTAGGATTTCTGGTCTCCACAGGGAGGAAGATGAGTACTCGGAGCTGCGGTCTGAGCTCAGTCAGAGCCAGCAGGAGGGCAACGAGGACGGGCGCAGTGTCGACCAGGACCAGAATTCTGTCTCCGTGCCCGAGAACCAGTCGACCATGGTCACCGCAGACATGGGTAAGGCACGACCTGTCCCCAGGCAAAAGCTATTTGACTCCATTTGACGCACAAAAGAAAAGAAACAGCACAGGCTTTGACAGAGGTGTTGCACATGACATTAAAATACTGAGGTACAAGATTTCCTGTTATGAGCCATCATGGTATTGCGCACACAGGCGTGTATTCCCCATATGCACTTAAACTGCCAGCTTTCAGATAACTAACAACTTTCTTGCAAGCTCATTTGGCACAAGCTGTTTGTACGCTTTCCCGGGAAAACCTGTAAGATATGAAAGATGCATTTGTGATTGATTCTGGCATTATGGCAACTTTGAACAAGCTGGGGGATAGTTTTACACAAGTTACATAAATTAAAGCTGTCCTTACTGTGTACCACTGTACAGCTTGGCCCCATTTGTTGAGAGTTCATGTCCAAAAAAAACTTTGTTAGTAATATAACTTTTTGTTCATGTGTTCCGCTTGAAGTGCCAGGATAGTTTCACTCTTTACGTAAAAATCCTGGTACTAACATATTGTGGGTAGGCAAGACTTCCAGCAAGATGAAAACATTTGTTTGAACCTACACCATTGGAAGAATATTAACTGAAAGTTTAGGAGAACAGGTTTTTAGAAGAAGTGTTTATTCATTGACTAGCATTTAGTTTCTAGTAATCTTTTGCTTAAAAATTGAACTCTGTGTCTGTTTGTCAGCCATACTGTATAAACAAACTGTTCCTTAAAACCATTTTCCATACACTGTAGCCCATACTTCTTGAACTATTCTGGAAAAAAGTTTAAGAAAAGCTATAAGGACTTTAATTTAGCTGACTGCTTAAGGCTTACAGCAGGATTTGGGATACTTTTTCTTACACCTTTTATAGTTCAAATATTGGAGAAAGCTAATGGTGTTTGTTTTGTTTTGGGTGTATTTTTACCACAATTGCTATTATTTTTATTTTATTTTGGAAAAGAAAAGTGAGTGGAATTGTCTTCTCCTGTTCATCTTGCTGTTCAGGAGTCTGTGTATGGCTGTGTCCATTTACCATTTTGCTCCACTGTTCTTTTTGTGTCCTAGTATGTATTGGGTGCTGTAATTTACTATTTTCTGCCATTTCTGTTCAAATGTTTTGTTTTGTTTTAAGAATTGAATGAGCTGTTCAGGCAATTTTAACGTTTAACCGTAAGCCAACGGATTTACGATTTTCTGTGCAGTAGGTGGCCAGTTTGAGAGTTTGAGGATGATTTCATACATGTTTAAATTTTGTTCTTTTAAAATGGCAGAGAAAAACACTGTTGATTTCACGGAACTTTTGGAATATTTATAATAAAGGAGTGAGAAAAAAAAAAGAAAACCAGTCTGTGAAGGTACTAGGCGATTAACATATCACACAAGAAAGGTGACTCCCAGTTAAATTTGGTCAAATCTTTATAACTGATTTTAGTCATTCTAAATCAGATAAAGAAATGTAAAAGCTATTTGACATTACACATCACTGCAGAATTAAATTATTTGTTAATTGCATGTGTCAAGTAGACGGCTTTTAAAATTACCTTGAGTCTGACTTTAGACCCTTTTGGCAAAGTTCAGTTTATGGAGAAACATCACCATGAGTAAAAACTATGATTGAGGCCTGTGTTTTAGATTTGCAGAAAATGTTTGATTGGGTAGAAAAAGGAACCACATTGTGTGGCTCTGGGGACAAAATACCTCACTTTTAACATTCCAGGTGAGCTTTGGTCCTCAGACTAAAACCCAGATTGTTATTGCTGTCAGTAGTTAGGTTCCACTCTCAATATTCTTGATTAAAATTGGTCAGTGTGTTTCAGACTGTGTACACTTAGCTACTGTGCATATTCATACAGCTTGTTTGATTGTCTGTTTTTACTGTACTGATGTAATTTGAAGAAACTTGTTGTAATTTCAAGAGCCTCTGTTTTATGTTAAGAAGGGAATTTTAAAAACATTAAAATTGATTAAGTTTCCACTGCAGCTACAACCTTCTATAAGATAGTGAGTTTAGGCTTGTGCAAGTGACAAAACATTGTTTCTTATGAACTGTAAGTAAATATATTTGCATTTAGAAGTATGCAGCTACAGGTTTGGTTGAATCAGAGGATTACATGAAATGAATATGGATACATACCTAGATCAATTCACAAGTAATGAAAGCAACTTTTTTTCCCTTAATTTAGAATCTCAAATTATTTATTATATATGCCCTCAGTTTGAAATAATTAACAATGTCTTTGACTCCTGTACTCAAGGGACGTTTGAAGAACTATAGACAGGCTCTTTTGACCCTCCCACACATGGAGCCATTCAGTAATGTGCAGGAGGTTTAGTGCAGACTCGAGGAGAGGTGCGTCCGTCAGTGAGTCACTGTTTCACCAGGAGCTGAAAGAACCCTGGCTATCTTATTTTACTTCCCACTCTACCACCAGTGACTCTGAGCCAATTGTGCCCCACTGCTGGGGCATTCCTGGTCACAGTCAGCTAATGGCATGACCCACTCTCCAACACTCAGCATCTGGGTCGTGGAGCTCAGCCAGCGCCTTTGCCACTCTGACACTCAGCAGCCCAAGAATGTAGTTCTGTTTGTTTGTCCTCTTCTTATGTGCCGTGATTACAATATACGATGATTAAAACAGATGCCACTGCATCAAGATAAGATGTGAACACACAGGCCTTCAGGAGAGAAACTGAAACTTAAAAGGTTGTGCATGCAGAACATCTTTGAAGGTTTATTGTAATCTGTTTTTGTTTTTGAACATATCTTTCTCACAGGCACCATAAATGTAGAGACTTAGTTTTAAAATTCTCTTTGAATAGATATAAATCTTATAAGTATGCAACAGAAAATGTTTTTTTCTGTTCATTTGTGAAAAATGTAGCATACTAATTATTAAATATGAAATGAATGTGGTCTTGTTTTAGTTTTGTTTTACCATCAGGCATTTAGGTAAATTAAAAGGTCTACATTTGTCTTTTTATTGAAGAAACCAAGTTAATATTTACCAACTATTTCCCCAGAAATGACTATAGGCCATTTCGTATACAGTATATTGTCATGTTTTAGACAAAACTGATTTTCTTAAACGTAACAATTGTACATTTTTGTCCTTGTCATTTGCCTCTTTAACAAAATTGATAGTTATAATTTAAAATTCTAAAATATTATGCTAATTATATATTTAATATTACTTGGAACAATTATATATAATTAATTAGTCACTTTGAGTTGTAATCCGCAATACTTGCCATTAAGTGAAAGGATATTAATTATTTCTATAACTGTTAATTTTTCCTTCATTTCACCTTTTCTCTTGACAAAAATGTTCCACGTACAATCTGATACAAAAGACTTTCTCCAAATAAAAAGACACTAAAACACAAAAGACACTTAAACCAATGCAGACAGGAAATAAGCATTAAGCATTATTAATTAGTACATCCTTTAAGAATTAAGATTGCTTTGCACTAGCATGTATCAAGGAGAAAAAAATAAACGATATTAATAAATTTGCATTTAAATAAACATAGCTTTTAGAGAAAAGTATGACAGCAAGAAAAAGATGCATATTTTATTTCACAACTCAGCTTTCAGTCCACTGGCTAATTCAGCCTTCTTAGCATTAAGACCATTTTAGTAAGTGACCATATGTACATGAAATGAAGAACTGACTTCTGTATGTCAGCAAAACCTCAGCACATCAGGAGCAGGGATCAGATCTGTACAAATAAACAGCAGGCCTTTCACAGCAGAAAAAAAAAATTCATGTCCAGCATCATCATTCCTAACACCTGCATAGACCCATGTATTCTTTAAAAACGGTCATGTTCCCTAATAAGAGATTCATACCAATTCAAACTCAAATCCTAGTTTTTCACTGAGGATGTTCATTTCATTTGCAGACACTGTTTAGCCCTGTAGCAAGGTCAGAGACAGAGGTGGAACCCTTGGCTTTCATTGGGCACCATCTGTCTCCAGCTACAACTTCCTTCTGGCCTTACCAAAAGATTCAGCACAAGGGAAATGGCCCTGGGTCTTTCTCGAAAGCAAGCCTTAATACATGCATAACTGTTCTACATTAGTCTGTGGTTTATTTTTAGCTAAATATTGATTGTTTTTTGTAATCTGTTTGCTTTTAATTTGCGAATGCCCACATTATAACACTTGAAAAAAGACCAGGATTGCATTAGAAACATAGACCCACTGTTCAAGTTGCAAATTCCCATCTGTTGTTTTATTAGATAAAAAGGACCTTGAAAGAGGTCATGTTCGGGGTTTGTAATATTTACGTGGAACAGTAGGTGGGTTGATATCATGCTGTAATCCAGACCTACAGTTCGCAAAGCAAACAGCTGAGGTGAAGTCAGTTGGTGTGTTTGACCTCTGGTTACAAATATATTTCATTTTCATTTCCCGTTCAGCGCAAGAGAGCTAACTGCCACTAGTGGTGACGTTTTTCGAGTAACAGTGGGGGGAAGATGATGCTAGGCGATTTAGCCAATCGGTCTTTCCTTTCATACTTTCCTGATGCTTGTCTGTACTGTTCAGACCGTTTTGCAGCAAACAAGCTCGCCGTCGTGCAGGTGCTTTCGGCTGGAGAGCGAGAGTGCACAGGCCCGACGGGTGTTTTGCTGTCACCCCAGATAACTGTAGTGACCTGAACTCGGAGCTGCAGAGGGTGCTGACGGGGCTGGAGAGCGTGGTGTGCGGCCGGAAGAAGAGCAGCTGTAGCCTCTCTGTGGCAGACGTGGACCGGCACATTGAGCAGCTGACCACTGCCAGCGAGCACTGTGACCTGGCCATTAAGGTACCAGCCGCCGTCATTGTACTCCCTACATGTGCACAGGATGTTGGCGAGCGTCCTTCAGAAAAAATATATCGCTTGCTGGTTTTCCATAATGGTCAGTTTGTGAGCTCTTTGAGATTTTTTTTATTTGACTTAATATGTTGAACCAGCTAGACATAAAAGCTGTGATTCTCAATGGCTTTTGAAAACAAATGTGTTTCAGGGAAGCTTAGCGCGTGTTTGGTTTGTGTTCTAGACCTCCGGTGTCTGCTTTTCCTCTGCATTCTTGTTTTGTAACTTAGACATGCAAATCTGTAAAACATATGCCTTTCTGAAACAGTCCTAGTGAGATGCTGCCACAGTTGAGCAAGCTGTGTGCAGTCAGGCTTTTGTTTTCAGCACATCAATATTTCCAAGCTTTCCTAGGGAAAAAGGCTGCTGACAAAGAAGCAGTTTCTCTGAAAAAAATAACCTAAACTCAGCTTTTTTTCCCCAATCGAAATTTTGTGGCCCCTCAATCATAATCTACTTGCCAGTGCTGTCGCAGTAGTGTTTGGAAATAGCCAAGTAATGCCTTCTTGATTGACGAATACCAGGCAGACCTTGAATAGATTGCTCACTGTTTTGTGAGAAACTGATAAATGGAATACAAATTGATGCTGTGAAAGAAATTATTTATTACAGGAATGTGGGCTGCTAGTTTTAAGTAAAAAATAAAGCGTACAAAGCCAGTGACCTAAACCTATGGCAAATGCATCTTGCAATACTTTTGGTAATTGTGAATGATAAGAAAGTACAGCATGCATAAAATAATTGGCATACAGTACATGGAAAAAAAATACTTTGTTGCAGATTTTGATTAAACTATATTTAACATTTATGTACATCGATGGGAGGGATGCAGAAAAATATTTTTTCCAGTGTTGGCATAGAGAATAAAAGCTGAGAACTCAGTTTAGAACATAATAAAAATTTCAAATGCAAGGAGGCCATTTGGCCCATGTGGATTGTTTGGTTGCCAACAACTAATTGATCTAATGATCTCATTTAGCTGCTTATTCAGACACCCACAACTCTTTGTGTAAATAAGCATCCCCCGATCTCCCATTTACCAAAATTATATTCTATTTTTAGTTCTTCTTGGTGAACTGTATACTTTGAACTATATATCCTTGCATTATTTAGAATTTATTTTGGTTGACACTTTTATCCATTCATACACATTCATACAGCAGTCTAATAATGGCTTATTTAAAAGAATTGTTAAAAAACTGAAAAGCTCAGAACAACACCACATGCATAATACACAAAACCAACATAAAAGAAACAAAAGAGCACAGTACATTGTTCCAATACAGCCATGAATATTGCTAAATTATACATTAAAATCTAAACTGAAAATATATGTGTTTGAGCAAACATTTAAAATGTAGACACTTTCAAATTCTCTAATGGACTTAGGAAATCAGTTCTACACATTGTGGTGCTTCATAATTCATTGTTTGAAGGCTGGTCTTCCGTAGAATATGAATGCTTGTAGAACAGAAAGTGAGCGCAATTTAAAAGGGGAATGACCATACTCTCCAATGTTTTTTTTTTTAATTTCAAGTCAGAGCAGTTTGTATTTGTGATCATTAAGCTTAAAATGAGGAAGTATAATATCCTTTTTGTTTTTAAGTAATTCTATACATGTGATCATATTAGAATTAATTGTGTTCAACCTGGCGATTTCAAGTGAACAGAAGTATTGGAACACTTTCACTTTATGTAAATTTTAGAGTGTCAGTATTTGGTTGCATATCATTTCTAATGCGAATTAAGTTTAACACTGCCTTGTACATCATTTTGTGGCCCTGTGATCAGAGCTCATCTCGTATGCCAACCATGGCTTCTGCTCAGTAATAAGGGTATGTATTCAGTGTTCCCACTGGCCATGTAAAGAATTGCTTAAAACAGCATAGAGGGTATGCTGATCAAATGTATAGGTGAAATCCTTCCTCGGGGTAAATGGAAAGTGAGAGACACTTCTTTGTTAATCATATTGGCAGCATGCAGTCCTCGTCTTCATTAACTAGAGCAGTATGAAATAGAGGTCTGCTATATCTTTACTCCCCGAGTACATTAAATCCTAATCCAATTAGCCTTTGTTATGATACAGCAAATACTTAGCTCTGAAGGGTAGATTATTGGGGAAAGAGCAGGCAGCAAACCGGTTCTAATCCTTCTTAAAGTGAGCCCAGATAATAAAGATTATTCAGCAATATTTAAGTGTAGAGGGGGGTCAGATGTAGATGTTGTGTACAGGGTTGCCAACTTTTGTAAATTTATGGGCAGTCAGTAGAAAATGTCCAAATTTAACGTGGTCTTAAATCAATTTACTGCAAAGTTGTCTGTTCATTTTTCTGAAAATAAGGAATACTTTAATAATGAAACAGTTAACCGGTGTTCATCACAATTAACAATTACCAGGTGTTCATTTAATTAGCAAAGTGCTGCCGAGCACCATGTGTCAACTCTTCCTGTCTGAGAGGATAATTCTGCCATCATCATGAGCCTCATTGGACCATGGTCTCCTTCCCCAGCCTCCAGTTGCTGTTTAAATTATGCCAAATCTTTATATCTGAAATGTCTATCTAGCAAAATAGCATAGACCGAGGGTGAAAAGCACAACTGTCTCCTAGAATACATAAAACGCTGGGTTTGAAAAACCCACCAAGTCTGTAACAAAATTAAGCCGCATATCTGTTAATACAGTTGTGATGCTCGCATCATGTTTAAAGCTGACAGTCATCCAATGATCAATGCAGTATTAAAAAGTGTTTTAGAAATTGTCTTCAGATACAGAATTATATTTGTTTTATATAGTGTTTGACCAAGTTTGTAACAAGCTTTGCATTCTTTTTACATTTGAAAACTTCTTTCTTGTTGGTTTATAAGTGAGTTCATCATAAATAATTAAAATACAAAGGATATAACCTGCACATTTTTGAAGAACACTGTACTATATAGAGAGCTTTATATGTAGCCACCATGTGTTGCCTTTACGGTCAGCATCATCATTTTTTTACTGTATTGGAGATAAAACTCCCACACCTTAATACTGAAAGTGAGAATAGACTGGTGGACAGTACTGTTTACTGGTGGATTGGCAGCCATTCTCTCATCCGTGCAGACGGTGGAAGAGATCGAGGGAGCGCTGGGCAGGGATTTCTATCCCAGCCTGGCTGAGGAAAGGTCACGCTGGGAGAAGGAGCTGGCGGGCCTGAGGGAAGAAAACGAGAGCCTGACAGCAATGCTGTGCAGCAAGGAAGAAGACCTCAACCGGACAAAGGCGACAATGAACGCCATCCGCGAGGAGAGGGACCGCCTCAGGAGACGGGTGAGTCCAGTGATGGAAATAGCCTTCCTGCCATTGTCCGCAAGGCAGCACCTACATCCCACTGCAGCGTTTGTCTGATCAGAAGGAATGTTCGCCCACAGACAGGATGAAAGCGTAAGTGTCAGGCATCACCAGCACTGCCTGGGACAGCTGTATGACCTGTAGACGGTTGATGCTTTTCTTTATTAAATGTCTTACCAGAGGAAGATATCAAATAAAACATAGAAATGAAATACTGCTTTTTTGTTTTAAGCGTTGACTTCTTTTTGCCCTCTTGAACTCTCCGAAGCATCTCTTTCATTTATTTTAAGCAGGTTTGTGGTTTATGTTATGCAAAGAGAGATACACGGTCATTCCTTTTGTCATGGAAAAACAAATGTGGAGATTTGAACATCTCTGCCAAATTTGCAAATGACTATATTTTCAGGTAGTCAAAATTAAAATGTATTTTTAATCACCCAACCAAAAAACGTAAGTGGTTATAAATGAGAGAACCCAGTTGGTTAAGGATCTTACCCTGACTTATTTCAATAAATGATTGGATATCGGCTTGAACAGCATGGCTGGGTAACTTATTCCATATTCCCACAACTATCTTTGTTACCCATTGATTGTGTTGTCTGTTGGTTGTGAGAATTAGGTTTTCTTTTTACAGTTCTGAAAAAAAATTTACGAACTCCTCAGGTTGGTCGACATTCTTGTATGTTTAAGAGCACAAATATAATTAGGTCTTTGTGAAACTCCTAATGAAAAATAACATGATAGACATGTGACAAAGACATGATATAGTCACAGTAAATATCCTCATAAGAATAAGTCGAGAACCCGTAGAATCAGTAGCTGGTGCCATTGTGAGCCGCAAGAATTTCAGCTAGACTTTCCTCATAACCATTTATAGGTCTCTTACATGGACTTTTATGAAACAAATTCTGTTACCTTTGAATTTGAGAGCTTCCTTGCATAAACAGCTCATTTCAGGTCCTGCCATAATATTTCACTTGACCAGTCTAAAATACAAAACTTTTTCTTCTTCATGCATTCTGCTTGTATATTTAAGAGCATTGTCTTTAAATTTAATTGTCTTGCTGCATGATGATTTTTTGTCGCAGTTCAGCTGACAATTGGATGACCTGACATGTTAGCTGATACAGGACTAAATTCATTCAGTCAGCAAAGTAGCCCCAAAACATGGTGGGAATATCATCATGCTCCACAGTCAGGATGAGGTGCTTCTGTTGGAAGACAGTGTATTGTCTTTCTCCAAATATGTAAATATTATACAATGCAGAGAAAAAGTCTTGCGTACACCAAAGAGTACCTGAATGATTACTGAGGCTACTGGAAGAATTGTCTCTGGACAGATGAGTGAAAAGCTAAATTGTCCATAATGAGAACTGTTTTGTGAGGTGAAAATCAAACATTGTCTTCCAGCAAGAAAACAACACCCTCACTGTCAAGTGTGAGGGTGGGAGTATCGGGATTTAGGGCTTTTTGATTTTTAAATGCATTTCTTTTTAGCTTTTGCTTTGGATTTAATTTGTAATGAATTACTTTCTGAGACTAGAAGGACTTGTAGATGACTGAATCAATACATCTTTCACTTTCAGACACATAATCAGATTTTGTGTACTCCGAAGGCTTTCTGAAGCTTATTAGAGATTTAATAAAATTAGACATTTAATACATTCAGTAGCTGATCTCTGCTGTTAACAGGCCTTTTGGGTTTTCGGGCGAACAGTAGCTTAGAAACAGCATGTACAGGGACATTCAGACACTGCACAAAATAATTTTACTTTAGAAAGGATTTAGAAAAAAAACTATTCAGTTGTAGAAAATAAATGTCAAGTATGTTCGATTTTAGCTTGTTGTAATGGAATTAGATTTCTCAACATCGTCATGCTCTTATTCACTATTATAAAAAACTGTTGACATAAAAAGTCTTTTAATCTTTTCTTGGTTGCACGGAAAGATCTGTTGCCATGCTTTCAATGTGCAGCTCTCATGCTGTTAATCGAAATAAAAGAGGTTAAGTACACTACATTTGGCTGTGAAATATGACCTCTTGTACTCTTTCAAAGAATTTGCCTGGTTATCTTTCTTGATGCAAACGGAGGTGAGTTGACCTCAGGAGGGGTGAAAAGGGGGAAAAAGTGGGAGAATGTATTGCTTCCCTAGTTATCCTTTTAAGTTATATGCAAATAGAATGAAGTGAATAGAATACAAAAGAAACCCTTTAATGCTTATTTTCAAATGTTTGCTTATGAAGTGCTTAAAAGTTTTTAAAGGTCTGTTTAACTTTAATTATTATAAATCAAAGTCATGCACACATTTGCTCCACGTTCCCTTTCCTGTAGGTTTACTTCTGTTTCTTTGAATAAGATTGGTTCACAGCATAAATATAAGCAGAGCTGCAAAGTACTGTATTCTTTTTGAACACACTTGACCTCTTTAGCCACTAATACTAGAATTATGTTTCTCAGTGACAAACTTGAACCAATACTTTAGAAAGTTGTCATAATAAATTGTCTCTAAATGAGACTTTTATCTAATCTGTCCAGAACAAAACAAACCCTTCACGTGTCTGCCCCAAGGACAATGACATACTGTATCAAAATTATTTACAGAAATTGACAGGTCTGTTGTTTTCTCTAGTTCAAAAGTTAAAGTTCCTCTGTGTAACTTCTTTACAAGGATGAAGTACAATGTGAGTAGTAAATACATTGGACTAACTACATCAGAGGTATTTTTTGTACTAGTTTGTCACAGTATTAAAAATATTGTTTACTTTTTAATTTATGCTATAAAGATCAGGAATTAAACCTGTCAATAAGATCACATGTAAAAAAACAATTACATTTTACTATCACCAAGAGACGCAGTGTTTGTGAACAGACCCAATATGCAAGTGAATATAAGAAAAAGAAACTTGTTAAAAGAAGTACTGTTGCACTTTTTGATTGTTGGAAAACGTTAGTGTTCAAACACATTTAGATTTCAATTGGGAAAAACTTTTTTCACAAGGAAAATGGGAATTTTATGTATTTTAAACTAGAATATCAATTCAACCTTGAAGTGTTCCTTTTATTCTTCAGTGGTTTAAAGGTCCGTGTCCTTTAAGAGAAGTTTTGCAAGTAGATGGATGAATAGACAAATGGCAAGCTAGAACAATAGACTATCAAACTGACAGATTGATAGGTATAGTTGTTTGGCGTCAGAGGAATTAGTTGACCAATCAAAATAGGATAAATTCTAGTGCAGAAGAATTTTAATTTGACTTAAACTCTTTAACCAAAATCTGTCTAATTGGTCACAGATCTACCCCAGAGAAAAAGGAAATTACAGAGTAGGACCTTATTTCTTTCATTAGTGACCTTAGCTGGCTCTTTCCTGTGCAAGCCTGTGATTTTCATTCTTTCTCAAAGGAGGGCTGCTGGGGGTGTTTCCTTATTGCTGGGCTGGAGCCCTTTGTCTTCTCAAAAGTTATTACTGTGCCTGAGAGAGCTACAATTTGTTTGGCAATTGATATCCTGTGTGTCCCTAGAAAATAGGTAGTCAGGAAGTCAGTACCAAACCCAATTTCTGAACTTAGTGCTTCGTGTTTTCAGCAGTGTATAGGGAATTTTCTGTAGCAAAATATACAAGCATGAGTTGATTTAGCTACCATATTTTTATTACTGGTGATTGTTTAGTGATGTTGATAAACTGTAAATCGTTAAGGTGTTTGGAGTTAATAAAAACTACCCTAATAACAAATTCTGGCATTAAATGTTTATATGTTAATGAGGTAACATCTCCATAATAAGTGTAAGTTAGCTGTCTGATCTGATATTATATATTATTATTGAGTCTATGTTCATTTAATGTATGGTATTGGCTTATATTTTATGTTTTATGTAAGGGACGTTGAATGAATGTGCTCCCTTATGTGACCAAACCTTTTCTCGTGTCCCTACTTTTATGAAAGCGGAGATCTTGGGCAAATTCTGTTTTCTTCTTTTTCCCTATTCAAACTGTTCGTAATGGCTGATCTAGCAGCATAACCTTTTTTCTGAATCCTTGCCATTACCATGTGTAGGTAGCAGTTTTGTGTGAGCAGTATGAGAACAGTAGGAGACAGAAAATCAGTTTCAGGTGATGAGCGCCTTTGCTTTTCAGGTACGGGAACTGCAGACCCGCCTACAGAGTGTTCAGGCTTCTGGTCCCTCCAGCCCAGGGAGACTAACACCAGCCAACCGCCCCATCAACCCCAGCACTGGAGAGCTCAGCACCAGCAGCAGCAGCAATGACATTCCCATCGCCAAGGTAATATGGACTTCGGTGTGCAATCAAATTAATCTTCAAAGTAGCTCTTATTCTGTACAGCTGCAGTTATGTAGGCAATAACTTCTAGAGCCCCTTGGGATCTCAAGAAATTCCCCATCACCTTATACTGCAGGACTGAATGGCAGTACACTTATTATAAAAGTTGTTGCAGGCCTTACAAGATCTCCCTGCTCTTCTGAACAGTATCTAAACGTTTGAGAAAGAGCTGCATCTCTACCCAACTCTACATACCCACTCCTCTATAACACACAGAGGCAGACTGAGGCAGGTGTTGGCAGCGTTATTTTTTTGTTAATTTTATTTTGTTTTATTTTTATTTTGATAGGTTGCAGAACGAGTTAAACTCTCCAAAACAAGGTCAGAGTCTTCCTCCTCAGACAGGCCAGTTCTGGGCTCGGAAATCAGCAGTATAGGGGTAAGAAATGACAAGCAATTTCCACGGGACCGTGAATTGGCCTTTTCGATCAATCAATTGTTTTTTATTAGCTCAGCAGACTACAGGGAAGAAAGGTCAGGACTCAGGCAGAAACATGTCACCCATCCTGATGTGATCTCACTCTGGATTGCAATTGAAGACTACCATCTTTATGACATAACATGACTACTCTTATTTATTTTTGTCAAGGTGAAAAAAATAAAACCCACTGGAATGATACTTCTGTTCATCACATTATGTATCAATAGATTCAGCTTCTTCTTTGATAATTTACAGTATGTGAATGTTATACAAGGCCACCAGTGACCGTCATAGGAGTTTCTTTTGTGTATCTGAAACAAAATCAATTTTAAAGATTTTGATACCATTATGACCATCAGCATTGCTACCAAATGTGCAACATGATACACATCACTAACCCTTTTAGAAAGATGAAATCCAGATCTTACCAAGGCTGCTCAGACATAATTTATATGAAACCAGTTAAGAATTGTGCAATACAGCTGTACTTTAAAAGCAGTCTCTGTTAAAATGTAGGACATTATTTTAACAAATATTAAAGGATTATTGCTCTCATGAAGCAACTCAATTGTTTAATGCTGATCCAGGACACGTAATGCAATCTCCGGATTTTATTTGAGGCTGGATTATCTCTTTTCCTCTGTATAATTATGATCAAATCTTTAAACTTGACTTATTTCAAGTCCACTGGTTCTTGAGATTTACTATTGAAGTGCATCAACTGTTTTGTGCAGTTAAATTTCTATGATTGGAGATTCTTGTGCATTTGATCTTATATTGATGTGGTTTCCAATCAAAATTTCTTAGCAAAAGATATAACTTATATGTGAAACATAGAGGCATCTAGAAATAAAAGTTAAATCTTTGACAGTCTTTTCTATATTAAACAAGTTTAATTTATATACATTTGTCAGATCTTTACTATGCAGTTTGATCATTCCATGTTTTTCCACATTTAAACTCCCACTTCTTGGTTGGCAGCTTTTGTTTGAATATGTACTAAAACATTTTATATTGTATGCAATGTAAACATTTAAGAATATACACTTTAAAAAGTTATTTTTTATTTATTTTATTGAGATTCATTCTTTTATTCTTACTGAACTTAAGGTGTAAGTAATACAAACAGGCATGAAACCCGTCTATTGCAGCCAGGTTGAGAACAGGGCTCTTCAATGGCAAATGGGATTTTGAATGTGGTGATGCCATCGGCTGCAGTACCATGTGATTGTGGAAAATGGACTCTGGGATTTTGCACATTGCCCTACTCATTTGAGCATGGACACATTGGGATGAACTCTGGGATCCTTTGGGATGAAAGAAGCTATATAAATGCAAGAAATAATTGTAATTATTTTTATTTTTCCTTAAAATTCCCCCACAAATCTGACTCATAGCTGAAGATGCTGAAGCGGTTGTTTCCTAGAAACCCTTGAATGTGTAACAAACGCCACTTTTAAACTGAGGACCTGCAGCGACCTTTTGTGTGAAACTACAAATACAATAAAACAAGTATTTACCGCTCTTTAGCCAGATCACATCAGGATAAACAAACTAAGCTAGGCTGGACCCGCTCAGTACTAGGAGACTGGCAGACAAAGGAAAATCATGATGCTGCTGTGGTGATGGTGGACCAGCAGGTGTTACGTTTCCTTAAAAAGCAGAATTTCCAAAACCAATGCTACTATATGGCAAGCTGTACTACAGGAGGTACCTTTCTGTGGATAAAATCTTAAACCGTTTTCTGAGTATTTGATTGGCACCGATCCCATGACTGGTTTTAAGCCCCGGTGTCCTGACTAAGTTTCACTGTTGGTTTGCACAATGGTTTTCTTAATGTACCCCCTTAATCGAATTGATAAAGCAGTCTTTCACTTATTTGCTGTGTAGTACATATACCTGCCATGCAGCATTCAGGCACGTGTAGCCCTTTGGTGGTGGATAAAGTGGGTCACCCCCTATAATCATGTAAATTTAGATGTATTATTAATAATAATATGCAACAAGTGTATATTCTTGTTATATTGTAATTATTGTTCCAATGGCAACAGCTTGCGTAAAAAACACCTTCTACTACTATTGAGAAGTACCAAATGAATGTAGATAAAGGTTTGCATCCACAGCTGCAAAATCATTATTGACGGAGAGTGGGATTCATTGTTTAATTTAGAGTGTAAAAAAACACAGAACCCTCATAGTCGCTGGCAGAATGCTGTTTTTGGCCTTCTGATCACAGTTTGGGTCGGAACCTCACTGTGAATATGCGGAAAGATGGAACTAATTGTTAATCTTCCTTCTGCGGGCATGACATACTGTACTAAGTAATCAAAACTCAATGTCTGCTTAATGTATCTGAAAAATTATTTGTTAGGACTCCAGGAAGTAAGGGAGTCTCCATAAAATAACTTGCATAAAATGCAATGATTGCTTCACTACTGTTAATAACAGAGCCCCTTCAGAGCTGAGAATATTTAGAAATGTTTTTTATATTTTCCTGAAATGTACCATTTCTGTGCATGATCAGGACAAATTGGACAGGTTTCATTTGGGTAATGGTTACAATGAATTCTGCTTTTATATTGCAAAATACCAATAGGTTCTGTGCTGCAGCACTGTTTACTGGCCAGATTAACTGTTGTGTTTATTTGTGCAGGTGTCCAGTAGCGTAGCAGAGCACTTGGCTCACTCCTTACAAGACTGTTCTAACATCCAGGAAATCTTCCAGACGCTCTACTCACACGGTTCTGCGATCTCGGAGAACAAGATCCGCGAGTTCGAAGTGGAAACTGAAAGGCTGAACAGGTGGGCTCATCAGTGAGATAACTGTCAAGCCATTATGTGGCTCACTGTTATATGCACAGTGTATTATAACAGGCAATAAGGATATAATCAGGATTTTTACCAGGGCAGATATTCTAGACTACTTTAAAACATCTGTCCAGATGTACTATTTTAGCGTATTTTAAAGGTATTCATTAGTCTGTAACTGTAAACCCTGTGAATAACATCATAAGAAATCACATTCTTTTTTTGTACTGTACTGTATCTATGGGTATCTCTGTGCTATGAGCTTGTACTCATAAATGTTTTGCTTTTCAGCCGAATTGAACACTTAAAGTCGCAGAATGACTTGCTAACAATCACACTAGAAGAATGCAAGAGCAATGCAGAGAGAATGAGCATGCTTGTGGGGAAATACGAGTCTAACGCCACAGCTCTCAGGCTTGCCTTGCAGTACAGGTCAGTATCCAGCACTTCTCTCTTGCTCCTTTGAAGCAAACAGCTTGAAACATTTTATCCTGTAGCATTGTCATTGAGTGTCAGTGTAAGTGCAACAGCATACTGTATGTTGAGCGTAAAATTAGTGAAGGACTGAAGATAGGAACCTCTTCAAATTTGTTATCCAGGAAGTCCTGTTTTAAATAAAGGTTACTTTGATATGGCAGGCTTTATATAGCAATTATTTACTGTAACCGAGGTAATGGGCATTGCAAATCTCTGTCTGAATGCCACCCCTGCATAGTCTTTGCAAGATAAGAAGGTGATGAATAGGCTAGCTTTTATCTTCAATTAGGACATGGTAATGGACAGATTGTGATCCAGCTTGTTTTATTGATGGATTTATTTAAAGGCACTCTACAAAGTCTTGCTTTGGAAATGCATGTTTGTCAAACAGGTCATTGCTTCATACCAAATAGAGGTGAAGTGAGTTCTTGCATGTAAATGAACAGAGCATCTTCCTCGCCAAGGACTTGAGCACAATAATATAGAACCAAAATGGCATTTACCCACAGGGACCTTACGTTTCCTGGTGACTCAGTTTCTGTTATTGAATAACTAATATGTATTTAGTGTTTAATAATATATGTTTATTCTTAAGATTTGTGTTACTTTTTTCACTGTTTAAGGTGAACATAAGACATTTGAGAACTATTTTACGTTATTTTATAGTGAGGTTGCTTTGGATTTCCTGAATATGGAAAAGGTCAGGGATTAGTACTAGTTTTTAGCAAAGCATGTGCTTTGCCTTGTGTGCTGAAAAAATGCATATTGTTTTTACATATTGCCTTAAGATAACTGTCCAGCTACAGAATACAGTATCTTTCCTTTCTAATGAGACGTTGTCTTGTATAAGATCAAGGTAACTTCAGAAACATGAGGATGTATTATTTGTTGGGCTTTGTGGTTCCTGCTCTGCCAGCATGTTTCCTCTTAGCCTGTGGGGAAGGAGGAAAAAGCAACGCACTTGCCTGTAACAGAACCTTGCAAAGTTCCAGCAGTTAATCATTCTGTGGGGCATTGGAAAAAGATGAAACATTTTCTTTGAAAACAAAGAAAACACATTTTCTTCCAAGATGGCAGAGAAGTGTTGACTTAGGTAGCAGCCTAGTTCTGCCATGTTAAAAAATGAATGTGCTGTGTAGACTTATGATTCTGTTATTACCATTTTTTTATACTTTACACAATAAAAGTCACAAACGTGTGTGTTGTTTTCATATTTATTCATAATGTTCAGAGAACTAGTCTTATCACAGTTTGGAAATCCCTTTTTCAACCTTGATTCAAATGCCCTTTAATTATGTTCCTTGTGAAAGTTTGATGAAATGGCAGTATTTGGTTTTGCTAAGTGGGTGCAGAAGGGTCGTGCATTCCTCTGCAGTGAGCTGTCATCAGCATGTGCTTTTTCACTGAAGTTTGCCATTTGTTTGCAGTGAGCAGTGCATTGAAGCCTACGAGTTACTTCTTGCCCTGGCGGAAAGCGAACAGTCTCTCATTCTAGGCCAGTTCAGAGCTGCAGGCGTTGGGTCTGTAGGTAAGTAATGAGTGATTCAGAGTCTCTCCTTGTGTGCTCTAATCGAAAGAGCATAATTTGGTTGCGCTGGTTTTTAATCATGACTGTTATTTCCTTATAATCCTATGACCTCACATTGAACCTGTTCAGGACAGATGGATCAAAGAAGAAATATAAAAACTGGCAGTGACTTTGAAGAGTAATTATTCCCATGCGAGTGCTGAACCATGGGTTCTGTAAAGTCACCGTGTTATCATCATGTTGTTCTGTTAGAAGTTTGATGTCTAGAAATAAAATATTTTGATAACTTGAAAATCTAACAGTTCATTCATTTAATAGGTTTAGTTGGGCTCTTATTATTTTCAAAAAGAGTTTGTCAAGGAATGCCTGTCCTTTTAATTAAAAATCTATTTTCCATGCCATAAATATTCTAAAAATCTCATTTAAAAATGTAAACAAAGAACATAAGAACATGAGAAAGGCTATTCGTGACATCTGTCATGTTTATTAGCAGGCAATTGATCTGAGGCTGTCAGCTGAGGATGTCATTTTATTTAAAGAAAACCCTCAGCAGCAGAGCTGGGACCATAGCTGGCTCCACTCCCACAACAGTCTGTGTGAAGAGGTTCCTCCTGTGTACATGTTAAGAACAGTTGCATGAAGTTACTCTTTGTGTTCTGTTCATTCTGAAGAAGCCCGTTTTGTAGATTTATATGTGCATATTTCTAGGCCAAGGAATATTTCTGTTTCTTTTCCTCTGGAGTGGTTCAAGTGATGATATATCCTAGCATTTTGTTTGCCTCATATTATTTCACTTCACATTTCATTGTCTAGAAAATGTAAAAGAAGTCAAACATTATCAAATAAACACCACCGTCTTTTTAATAAGTGGCCTCTTCGAGCTCAGAGTTCTTGATTTTTTTATGTGTATTTCATCTTTTGCTACCCTCATGTAACATTCAGCACTTGTCTGTAAAACATTATCGGGCTGCTGTTTGTCCAGACCTTTCTATATTCTTTTCAATTTTATCTGCTGCCTCTGCAGCTTTTGTTGATCCTCAATTTTTGGTATTGTCTGCAAAGTTGACTAGTTTATGGACTATTCCAGAACATCCTAGTACAGATCCTTGTTGTACTCCACTAATTACACATTGAGCACTCCAACACCTTTGATTAATCTTTTGATTCATAGTCTGTTGGATTTTATACACGACTGACCATTTGCAAGCAAACTTAGAACTAAGAAACAGACAGAATTAAGCAAACAACAGGAGTCTCTTAAGTTTTATTGACAGATATTAGATTTTGTTGCAAGTATGTCTGTGGGTGAAAACAAAATTTGGGCCTGTTTGAGGGCTGGTGCCCTTCTGCATGTCCTACATTGTTAGATGAGCAAACAATACCAATAGATATACAGTTCATTGTCCCTGATGTGTGACCTTAATGTTATGATTATTATAATTTGTGTTTTAATAGTCTTGTCAGAATCACAGGACATGTTTGTGTTCGGGGAAAAAAGTTTCAGACAACAGAGATTCAAAAAAGAAGGGAAGATGGTTATGTTCTGTATATATTAGAGTTACAGGGCAAATGAAACACTCAACACCTGTTCAGAGTAGGCTCTAAACGTATACTTTATAGCCATTATGTTGAGTGTACTTACGCCTTATATTGAGAAGATCCAGATTCCACAGCTAGTTCATCTTGAGATAGCATTAAGATATCTCAGTAAGATAATGACCCCTGTGCTCATGAACGAGAAGCACTCCATCATCTTTATAAATGCTGATTAACTCTGCACGCCTCATTGTCTGCTTAACTGTGATAGAAGCATAACTCTCGGCCTCGTTTGGGTAAACTAGGAGACCAGACGGGAGATGAAAACATTACCCAAATCCTAAAGAGGGCGCACGACTGTAGGAAAACAGCAGAGAACGCCGCCAAAGCTCTCCTCATGAAGCTGGATGGGAGCTGTGGGGGGGCATTTGCTGTGACAGGCTGCAGTGTTCAGCCCTGGGAAAGCCTGTCCTCGAATAGCCACACCAGGTGAGCCAAGCAGACCGACTCCCTCGTTTTCTCTTGGGTGCTAACATTCTTGTGTTCATCTAGGGGAGGCAGAGGCCTTCGGTCAGGCAGGCCGTCTCCTGCGCCGTGTTCCTCACTTGCAAGCTACTAGCATTAAGTCAGGTCTGATGTCATGTAAGAAGTCTTTTTACTCTCTTTTATTCCACATTCTATGAGCTTAACTGAATCTACCAAGCTTGGTTCACCTGAGTTGTGAGAGAGAAGGTAATTTTACTGTCTACCACATTCAAACATGGCCTTGCTTATCATCTCTTTATACGTGTGCCTGTGGTTGTACAAGTGCAAATCTGTCATAATTTATTAATATTTTTTCAATCTTCTGGAAGTGTTTAGTGTTCATTCGGACACAGCAGTAAAAGCAATGTGAACAGCATTTTCTTTTGCCAGTGGGATAAATTCAGCAACAAACACGGTACTTCCATTGCCTCCCCTGGTGAGCCGATGTTGACACCTGCCAACCCACTGTGGATGTAGTAAAATGTTGCAATTAAGTCTGCGGAGTAGAAAATGCGTGGTTGTTAAAATTGAAAATTTACCCTAAAAGACTAAGATATGCAAGATATTGATGTTAGTTATAGTTTTACAACGATTAAAAATGCAGTAGGAAATTACATATTTATGCCTTAACATGTTAAGTAGGTGAAATAAGAGGAAGTAGAATAAATGTAGCTTCATTCTCTCATTATATAGTAGCAACATTCCATTTATACAGCTGATATTTCATATAGTATATCCTGATTAGATCTTTTAGGTCATTAGTATACAATACAAATCCTGTACAATATTTAGGTTTAGACTAATTAAGCTTGGAATAAATATGATGATAAAAATGAATGCTTTTATCCCCATTGTAAATTATTGCAGTGAAGTTTCTGAGGCATGTATGTACTGTATACTCACCTTGAAATGTTTAAACTCTAAACAAACTGCTGTATACTGTACATTTATAAGATGTATTTTTCTAAATGTGAGAAATATATTTACAACAGCTTTTCCAATCCCTTTGCCTTGCAAATCGGTAATAATTTATTTTCCAACATACCTTTGCCTTTTCTCATACAATAATTATACATTCTCTTAGTTCAAAGTATTTTCCAGTAGAACAGAGCAGAAATGTGCTTAATAAGATCAACATACAAAATATGAATAGTAATCAGTATGTTTTACTCATCAAAATGGAACTGTGCTTAGTTTGAAGGAGAGAAAATATTTAAGCTTGCAATACCTAATTATTCCTGGGCTTTGGGCTTGAAACAGCAGTCCCCAAACAATCCTCAAGCTATGTCCTGTTACTTGATATGCTAATAAGGATGAAGGTTTTCAAAACTGCTGTCAAATTGGTACATTCTTTTTCTGTTTTTGAGGCTGAAGGGGATCATTTTTCACAGCTATATTGTTTTAATTAGATGATATACAATAAGTAAAAATTACAGCAAAATATTCAGCAAACTTTTTTTGCCCTTGAAGATATTTCTATTGTTTTGGTGCCTTAAAACACAGAAACAATAAACATGATCACTGTTGCAAATTTGAACAAATTGTAGCTCCTAGTATGTCATTAGCATTAAAAGTAACATATTAATTTTACAAATTACATTCAGATCCTCGGGTTAGTCCTACTTAAATCCTCCTTTGAATTCCTGTTGCAGTTGTATAGCCATATAATGATCTTGTTTGCCTAAAAAGTTGTTTGTTGCTGTGAACCCTGGAAGCAAACTTTTTTTTTTCCATGATGTATTGGTGGTCAGAAAATAAGAAGTATAGACCTAGAAAGCAAGTGTCCAAAGCTAACAGGTAATTGTCTTCTTCGTGGAACACTGTAGTAAAGCAGTGTTGAATAAGATTTTAGCATATTGTTACATATGGGGGGTTATGAAACCATCAGGAATTGCCTGAGTGGTTTAGTCAATCAGTGAAATAATTATTCATTACCCCCGACTTGTAAGTGATTTCTATACCCGGGCGGCTGTTATAATTGGAGGCACGTGAGTTCTTTATTCTCTGGCATTGTTTTGTTGAGAGGAGTAATAATCCAGGCACACTTGGCTAAAACAAATATTTATTACAATCAACTACACAAGACACAAAACATACAACATACCAAGTTACATACTATTGTTACAAATGGGGCTGGACAGATATTTTAAAACATTGACACAACACACAATAAAACATGTTGCTTTATAGACAGTATTTACAAACAAGGCATTTCAGAGGCCTAACATTCTGGTCACCCAGATGTCTGCCAAGCATTAAACTCTTAATATGCCTACAGAGGCCACACAAGAGATGAGCTGCCTTCTAACTAAATAAAAAGTAACCTGCAGTTAAATCTCTCTCTCTGTACCCTGGATGCCACAAAATAAATGGGAACCTATATCCCTATCCATAAAATGCACCCTAATCAGGAAAGACATTTCTAACTGAGGTACCAGGAAACCCAAGTTCCCTAAAAACACAGAATAGACTGCTCTCTCTAACAAGATTCAAATACTTGGCTCCAGTCAGGTTTTGTTTCGGATGACCATGAGGTAGGGGCTCTCGCATGGCTCAAGCTTCAAGTCCCAACTCCTCTGGACTCCTCTCTCTTCTCCCTGCTCTCCTTGTTTCTTCCTTCTCCTCCTGCTTCTCCTCTCTCCCCTGTCCTCTTAAAGTGAATTTATACTGTGTCTTTCTGCCCTGCTCCTTTGCAATCATTAATCCACAACTTGCCTAGGCATACCAAGATAAACTTTACTATAGTCTCTGCTCACCTGACCCTCCAGACCTGAGCAAACATCCTCTCTGCTTTGAAGCTAGAAGTGTTTACTCTTCCCAGTGTCACAGAGACATTTCTCAGTTACCCAAAGCTGTAACAATATATTAGTTGCAAACAATAATTAAGAATTATATAAAAATTACAATGTATCTACTGAAGTTCAGTGTATCTACTAAATGTATTTTTTTTTCTGTTATTGTCGTGTTAATTAGTAAGAGCCTGAAAATATACCTGCCAGTTGCATTTTACCCCAGAAGAAGTCTATACATTTGGACTTACATGGCCAAACAGTTTTTGGACAGGAGTTGTGTGTACTACAGGCTATGAAGAAGAGCAAGAGAAGTCAGCTGGCCATCTTGGTTTGTGGAGAAACCCCATTTCACCCTACTATAACTGTATTGCCATTATAATGATACCTCAAAGTAACAAAAAGAGTTAGCAATGTGAGCTGCTTATCAATAACACACAAAATTAAATGCTAGACAGACAGCCTTGGTGTATGCAACACATTTTTTCTACACATTGTCATCATGTTGGCTCTAGGATTGTATTTTCCACGACTGGAGTCAGTTGGCCTAATCGTTTTTTAAGCGGGAGCAGTTGACAGTAGGTTCAGACAAGGTAACAGCTCTTGTTTTATCCTACCGCTCTCTTACAACCGCATTTCACAACTGATGGCCTGGTGTATTCGGAAAAGCTCTTGCAGCGCTCTGCAAAATGCAGTTCAGCAGCAACCTTAGTTGTTAAAGAAATCTGCCTGCTATTCAATTCAGTCGCTGTGGTGGTTCCCAAGAAGAAGACTTTAAAAGTGTTTTCAAAGATGCAAATAAAGCTGCCATGTCCAAATTGTATCACAAATGAAATGGTTTATCTACACCTGCCACATTTGAAGTTGCTCATCTGCATGGCCTTCACCCAGGGCCATCACTGTAGTTTCCACAAGCCTGGAAACCTCACAACAGAAAATGATTTTCTCAGACTGCAGTGCACATTGAAATCTTTTTCACTGGCAAGCCCACTCTAAAAACTTTCCACAGTCCTTGGCATAATACAACCATGAGTGTCCTTAGAAACTGTCAACTAGCCGATGCAGCTATCTACTTAAACAAATATAGAAGGTCAATGAAAGTTTCATTAGAGGTTTTGACTCGATGGCCGTACAGGATTTGTATGTACGTGTGTAAGAGATGACAAACAAAATTAAACAGACTGAATGTTGAATATAGGCTTAAAGAAGTCTGTTAGCAGAAGAAGTTTACCTTTACAGTTGTTGTACTGTTACTGTAGGTGTAGCCTGTGTGTGTACTGATGCAGTTGAGCATATGCAAAGTTATGATGTTGTGTGTAATTTAATTATTGCATTTAATGTATGTAGTATATTTGTAGGATGCACTCCAAACAATAAGTTGGAACTCCTCTGTTCATACTAACAGACAGCAAGAATAAGTATTAGCCAGGAGTACAATTAGATCAGAAATGCAGTTGATAATAATATAATTCACTTTTCAACCTAAGATTGTTATCTTTTTGTTGTGGTCAGTTTTTTTTTTCCTATAGGTTTTTTTTATCAGCTGGAAGAGAGAGGATTGCTTTAGTGATTTGATAGGGCACGCTTAAATCTCCTCAGTCCCCTGGTGACAAAGTGAGATCATGTGGAATTCTGGGAAGCCTCATAGCGAATAACTACTTAACCCTGCAGAAACTGTTGATACTCCCTCCCTGCATTCTCTGAGATCATACATTTTTCCTTATCTTCTTCTCTGACGCGAAGGCCATGATGGTCATTAATGGTGTACAGTTACCATCTGTGTGTGTTTATTATAATGATCAGTTTGTTTTTCTTTTAACATTGTTATTACTGTAAACGAAACCCAAAAATTATGTGCCTGTCATGTTATCAAAGTTTAGGCTAGAAAAGAGTCAACTTGCTTTCACATTTTCTATGCTAAGTTGAACCAAAAGACAGTGTTTATAGGTCCCTCAACTTAGGTTTGCCCTTACATTCTTTTTCTAACACAGAATCGGGGAAAAGGGAGCCCTTTCTCTAAACTGATGTTGTTCGTGGTATTACTATTTCCGGCAAAGACCGCTGACCAGTCCTTCACGTCTGCTGTTCTCCCCACAGCACGACAAGCTCCACAGCAAGCAGCTGTGACACAGACTTCACAAAGGAGGATGAGCAGCGACTGAAGGATTACATCCAGCAGCTGAAGAACGACCGGGCGGCCGTGAAGCTGACAATGCTGGAGCTGGAGAGCATCCACATCGACCCCCTTAGCTACGACGTCAAACCGCGGGGAGACAGCCAGCGGCTCGACCTGGAGAATGCGGTGCTCATGCAGGAGCTCATGGCCATGAAGGTTGTGGTCCACAGCTGCATTTGCATGGTGTTTGTGTTGCATCTGTTGTCTCATTTCCACCTATAGCTTTAATCCAGTGGTTAAATTTAGCACCTCATGGAATACCTTATTACTATTTTTTATTTTATCTAGTATTTTTTAGGACTTGGAGGACAATACTGACAGGAAAGCGACACTGCTGTGTAGCTTTGAAACACCCATTTAAAAGTTAAAGATGAAAATAGACAGCAGTTCCAGTCCCCATACTGGAAACAGTGTCGATATGGCCTAATTTCACACTCCTAGTCTATTGATCGTGAGGTTCTATGCATGTAAATCTTTTGGGATGTATTACTGAAATCCTTGATGACTCACTTCTGTGGGAAAAGCTGTTCTCTTCCCAAAACTCTGTGACTCAGGTCTATAAAAATCTACAGTGCTCTGTGTAACAGTAATGGATTTATCCAGTCCCCTCAAACATTATTCAGGTAATGCATCATTTATTTTGTCCTTGCAGCATTATAATTGGTTGTTAATATTGCAGTGACAATTCAGGTATAAATATATATCCTGGCAACTGATAATTGATTTTTCTCCCCTGGTGTACTACAAAGATCACATACCAGACTTGCTCAAAGTAGGATAAAAACCTTGAAAACTCTTACTTAAGCGAAAACTTCCCCAAATTAAAGTTACTCTATATAATGTTAAATCAATTGAAGTTCTTGAGCATCTAAAGTAGCCATGCCCCCTAGACTTTTGTTTTGACGTTGTTGGTTTCTGTGGTTCGTTTGAGACACTTCCCTTTAAATCTTCTTGATTGCTTTCTGCTCATCAGTGAGCCACTAGTCAGCCTTATAGTCAAGGACAGACGTATTGGTACCCACCATCAACAACAAGGTTATTCATTTGTTGATGAAATGTATAAATTGATCAACTGTTTTGTTAAACTATATTGATCTGATAAAATTTGATGACTGATATTTTAAGTATTTGAATATTTATCAGGCCTAACGGCAAATGTGTGGCAGTGAAGATTTCTAGTGAATTTACTCACTAAAGACGAGATGGTGACTATTTTACAACCCTGTTAGGCTTTTTTATTTATTTGGTACACAGTAATAACTTTTTTCTTTGCAATATTTATATCAGTAAAAAATATAACAGTAACACATGTTGCATTGAGTGAATTATTAACATAAGAAAGGTTGCAAATGAGAGGAAACTGTTCAGCACATTTTGCTTATTTAATTGCTAGTAGTTGTTTGAGTTGTTTGGTATATCATCCAGCTTTTCTTTGAAAGATAAGGAAGGCTGGTTAGGATAGCCCCATAACCTTTTAGGTAAAGAAATCCTCTTATTCTTATTCAGTATGCTTTTTCTTTAACTGGATCCTGTTCAGTTTTAGCCATTTTATTGTGTTTTATTCTCCACTTGTTTTTCTTGGTTTATTAAAGCATTTGGCCCAGTGCTTCATAGCTTTTGATTTGCTGACTTTTGGCATGAATCTGTTCTGCACTTCAAACAGCCTATCTGAACATTTAAATAGTTTCTAAGATTTTTGGTTTTTCCCTTCGGAAACTTTGACTCTTACTCCCTGTATTTTCTCTCTTGTAGATTTTCTTTGGATTCTCCCCGACCCATTCTAGTTTTTCTACATTTCTCGGTACATACATTCACCAAGCCAGCAGGTGCTCATCTCATCTCAATGTAATCTATCATGTCAGTACAGATAGCCTTTGCCATAGAAAGTTTTCCAGTTAAATAGAAGGTTAATGCTGCCTTCAGCACATAGTGTCCTTAGTCTCATGTTTACAGACTTACAGACTTTCCTGTTGTTCACTCTTGCACAGTGCAGGCAGGTTTCCTGGCATAGCAATTGATTTAGTGCTGCTCTTCATTTTGTTTCCAAAGACTTCAAATCCTGTTTGTTTAAGAAAAGAATGTTCATCCCAATGTCTTCTGTTTCAGCATGAACGACGGCTGAGTCTTCACCTGCCTTAGCTAAGAGCCTGTCTACCCTTTAGGTGATGTTAACCAACTTTGCCTGGGGGGAAACAGCATATTGTGTTGGCAAAATATCCTTACTGGATATCTCACTTGCTGTGTTCCTTTGAATAGAGTCTTCAGCGACCCCAACTTCTCTGTGACTTGTGTATTAGGTGGCTCTGATTGAAGTTGTGACTGGTGTCTGAATGTCAGTATACATGCTGATGGTGTCTTGGCAGATGTTGCCTTAGGCTTCCTGGTTGTCTGTTCCCAGGTCCTGGAGTGGAGCACACATGTATGTTGGTATGATGTTAGGTAGGGTTGTCATTATAGATATGGTTTCCTTTGACAGCCCAAAACCAACCCCACTCTGTCAGCACGTCTGTTTAGTTGTTCTCATGATTTCAGGTGGATACTTCAATTGAATGGAGGATTTGCTAGTTCCTATAGTGCTCTCTTGATGGTGTTCTCTCAGTTGATATAGCTCGTAGATGCACAATTTCAGCCTTGTAGGACAAGAATCCTTCAGTTTTTCTAGGTCTCTGTAAATTTCTTTTGAAAGTTATATTGATCCAGTTAAACTTCAATAGTAGTTCAATTAGCTAATTAAGAGCAGAAGTAGAATCAGAACCAGAGATATACACCACTATCTGTGTTTACTCTTTTAAGGAGGAAATGTCTGTTGTATCAGTATTCCCAGCTGTAGTCTAGCTGTTGGGAAGGTTGGAAATGTGAAATATCTACCAAGGAGAGTCAGCATTTGTTTTAGAGAATGTTTTTTTTGTACGGGTATTTTTTTAATCCTTATTAAGTAAAAAGGATGGAGAAGTGGCCTTGTCACAATAAGCAACAAGAAACTTTAATTTTAAAATAATTCATTCTTGGTAGAATTGTAGTTTAAAAAAAAACACTGTGAAACAATATTTTTACACTCAAGGAGCATGTTTTGCATAAAGAGACTGACATTCACCTGATCCTAGCTTTACTTGCAGCATCTAACAAATCAAAGGATGTGTATTCTGGACATTCCTGCAGAAGAAAGGGTCTGCAGGAGGTGGTGTAATACAGATGATGGCCTCAGGGTCATTCACATTTTTAGATTAAGATCCACACGTTAAAACTCTTTCTTCGATACGTCTTTCAGTATTCCCTAGAATTTGTGAGTGCTGGAAGTGAAGAAATGTGTATTTCATAAAGCCCCTGTCCCAGTGCTCTCAAACGGCCGAGTCTGATGCCTCTGCTCTGTGTCCCCCTGTGGTCAGGAGGAGATGGCGGAGCTCAAGGCCCAGCTTTACCTGCTGGAGAAGGAGAAGAAGGCCCTGGAGCTGAAGCTGAGCACGCGAGAGGCGCAGGAGCAGGCCTACCTGGTGCACATTGAGCACCTCAAGTCAGAGGTGGAGGAGCACAAGGAGCAGCGCATGAGGTCCCTCAGCTCCACCAGCAGCAGCGGCTGTGGGAAAGACAAGCAGGGCAAGGTGAGTGGGTCAGAGCAGGACCAGGCTGCAAAAGCAGTTCTTTCCCTTCTGGCCGAAGTTATGTAGTTTTGTAGGATTGGCTGCGCCATATTGAACAGGAGTACACTGCACAAAAGCAACAACTAATTGGCTACAAAGTGGAGAAACAATAAAAAAGCCTGGGTAAATAAGGAACACCTAGTTCATTGAAAGCCATACAGTAGCTCATGTGTTAATTAAAAAAAATGATATCTGCATAGGGTCTTGTATAAAAAACTGCAAAGGCCTAGTTGCCTTGAGGTATGGCTAGCAAGGCTGCTAGAGACCCTAGTGACTGTACTGGCACATTGGCGGGAGCTTCAGTAACCAAGACAGTTTAGTTTGCTCATGTCATCATTTGAGGGGCATCATCAGCACAGGGCAACAGTGGGAAAGCTACATATTCTAACATGGTGATAGCCATACATTAATTTGAAGTTCAAAGCAAAAGATCCAAGCAACTGCAGATCCATTGACAATCAGTTTCAACTTTGGGTGCGAGTGAGGTACCATAGTCAGGTTGTAGAGCACACAGATAACACCTGGCTATGAAGGTTTGTGAGTTCAGTGGTACAAAGAGCACAGGCAATAAACTACCTGTGGTGGATAAGTAGGAGAAATGTGATATGTGATCAGATGAATATCGGTCCCACGTTCTCAACAAAATGACAAGTGTCCCTCAAGACCTCTACAGGCCTGAGTGCTTGGTTACAACAGTGAAGGGGTCTCATGGTTCTCTATTGTGTGGCACATTTTCCTGGCACAATCTGGGTGCACTCATTCCATTAGAAGGTAGGGACAATGCTAATCACTACTTAATGGTTCTGATCATCTTCTACCCATAATGCACCATGTCTTCTGGGATGAAAACGTTACCATTCACAGACCAAGAGTAGTGCCCATTGGATTGACAGTATCCATATCCAATATCCATATTTCACTTTTGTATACCCTAAATCATGTGTTTAGTCTGGAATCTCCTCTGATTTGCAATTGGCGTAAAAAATGGCTTAGAAATGTTTTCTGTACATTACCCTCCAAAAAGAAATCAGTATGAAAGGAAGTGCCATACCTGGTCCTCAGAAATATTCAGATCTTTTTAATTAACAATGATTGTCATTTGCTTGTGAGGATTTATGTCTGAGCTTTGACAGAGGTATTCACGTTCATATCGAAAGCTGTGACAGAAGCTTATAATACAGGAAGGCTTAGTGTGTGCAGTGTTTCCAGTTTTTTTTTTAAGGATTAGCTCCTATTAAGAACTTACTTAAGAATTAAGATGTAATTGTAAATGGGTTTAATGAGGCACAATATGTCAGTCAGGGTTTGCTGCAGCCTAATCTACAGTGTCAGAGGATACTGCAGTATTGATTACGGTGTCCTTTTTATTCATTCATGAGGACTGAAATCACTGAGTAGCTTTAAAAAAACTTTTTCCTTGAGTTTCCCCTGTTATTAGCATTTCAATTTTAACATATCTTTATACAAGAGACCTGACTTCTACTCCCTCATTGTTTAAATAGATTGTTTGCATATTTGTGGTGGTGCTGCACATTTAAAATACTATACTGTTTCACTATTTAGTTTTCCCGCTCTTTTTATATGTAATATTAATTTGTAACCATATTCCAAGCACATTTTTGCATCTACAAAAAAGGATTAAAAAATATATTTTGGACTGAAATGCAGAATTTAAGCTAGCAGCTATATCACCCTGCAGCTCTCAACTGATAGCCCACTGAAGCTAAGCAGGGTTGAGCCTGGCCAGTACCTGGATAGGAGACCTCCTGGGAAGCTGTGGTTGCTGCATATGGTTGGGCATTTCTTGATAAGAGTAGGGAGTTATCCAGGTGTCCGGGCCAAATTTCCCCCCTCAGCCTTTACTGTGGCCCCCAAATTGTCCCCATGTATGACTGGCTTGCACTTGCCCTGCAATGGACTGGCAGGGCACTGGACTGGTGTACCCTGCCTTGCGCTCGTTGCTTGCCATGTAGGCTCTGGCTTCCTGGGACACCGTATGGTATAAAGCGGTTTGGTAAATGACATGACATGCAGAATTTATTATATATTAAAGAACTCTTAACAAGGTGGTTAGTCGAGACCTATCTTTTGTAAATCCATACGGACTATGTCCTAGGATATTATTTACATATTGATGATCCTCTAGTTTAAGTTTTATAATAATTTCTATTACATAACTTGTAATAGAAGTCAGACTTATTAGTGTAGACTTACATGGTTCGGCTTTCTCACTCTTCTTATGGATGGTCACTACATTAGCAATTCTCCAGTCCCTGGTACGATCTCTGTCTTACTGTTGGAAGAGTTGGATCAGTGGCTTCTGAATAGCATTTCTGTGTTCCTTGAAACATAAGTTTTGAACAAGTACTCTGTATCTTCTCTTCCATGTTTTATCATTTGGGTTGTTATAATGGGACATGAGGCATGTGTAGCACACTTTTATTTCCATTTTGGTTTTATTACCAAAAACTAAAAGACATGATCTTTGTATCTCTATGACTCGGTTATCAGTGCTCTCTCTGAAGAGGTTCAATTGCATCTTATACTGTGATTCAGGCTACAAATCCTGGCATTGTAGCATAAACACAGGGATAACCGTAATCCTCTGTGTTGCTATGGACAATAATCTTCAACTGATAATCGAAGTTGCCACTCAAGGTGGAACAATTTGCTGGATAAAGGCTATGCATTTTAGCTTCTGAAATCCCTCATAGCTTCCTTTATTTTGTACAGAGCCATGAAGATCTTTATTTTCTTTTTTGAAAAGGTCATCTTGATTGTGTCATTGCAGCATCCCTCTTTTTCATAAGGGCAGCCACAGTCTGAACTTGCCAAACATACATTGGGATTATAGCCTTCATGGCTGATGGACCATATATCAAACTGAACATGATGTCTTTACTTTTTAAAGAAATCTGAAGAGCAAAGAAAAAAATATAAAAGCAGAAATGCAGTTTGAGAGAGCAATGCATACGTTTCTTATATTAATACTTTTATTTTAAGAAAGAAATGACTGTTCATTTCAGTCTGTAAGAAATCATGTCCAAATCAACCCAAGGATTAGAAGATATAAGAACAAATGAAATAATTGAAATATGGTTAATGTTTGGACACATTTTAAGATGGTATCATAAAACAGTCCTATGTAATCCACCTTTATTTTTCTTAAAGCTCTTTCACAACTTTAGATCCTTACTTCCCCCTTGTGGGAGAGATCTGCTCTTACAATTGATGATCTAACTCATTCTAATTGGATAATTTTACATGAATAATTTTTGATTGAAGAATGCAATAAACATGCTTGTGAGCGTGCACAGTTTGTGAAAATGCCCAAGTATCCACACAAGATTGAAGGAAATGGCTGTGAAACTAACATACACTAATGTAAATATTGATTTCATGCAAAACTATTAATGGATATTTTCAAGTGCCTGCCTTTAAGGCAAATAAAAGTCAGATGGGAATACATACCTTTTCATGGACCAAAGATGGCAGAAGTTAAGTTAATTTATTAGCTTACTTTTTTGCATCTTCTGTAGGATTAAGTGCAAGAAAATGCTATTGTCAAAACTGCTATTGATTTAAATACATATCACACAGCATGTATGAAGCTTCAATTTTAATTTCTTGACACAAATGTGACCTTATTCCTAAATATTACTGGAATGGACTAAGAGCATTTAATTAACCCACTTTGTCATTATTTTTTTCCATGGCACAGGGAACATCATAGACAACTTATTATAAATAATTATAGATCTTTATAAGCCTTATTTGTGTTTCAACATATAAATAAGCTTTTTTAGAATACAAACTGAAATTTAAGTATGGTCACTTGAAATGCCTGTATTTAAATACTTCTATTACAATCCCCAAAATATATAAACCATGTTATTGGCACAGGAAAGTAAGAAGCTTAACCCTGAAAGATACCAGGTCCATATTTATGTGTTAGCTCCAGAAACAGACAAAAGCTTGACTCTATCATGTACACCTCCATATGATTAGTCCATTTTTTTAATATTGTTTTTATAAAGACCAACACAAGTAAACCTCATGGATTTAAGTAAAGCCACCTAGACTTTTAGATTGTATGTATATAAGACTGTAAGAAAGATTACAGACAAGAGGAGCCCATGTAGCTTATTCGGTTACTGCTTATAGTAGCTCCATGATTTAAGGACCTCATTCAGCTGCTTCTGGACATTCATCTTATGTTCAGTCCTTCTTTTGAATAAAACCTCTGTCTAATTTAAATTTCTTGGACATTAAATAATGAAATATGAGTGTTTTATGTTTTGGCAATGCGTATACAAAAGCAGATATTTTGTTTCATGCAGTTTTGATAATGATGTTTTGATGTTAATTTTATCATGTTCTACTACAGCAAACGTCTCCTGCACTGTTCAAATCCAAGTTTAAAATAAAAGTACAAATATGAACAGCTAGGTTTTAATATAAATTGCCTGTTTTTTTTCATCCAGAAATGTTTAATACTTCAGATTCACGGGGTTTATGTAATCCAGCATGATTGTTTTATGATGTGCTATAAAAAAAATAACTCAGTGGGTTTTAAAACAAGAAACTTGTTTTCTCATGTATTACTTCATTACAACAAAATGTTATTCGGTTTTTCTAGACATATACTTTCACCCTTAGAGAGAAGCGTTGGTCTAAAAAAAACAATTGGCCCTCTTGAAAAAGCTTATAACAGCCTTGCCTAGACCCTTGGCTGGAAAAAATGTGATTAAGATAATGAAATTGATCATGAGTACTACTGGAATTAAAACGATTTTTTCGGCAGCTACTTGAGACAAATCTGTGGCAAAATATTGACGATTTAAAGAACAAAAGATAAAGAGGATTATGGTAATGATCATCATTGTTAGCCTTAGACATTTTCTTTTCTTTTTCAAATAAGGTTGAAAATATTCTTCAGTTTTTGCTTCAAGATCACATAAAAAGTAAAACTAAATGGTTTTAAAATTAGATTTTTTTCTCAGGTCCAGCACAGGACATTCACACAGATATTTTTAAACGTGCCAGTCTGTTGCCTGCCTTTCCACTCCAGTCTAAATCTTGATCCGGCAGTTGTCCTAAACTCAGTGTTCCCAACACGGATGGTCTCTGGGCTGCAGGGCTTCACTTTGCTTCTCCTGGCCTGTATTCGAGCTCAGACAGTCTCCACGCCTTTTGCCTCTACGTTTGGCAAAGTTCAAGATTTTCAGAAGCCATGTGTTAATTCACCAAACTCCTGGAAATTGATACGACAGCAGGAAATTGATATATTAGGCATGAAATTGTGAAATATGCTGTAACAGCTGTTTCATTAACAATATTATGGGTATAGGGTCCCTTATCCCTGTAGCACTGTAACAACTTCTCATGCACCCCTTGTAAAAATTAACGCTTCATTTGCCTTAGAGTTCAGCATATGTGCTATGTGTAGTGCGCTGGCAGTTAAGCCCCCAGAGGTTATTTTGTCCATGTCACCGCTGTATCATTATATTTCACAGGACGGTGGAGATGGAGGAACACCTGCTATAACACTTGCTGATCTAAGGACTCTTAATGACAGCGATCTGGCAGCAGAGCTCACAAACGCACTCAGACGGTAAGCGTCACATTAAACAGAACGTTGTGAGTGCGCACTTGTTTGGTGCTCTAACAAAATATGCTTTTGTTTGGGATTACTTAAATATTTTAATAATTATGATTGTTCTAACAATTGTTAGCAAAGTTTGTTAATAGTGCTCCCATATATAGCACCTGGATATATACAATAGATTGGTATTGGGATTGCAGACTTTGATTGTTGCTTTTCAAGCACTGTAAATATGCTGCTAAAATAGGTGATTTAAAATTATTTAACTTATTATTAATTAAAAAACAAATAAGGGTTAAATAGTAATCAGATTACAAGTTCTTTAGAAATATAAGTATCACAGAAAAAAGCTTTTAAGTCCTTCACATTTGGTACTTTATTGACTGATTGTGCAGTAATTATTAAACACTACAACAGTAAAAAAAAGTAGAGAAATATAGAATATTTTATACAAATGTATTAAGTATTTTATTGCGTATGATTTTGAGTCATATATTTTTATATTGCCAAGTAACTAACAATACATAAGAAATTAAAGATCATTTAAATGACTGCCAAGTATTTATTAGACCAAAAGACGCCATTTCCATCAAACTCATGAGATGTAATGAAGATCCTCACAGCCCAGATTGGAGCTGCTGTGCTCCTAGTGCTGCTTTCATTGTGAGTCTCAATGGCCTTACAGAGAGAAGAAGCTCAAGAGCAGAGCACAGGAGTTAGTAGCTGCTTTGGAAAGACTGACAAAAAGCAGCGAAGTTCGGCACCAGCAGTCTGCAGAGTTTGTCAACGACTTGAAAAGAGCCAACAGGTAAAGTCTGTGTTCAGCTGTACACGCGGTTTTTAACATGCAAGGCCGTCTAGTGGGGTTCAAAGAGGGAGGGGGGGAATTCTGCTGCAGTTTCAGGTTACTACTAAGAAACAATGGTCAGAGTGTCAGTCCTCACCAGAGACCTGCTGATGTGGAGGTCTGGCGCCATAGTCATAAAACTAACGCCAGGGTCTGGAAAGAAATGGGCCTTTATCTCTAAACCCACTGTCAATGTGGACGAGCTCACAGGGTCTCAAGTTGGTTCTATGAAACTTTTTGTTATGTATTCCCTTATGTATTTCTTTAATTACTTCGGTGTAGCTTTCAGTTTGTATGATCATTATAATGGTTTTTACTGATGGTTTGGCTGTGGTTAAGTGAGGTGTCATTCTCAGATTTTATAAGTGGGTGATTCCAGAGTTACCTTTACACAAATTACATATTACTCACCTCTAAGTTTAGATCTTCCTAAAAAAGAGTAAAAGTCTGAGGTTTTTTAAATCTGAGAAATGAAAACTTTTTGGAACCTGTATGAAGATGGGTACATTGTGGAAATAATAGGAGCAATAGGAAAGATTTTGCATTTATACCAATATTATGCTTTTACTGTGAATATACTGCTCTTGTACTTTACTCAGAACATTAAATCGTATAGTTACCTTCATGTAGCCCACCACAGGAAAGCATTCCGCTGAAATGAAGTAGGCATGTTTTATTTAATGTCATCTGTATTTATTTTCTCCACATTTAAAGACAGGAGTAATGAATGTAGTATCTACTGTTCAATAAATAGAATTCTGTAAATATAAACAAAAAATAAAAGGAATTGCATTACGTCTGAAATAAAATATAGGAGGAATTAGAATCAATATGAAGATAATTATGTGTAGTAAGCGTAAATGATCTTTTTGATGTATTTAAATTTGGTAGGAAATAATTTAAAAATATTTCAAGTAATACATATGATGTAGTTTTGTTGCATAACATAAAGCACTTCAGCTCTTTATATAATCAATGTGATTGCTTACTGCAGTCTTAGAAACCCCCTAGTGTAACACAGTGGAACTACCTACTGTATACCTTCTCATTCATGATCTTTTTAATAATTTGTTTTGATGCACTACATTATTATAATACTTCTTGCACTTTTGTCATACTGGCAGAAATGGTTACTTCATTCATAAGTGGTATTTGATGTGTTTTATTTTCATTTGTTATCCAGATTCATTCACACATAATTTTGCTTTTCTTGAAAGGTAAAGTGCTAGCTTATTACTGAAGTGCATTGTAGAATTTACTGCTAATTGCAGGATGGTAATTTTTCGCATAACCTTGTTTTAACCTCGTGTTTTGTTTGTGTTCTTTTTTTGGTAATTTAGCTTTATCAGCCTATAGGCTAATCTAGTACTTTATTTGACTTGGAATGTTTTGTTTCCAACAGCAACCTTGTTGCAGCATATGAAAAAGCAAAAAAGAAGCACCAAAACAAACTGAAGAAACTCGAGTCTCAGATGATGGCCATGGTAGAGAGGCATGAGACACAAGTCAGGATGCTGAAGCAGCGAATCGCATTGCTGGAGGAGGAGAATTCCAGACCCCACACCAATGAAACATCTCTGTGAGAGCCTCTTGAGAGCTTCACAAGTTGTACAGAAAGAGAAATTCATTTTTAGATCATGAAATATGGAAAACAGATTAATTCCTAGCCCCTGTACAGCACAGATGTGACACTTTGCAGTCCAAAGTGACCTTGAATTTATTTTTTCGGTGCTCAGACTTGCTTCTGCTCCTCATGAGCCCCACTGAACTCGACACCAGCATGAACCCTCAAGATGCAGTTGAGGAAGAGGATCCATTGCATCATCTAGAAAGCATCTGCAAGATGACATTCTGCAGCAAGAAAGTAAGCAGTCCTTCAGGGCACATATGTGATGAACATGAACCAAACATTTATCAGAAGATGCTGCTGCAGTCCACTGTCAATACCCTGCCCGACTGAATGTTCAAGACACTTCTTGTGGAGAAGGTTTAGTGATCACCAGAGTGCATATCCAAGAAAGTAAAAGTCCACTTCAACGTGCCCTTTGCCTGGGAACAAAAGTATTGCCATTTCCTGCTTTTTTAATTCTCCTCCAATAAAATCACCAACAAAGACTCTCATGGTCAACACTACCAAAAGACGTGTCATTTAAAGAATCATCAAACACTCTGTGAAACATTTTTTTCATTTTCAACTGTCATTGGTCTGTTATGAGATTGTTCTGATTTAAAGATTTACAATATTTACGGCAATTAAAGTAATACATTACACAACTGTTTTGCACTTCATCATGCTCCCTTTTCTAGGGTTTCGTTATATCCTTTAGAGGATCGTAATAATGCTTTTGAGAGGATAGTGACACTTTACATTTTTAAATAAACAGCAACAAGTAACGACATACATTTGAGTCTTGATTTTGAAAATAAGCTCCTTGGCCGTCATTTGAATCTCATTTGCACTACACTTGCGTGTAGGCTGGTGTCATTTTTTGTAATTATTATAAATGCTGACCCTCAGCAGCAGAACAAATATACTTCTGCCCTCTTGCATTAAGTGTAAAAAGTTCAAGTGTATATGCTAAATACGTTTTTACTATTTTTTTTATTTGTTGTTTCTTTAAAGTGTCCAAATATACTGAGCATATTAGATACACCAAGAATTCTGCATTCCATTTTAACATTTTCCATCAAATTTAACTACATTTTTATCTAGTCCCAAGAGGTTCACCTGTTACTCTTTATTGACAAGTACATTAAATTATCACTCTTGATACACTCCATTCTCTATTTCTAGTTGATGATATTAACCAGATTTTAAATAATTGTTCTCCAATAACAGGCTATTCCAAAAATTGCCATTTACCCATTACTCAAAAGATTGAGCTTTTAAAAACAGAACAAAGTGAGTTAATGCCTAAAAAACAGTAATTGTTCCTTATTTTCAGAATGATTTCAAATATTAGATCCCACACATTGGAGCATCTAACAATACATTCAAAAACTAAGTTTCCCACATGTGTGAGATATTTAGTGTGTTCTTGGTTTAGTTTGTTTTCTGCTTGGTGAAAGATGATGGAAGCCTTCCAATTAAAACTTCTACAAATGAAATGTAATGATTTAGACGCCTTTTGCACTCAAGGTTTAAGAAACACTTTGTTTCAAATGGTTTCTTAGACAATTTGTTGACTAAAGGTGTTACAGAACTGTTGTGTGGTTGTTGATCAATTAAAATCATTACTAACTGTAAAAGTTCATACTTTTGATGGGTAAGCTTCTAGCTCCCCAGCCTGACGATGACACCTCTGAACTTTCAGTCATCTTTTTGTTTGCTCATAAGAAAATAAGGAAAAGGAGTACGCTTCCTTCCATCTCAAACAGAAAATTACCTGTATATTATTATATTTTTGTGTTACAAAAATATTTTGGAATTACAAAAAAACAACAACTTAGGTGTCATAAACCAGATTTTTCCACATCTAATAAATGTATTTTTCTGATACTTCCATTCTTTTCAATTGCAAAAAAAGGAGTGAACAATGGTGAACTATGATAGAGACAACAAATGTTCAAGCACTGTGCAATGGCTTTCTCTATAATTTAAAACAATATATTGCATGATTAAGTAAAGAGTATTTATCAGTAATAAAGACAGTATCTTAAACCTCAGCTTCCATTACCGAAGTAACATTCTGCCTTGCAATAAAGGGTTTGAAAAAACACTATGTGCATTCAACCATTGTATTTTCATTTGCAGTATATACTGGTTGTATTTAAACCTACAGTATGTCTTGTATACATTTCCAGTGTTTAGTTTGCAAACATTAATAGACATATGCTGGATATTAATGCTTTCATAAGTCTTAAATATAATCAGTTTTTTTTTCTTGGAGGTTTAACTATTCACCTAGTTTGCACGGCTCCAGAATTGAATGTTTTAATTGAATGCAGGATCTTTACCTATTGGTTTGAATTCCATCAACAGAAAAGAAAATTTGAAGGTAAAATTAAATCTCTCGTTTTATCTGGTGAACCTTTCTCTTACCAAAATCTCTAAAATATAAACATTTTGCAGTTACTAAAGTCACCAAGCAAGGTACAGTTGTCGTAAGTGATTGTGCATAACCTTTTCAGAACATCCTGCTTTGGTGGATGTTTTTCATTTTGTTTGTAATAGGTTTAAAAGAAAAATGATACACACTAGCTTGAATGTACTGCAGAATGTGTGATAGGCAAACTTTGCTAGTGTAAGGTGATAAGTGTTTCATGGAAAATGTTCTATTAATACCATTCCAGAGTGAACAGAAAGTTGTTTTGCTTTCAAGGGTTGTTCTGGTTCTTTTTTTAAATGTCGTCTTCCTGTTTTACTTGTGTTTTCCTAGTTGCTGTAAAATGGTTAATCCACTCATTTTATATAGAATTGTAAAAAAAAAAGCTATCTCTTCATTTATTTATAAAAGAGATGTTTAAAATGCCTTTATTTTACAAAAGGTCTTATATCCAGAATAAATACTTTTATTGGGACAAAAAAATGTTTATGTAACTTCTTACTTGTACTTGTTACTGTCCTGGGATTTTATAATACATGCTTTGCTGGTTTTCAGTGTCTGTACTATTTTATTTCTTGTTACAAATCAGATTCCACTCAAATAGTCGATCTAGTGACATTAACCTTTTCTACTTGACTAGAAATTGTCAAGACTGAACTTGTTTGAATGTGAGCTGTTTCATTCAGCTCTGATTGGAGCTCCTAAAGGGTAGGGCGTCCCTGTGCCACACCTTGCCATAGTGGCCAACTGCGCACCTGTGAGGCTCCAGCACTAGCAGGGAGGGCTGGCTTGAGTGCTCTGTTCTGTGCTGTGGGCTTATATAGTAAAATGAAGCTGATTACCCACTAGCTGATCAAATTCTTATCTGCATTTTGATTTGCTTACTTATACAATGAAACAATGTAGGGTAATCATACTGATAATCCAATTTTCTTTGCGATTGCTCTTCAACAAACTCCGTACAATAGCCCCCAGTACACAACAGAAAGAACGCAGTGGGGAAAAAGGCTCAGCAAATTGCCCATTAAATTGGGAGTCAAAATCATACATTACAAATTTGACGTCAAAGCAAGTTTTGAAAATGTTATCAGTTGCAGGGTTTTCAGTGCATTTGGGCAATGACTTGCATGAATGTGGCAGTGTACTTAAAGCTCTAGCATGCATTGAGTGGAGGCTGATCTTCGGTGAGCACAAGAAATTGATTATAGTGTTGCTGTAAAGATCTGGAGCTGAACATTCAACATCTTATTTGTGAGCAGGAAAACTTAGGGAAAAATTTCACTAGAAGCCAGTGCAGTTTACAGCGCGTGAGTTAATCGTCAGGACACACTGAAGTCTATTTAGTGCTGATGTTACAATAGTCTATTCTTGATAAAATAGTCTATGTATTTCCAGACAGGTGGAAGATCATTTTGTGACGTAATGAACATGCACTTCCAACGATACCATGGAAGTAGAAATAACACCAAGATTTCCAACTTAAGATTTCAGAACCATCAATAATGCACCTGCTTTGTGAAGCTGATGTTAGGAGACTATGAGCATAGCCTCTGCTTAAAAGCATTCTGTTGCATCCATCTCTAAATAGCACACCTGTTTTAGTGATGTTTCTGTTTAAATGTTTATTTCAAGTGCCAAAAAAAAGGAAAATTTTAGATGTTAGTCTTACAGACAATAGAATGGGACATTTTAAGCTTAAAGAATGATTTCTATATTATATAAGGAGACTTTAAATTTACTGAACTGCATTTTCTGAAACATTAAATTAAGTGCTTAATGTATTCACGCACTTAACAGGACTGAGGTAATTAGTTTTTTTCCCCCTTAAATTCAGAACACTTATTATAGAAGAGTGCACCCCTACCTACCTTAGGTAAAAATGTTTCCTCCTCAAGATTTCAAAAAAAATCTGTACTGGGTGCTATATTTGTTTCATCCTGTAAATTGTGGTAAATATAACTATTTTAACCTAAAGGAATAAAATAAAAAATATGTAAAGTTTGAAATTTTCATAATTTTTCCAATTGTTTCAGGCAGCAGTTCTCTAAAGTAAATTGTTTAAACCAGCAGTATGTATGGGAAAAACAAAATATTAAACATCTTTAAGAGGACAACAATGCTGCAAAGAGAGTAACAAAATGTCAGCCCAGGCATTGGCAAGACTAGATTTTAGCTAGCCCAAGTAAAATTTGGCACACAAACCTCTGAGATAATTCTCCAGAAAAATCTTAGGCCTGCAAAGGTACAGAACATTAGTACAAGTCATGAGTAATACAAGCCAAAGGTGTGTCCATGCTTAGTATGGTAGCGATTTTAAAATCGGGGTTGTTCCCTTAAACAACTTCATTTAAGGCTTCACCAGTAAAAAGTGCTGTACAAATGAAATATCAATGGACTTTCAATAACACTGTCAGTCTTTGTATTTTCCCAAGTTTTTATTAAGGCTCAGATCAAAGAGGTTGTCCACCACATCACAATGGTTACTCAAATTCTTAATCCACAGGACAGTAAACATTCCATCTAAGAAAATACTAGCACACAGTCACGTGGTTGCCATCTTTCTTGTTTTGACAGCGAAGAAAGGCCAAATACTGTTAAGAACCGTGAGATTTGATAAAGTACTGCAACCATTCCAGCTAACACATCTCTTCTAGTTTACAGTCTGCACTTTCTGTTGTGCTATATAAGTGCACTGCTGAATAATACAAACCAGAGCCTACAGAATTCAAGGCGCAGGATCCTCTTCAGCATCTCAATACAAATGAAACTATGCCGTAATGGATGGTAGTGAATTTAAACACCTCCCATATAAGGATTTTTTACATGTCAACTGTATGAATTCATGACACTGTACTGTAGAAGATAATTGTTCAGTTTTATGTAGGTATCTTCTCTGATTGTGTTCAATTTTGGAATGTTTCAAACTTACATTGAGAACTTTCAAAAGTTCATTCAATTTCTTATGAACACAGATCTTAACAGTTCAGTAGATTCAAGTTATTTGTCATCTATAAAGCAGTGACAATGAAGCAATACATTTCAGCAATTGTTCCACCCTCAACCTAGTAGACACAGTCTTCAATGTTTTAACTATCCACAATACAAAAGTAAGAGACATCTGTTTCTTAAACCTGGAGCCCCCCCTGATTGGTCAATCAGTGCCCAAACAGGTCAACATTGCATAAAACACAACCACATGTGCAAGTTTCTTTCTACCACCTAAGATGTATTGTTCAACATTTAAAAGCAGGGAAAATTAAAAATGAAGATGATCACATACTGGTTAGATCACAATCCTGGGCTGGTGTGGGAGGCAAGAAAGACAGGTTGAGGAAAAAGGAAAATTAAAAGATCTACTGCACACCTGAAATAAACGAGCACAGGTTGTGGACAAATAAAATGGAAACACCTGGGAAAATGAAGGGACACCAAGCATATTGAAAGCCACAGTTTAATCACAGGTGCGACTTGTATTTAATTAAGGAAATAACAACCCAGAATCCTTAGGGTCATGTATGTATGGAAAAGCCTGCGTACCTTTAATTCTGGCTGGCACAACCCCAAGAGGAAACCTCAAGGACTTTAAAAGAGGGGTGGTTGCGGGGTGCATTCGGCAGGAGCTTGGATTTTATTAATAAATATTCTGGAATATTTTTCACCTCTTCCTGACAAGCTGATTTATTTTTTTGCAGCAGAATTTCAGACACTGGTGTACTCTGTGACATAGCACCTACAAGCTTAACTGACCACAGCTAGTAACCTAGCACCCTATCAAGTGATTAACTTTGTCTTGCTGTTTCCATTTGTTTTTGTGCGCTATCTGTACATCACCTTAACTAGAATTCATTTGGTAAAAACTGCTATTACATGTTTGCTTGAGATGCCAACTAAAAGGCTAGCTGACTGTCTTAAATACTACTAAATATGGGTTTAATGGAAGGAAAAAATTGCTAAAATATGCATTCTGTAATCTAAAGATCTAAAACAATTTAATCTGTATATAAAATGACCAAAAATACTATAAAAGGAAGAATTGTCAATCTAAATCCTAAAGCATTCAATTCTTCAACAATTCCAAGTTTGTAGAAGAGCAACACAAGTATTTATTGTAACCATGAATACAAACCTCTAATCCTTGTTGTTCAAATACTGCATTATGAAAAGCATTTATAAATTGTAATTTTGGGATAAAAGCACAATAAAAGCACGGGTAACAAGATGCAGGTATGTTAGTTTTAGAATACCATCACAAAATACAAACAGAAAATGTAGCAGATTCTAAACATCCAACATCATTCACATCAACAAAAAAAGGAATGTTAAAGTCACAGGAGGTCTTTCCATACATTCCACTAAAGTCCAAAAAACCTGGCTGACATTTACTGCTGTACAGTCAGATACCAGTCAATTTCATTCAGGGAAAAAACACACCAAAAAAAGCTTTTTTCACGGCATAATAGCTTTTCTTGTTAGTATTTCGATGTTTAATTAACCTCATCAAACGTAAAGGGCCACACAACTGGCATTTTCTCTCACATTTCAAGGAACCTTAAGTGGTTTGAACATCCAAAGTCAACAACATAGCAAAAAAAACTGAAAATCATTCACACTGCCTGGAAATATCAAACCTACTGCTTACATTACGAAATTCGGTAGTCTTATTAAATACTAGGTACGGTAGTGTGATATAAATTGCAGATTAAAGACCAATGTACAGTAGCTCAAACACTATGTGCAAACTGAAAGATTATCTCATCTCTTTAACAGATGCAGTAAAAATAAGAAATATTAATACAACAAAGAAGGCATTGGTCTTAGCTCATATACTGTACAATCCAGCTGACATGTTCAGACTAATGATCACCACTTATACCCAACATTAAAATCTGCATTTCATCCACGATATTCATCACATGATAGGATTTACCGTCTTTTTTTCCTGTCGATACCACTGTGAGTCATATCCTCAACATGAGAACCAGAGGTGGGGAAAATCACTTCAAACCTTTCAAAACTAGATAAATCTGAAAGTACATCCCTAATATGCTGTATAGATCTTGCAATCATTGTTAAAAGTACAAGCTGGGAAAAAACAAGATATACACCACCTCCTGCTAATAAATGTATTTACGCCGTGTACTCCTTTCCCACATCTAGTTAGAAATCTGCAGAGAAAAGAAAAAAAAAAAGAGAACTACAAAGCCCAATTTCCTCAACAGGATAAAAAAACAGAACAAAAAAAATCACAAAGAAAGAGGGGGTAGTGATAAAACATATCCATTTCTTCATTACACATCAAACCACGTGTATCAAAGTGTTAAAAAAAAACATGGTCTGACATTTCCTACAGTTGAAAACATACTGCTGGATGTCTTAACTTGTGTGCTCTTAGCACAGAGGATTTGCCCTAATCCAATACTGAGAATGGGAGGTTTAGGACTATGGAGTCCTTTAAATGCCTTAAATACACACAAGCACTAGTGTTCAAGTTATCAGAATGCAAAGACCGTTATTCTGAAAAAGTTCCAGCACTTTTCAACAGGCAGATAACATAAGAACAGTTTATTGTGAAATAATTTGGTGCTGACCTTTTTCCACTCTTTTCTGAGTCTTGATCCATTCTAACAGGATTCAGGTCAGTTTACAAAAAAAAAGGAACATTTGAAGTTTCAAAATCTGCTATTTTCCCCCAATTTAAATACAACTGATTTGTGGAAAAGGGCATCATTTAATGATAAAAACCTAAAAAATGCAACCACATTAAACCAAGTCCCTGAGATCATTATACTATTGAATAATGGGATTGTACTGTTCATGATAATTTACAATGCCTCCAGTATCACAATCTCCTGAGTTTTTCTTCACAAACACAATTAGGGACTTGGAAGTTCAAACACTTTGCTAAAGCTTTTTGATTATGTGTTCATAACTCGGTTTCCTTTTCTTAGCAAAGCTAAATTTGACCAAATCTGCCAACTCCGTTTTCTGCAATGTAACATTTTCGGAATTTCACTCTTTTGGCGATGTTTGATGTGAAGTTGAAATCATGACTGAGAAGAGTGCTGGTTGAGAAATGGTTAGCCTTGCACCTTTAATCAATCCACATCTCTCATTCCATCCTAGCCACTTATCCTTGTACAGTAATGTGACAAAAGCCCCCCAAAAATGAAGGTACACCTTGAACTGGCACAACATCATTGTTTTATTAGCATCTTGCATTACTTCCCTGAAAGGCAGCTTATGGGGTAAGGACTGTTTTCCAAACCATAAATTGATAACCAAAACAAAAAGTAATCGCTTAAGAACAAGATAAAGAGGACTGAATTGATCAAGACTAGGTAATACAACGATTCAGTTGTGTGACAGGACTACCAGAGTACACAGAACTGTAACAAGTCAGGATATTTTGATGGAAAAAGTTTAAGGTTTTTCTTTCTGACATTTTACAGTCAAAAACATCTGTATCAAAAGGACTTATTTTTCTGTTTTTCAAGTGTCATAATTCAGCCCAATAGTGTATTTACATCCCTAAAACACAAATTTTCACACACAATGTGAGTCTGAAATTTTAGGTAAATTTTCAGCTCTACTGTTATTCAAATGACAATAGATATATTTTTATAAATTTGGCATTTCCAGCTCTGATCCCGAAGAGCCTCAATCCAGCAACTCCATAGATAACCAATACCATCACCAATTTCTAGCTACTTAAAAAATGTATTTTTATTCATAAGTGATGTTAAGTAAGGAATATCTGGATAGTGTTTTTGGTTACAAACTTTCACTCATGATCAAGATCCACTGAAAGTACAATCTTTTTTTCTTAATTCGTTAATAGCTTTACAGTGTTCCCAAATGTTAGAAATGAATTATTTAGCTTGAGCTATAAGACTTACTGAACTGAGACTACAGGACTGGGATCAGAAATCACCAATTCCAATTTAACCTTGGTTTTCTGATCAAGACAAATAATTCAGCAAACAATTACCTAAACTCTACCTACCCTGCTCACCAGGTTACCTAATTGGTACCGACAGAAGGCACTCAGGAATGAAAAATGGCCCTCAACAAGTTTTGCAAAGTTACTATTAAAAAGTTATTCACCTAGTAAAACAAGTCGATTTGCTGTAGCAGGAAAAAGCACAGTCCAGCTGATGTAAACCAAAAATCAAAAAGGATTTGTGATTGCAACATTATGAAAGTGGGTATTTCAACTTGTAGCTCTGCTACTTCAAACCATAATACTTGATTCCCATAAAATACCATTAATCTAACTGAGCAATTTCCAGGTTGGTTTGCTTTGTTTTTTTCTGTGCCATGAGGATAAATATGCTTAGGTTAACTCTTAAAGAAAAAAACTGAATTCTTAAGAATGTTTCATGTCACAAACTTACATAAAGCTATATAAAATTCAAATAAGATTGTGGTTAACTCATACATAGAATACAATGACTACTGAATCTTCATATTCAAATGCTGTTTTTCAAACAAATGCATACTTGGTACACTCTAAATGAACAAAAGAAAAAACCCACCTACTACATACATGTATTTATAATCAAACAAACTCATCAGCCAAACTGTGAAACACTTTATTACTTTTAGAATAAATCAGTGCTTTTTTTGTAACAGTGCAATACACCAGCTGACAATCTATATTTTGCACTTAGCTCACTTATTTCCTGGCCTTAGAGACTATTTTACCCATTCACCTATACATGCAGCTTTAAAATGACCAATAAGGTCAATTTGCCAAGAAAAACTATTTGCTTGTATTAATGCCCATGAAGCACTTTCATCACAAAAACATTTCTACCAAACAACCGAGGGTAAACAGAAATGTCACCTTCACTCAAATTCCGCACTGTGGCCAACACACCCACAGGAGAAATCTTTCCAGAAAGATGCTTCTCCTTTGCCACAACAACAACAAATAAAGTTCTTGCAGTGCCACATGAAATCTTACTTTCTTCCTCTTTCCATTTAAAACCTATGTTTCTGGAGAAAAACCATCCAGAAATGTTCACAAGCACCTCATAGCATATAAACAAATGAAGAATAGCTACTGAATATGGCATAAAGCAAAAAAAAATGAAAAATTAATCTGCCTGGAGCTTCTAGGTGAAGCAGAAAGCAAGAGATGGTATCCATGCAGAATATACAGAATACAACCAATTCGTTTTATATTCTTTTGTGAAAATATTAAATATCGTCACAAGTTCTTGCACACAAGTTTCCAAATGTGCAATTTTAATGCTTTAGTTTCGTTACATATAAAGTAAATTACTTGTTTACCGTTTCAATAACACTAGTAAGGCATAATGCCTTACCGAAAGCACACAGTAACTGAACAAAAACTTTCTATTTACAAAACACAAATACAGCTGTATATTCAATGATGAGAAATATCTTTGAGCTCTTAACACAAAGCACCAAAAATAAAACTATTCGCAGTTTTCTGAGTCTTTATACTAACAAGTCTTGGTGCATTTAAAGTTAGAGATGTTCCATTAGTCTCCAGCAGGAGGAGATGTTTTATAGCTTGAAACTGCATTAGTGGTAACCTCCAGCAATGGTAAAAAATACAAGCATGCAAAGCCGTAAAATATTTGCTGCTTTATAAAGGGTTCAGGTCTTCTTTACATGTTATTTTACCATAATAAACAAGGATAATTCTAAAACTAACAAGTCACAGCACCACTGGTGACCTCAAGAACACTCAAAAGAAAACATTTCCAGTCTGTTTCTTTAATCTTTCTGAACAGACTTACTGAAGTTTTACATTCTGAAAAATGTTCAGAATGTTTGATCAAATCTATGAATCTGGAAGGATCCCACACATCATTTGCACTAATTATTTTAGGAGACTTATTTGGTTATAAAGGTTTTACAAAGGGTCTTTGCAATTTTCCTTATAGCCCAATACCACTTAACACCATTATGGATGTTTTCCATGAGCTTAAATTTATTTCTCCCGAGTAATAAAAGTAGTAGAAATTCAATATTTTACTGTACATTTTTAAGGCAGGATGTCAGTTGGCTGTTTTTTACTATAAATTGAGCTTGCCGAGATATGGGAATTGGTCAAATTTACACATTTTAAATTCATGTTCATCTGTAGCATTCCAGCTTATTCACATTCATTTCAGCGATGAGATAAATATTTCTGCTACATTCCACTGAATCTAGTTCCACTATTATTCACAGTTAAAAGCATCATATTATCTCCACAATAATTAATGAAACTTAATAATGCAAAAGGGAAGGGTCAGACTCTGCACATCAATTTCTCTCTGTTCTGAAAACAAGTCTTTTGCAATGCTACAAAATAATCACCTGTTATAATTAACATTAGCATATTCCCCCTTTAGTATCCTTTGAGACAGGTACACAGACTTACACAAAAAAAAATCACAGTTAGTGGTATAAGCACTTTAAGTTTATGGCTCTGCAAAATTAATCTCAGCTAGATCATTTTTCCTTCTTTGGTATTGCTGTGGAACTTTGGATTTCTAAAAATCTACTGCCTGCCTCAGACATTTTATCAGATACATCTCCAATCATCTTTAGACAAGTAATAAAGTTTGCCAAACACTTTGCTTGAGCCCCGTAAATCTGTCTCGGGTATAAACCGAGTATCTATCTAGATAGATAAAGTATCTATCTAACCAGACTGCCCTATCAACAGAAAAAAAGACTTGCTTTCAAAAACAAAATGCTCACATGAATCTTAAAATTAACAATTCGGTCTCAGTGTGCAGTTCTTCCACTTTTATTCAAGTTAATAACCACCCATCATAGCATTAATTTCACATTTGGGAACAGAAGAGAACATCCTTCCTTTGCCAATGATAAGAGTATTTATTTTAAAAAGTGCAGCACAATTGGGATCACAATGGCATACACTTCAGATAAAAATACCCATATCTTGCGGATATCTCTTGTGACCCTGTATGTTAGCCCACTGGACCTATGAGAGTGCCATGCTGCCGGATATATACTAGCTTTTAAAAAAGAATTTTCCTCAGTGCCAGGGATTCCAAGGTCTTTTATACTAGGTGGAAGGGTGTTTTTTTTTTTTTTAACTCAGAGCATCATCATATGTTGTCATTAGTAAACAGAACTGAATACACAGCTGAAAAAAAAACATTCATCTGGAACCACTTACACACAAAAGCAATACTTAATGAAATGATCTTTTTTCAGAACATTGCCTTATAAATGTGGTTTATTATCTCTCAACGTAGGTTACTGCATTTAGTTTTAAATGTCAGTGCCACATTTACAAAACTACTACCATTGACTAGAACATTTTCTGCCACACTATGACTAAAACAAAGTTCTAATCTAACAGCATATCACATCTCCGGGGAAAAATACAAGGACTTAAAATGCAGATTAATGTACACATACAAAAGATATAAGATATGTACTCTTTTAAAAAACTAGACTCTGAAAACCACCTCCCCATTGTAGTCTGTTTAAAATACTACTAGATGGGCAATGAATACAAAATGGTTCATTTCTGCTAAAAAAAAACACAAACATAAGGTGAAAAATGCATAATTCTGGTCCAGGCAAAATACCACTTAATTTTGCACCAACAGTAAATTATTGTTGCTGAAGGTTCTTTACTAAGCACTCCATAGCACCTTCAAAATCAAAGCAGAATTATTTGGATTTGTATTTAAACAAGGCTGCATACTGTGGAATGACCATGAAATATTTGAAAGTTTCACGATGCAATGAGCTTCAGACTACTAACTCGGCATTGCAGAGATGTTGTAGCTGCAGAGCACACTGAAGGCTTCCCAAGAAGATCAGACTGCAGAGGTCAGGTTTATAGAGCCTGTCTTAAAAGCTGTACTACATACATAATGTTCCATAAAGCTATATGAAGACTGGATATGTTTAAGACAGACTATTTTGTTCCTTATGTGTAATGGGTTTAACTCTATTGGCAGTTTCCCATTGCTTCAAAGCCGTTCGTCAGGTCTGATGCATGAATTGTGCACAACAACATGATCTTGCTGCTACATTCCAAAGAAGCACCGTCAAACCTCACTAGAAAATTGCAAAGAGAACGCTGAACTGATCCGAAGCCTCTGGAGTTGAGCTGAACACAGCACTGCTCGAAAACTTATAACCTGCATGAAATCACAACAGTTGGAATATAAGCATGAAATACAAACAGTAAAAAAAAATGGAACATCATCTCCAATAATGTTTAACGTCCAGAAGATATTCTGTAAATGATTACACTATTTAAGCGTCAGTTGAATACATGAATAACGTGGTGCTCAATGTGATCAAAATTCATCATCAGTTCTGAAAACAAATTGTTGCCCTTAAGTCATATTCCCTGGGTGATGATTTTAATACACTATTATATACACAGTACCAGTGCCTAAAAATGTTCATCTACACCAACGAAACAAAAAAATACAGTGCTACAGACGGCATCATCACATGCTGCTACAACTGTTTGAGTCATTGTTTATGTCACTGCGATGCCAATTTTTTAAACTGAAGAACATGTTCTAGATGACAGGAGGCTTCAGTGACGGCTGACAGAGAAACAGCAGCAACAGTTGCGTCCTCAAGTTGTTTCTCTTGCAGCTTTGTGGGATGTCAGGACAGCAGCATCTGGTCACAACACAGCCTTGCAATAAACTACGATACCATATCTACGTCCAGAAGTAAGCGCAGTGTGGGTACAATTTCTAAACTTGATTAGCTGTGAAAGATCTAAAACAGTTGTAGCACATGGTAGCGTGGTGAATAATGTCCCAATTGCTTTGTAAGGTCATGCCAGGACTTAACTTGCACATAACAGAACACAGTGTTAAAGGAGCTTGCAGTCCACTGCTTTGATGAACAAAAACCAATACTGAAAAGGTAGAAAGAAAAAAAAGATTAAATGCATTCAGAGTTACAGTGCGAACAGGTTTTACCCATCCCAAGCAGAGTAAAATTCAAACCAAACCCAAGGTTACGCATATTTTTTCTTTTGTTAGTTTCCCTGCATCTCTTCAACCCCTGAGACAGAAAGGTTTGTACTTAGAAAAAGTCTAGGTGGCGAGTCTACAACCCTCCCTTTTGTACATCATTCAGTCGTCATAGATCAAAACATTTCATTATAGCTTCCCGATCAAACTTGAAGCTGAGGAAAGACCTGGAATAAAGGACATTTTCACATTCCCCGTTGCATGTAGTAGGGACTCCCTCCGCATGTGTCAGAGGCTGTTCATCATTGGAGCTGCAAAAATCACATACTGCATCTGGAGAAAAGCAAAATACCACTGTTTAATGCCCAGTGAAATAATTAATTAGTGATCAAGAAAACATGCTTTAAAATAAACTTCAACCAACCCCCTAGATGTCACAGAAATGCCCAACATTAACCATATTTCCTGTGCTGTAGTTTACCCCAGAATACCGTACACTCACCGGTTTCAAAGTTATCCTGCAGTCTTCTCGGCTGAAGCCTCTTCTCCGCTTTCTAAGGGAATAGTTTGACAAATATGGAAAAAGTTAAGAACACATGACAAGCCTGTTTTTTCAGTTTCTACAATATTTCACAGCATGACGCATTTATCAGACACCCTTATCCAGGGTGGCAGACAAATACGCCACTTTCATTCCATTAGCAATACATTATGGTTTCATTAGTCATACTTATACAATTTTACAGAAGGGAAATAGGACAGTACTTTATGGTTATTATACAAATAGAACTGGCGAAGCACAATGGTATAATAATTTTAAACCCTGATGACTGTGATACACAAAGAAAGCCTGTATCAGGATGGCACATGCACATTTAATTAAATGTAGATTTTTTTCATTTAGTCAACATGGAAACCATAATAACTATTTGCTTTCCGGTTACAATTGCCAACTGGTTGTTATTAAATCTAAAAATCTAGGCTTCACATCTAAGCTCATTGCAATTACCTATGACTCTTTACAGGACGAATGAGGAGGGGCGGACATGCTCTTCCAATCTCCTTATCAATCAAGCCATATAGTGATACGCTACAAGCTCTGCGGTGACATTCAGGAAGATAAGTGCCTATGCATATTTGTGCACTGTTTTAGTTCCCGAATTTGAAACACACACCTGAGTGTGTTTCATGTTGCTTAATAAGACAGGAGAGTTCATACTGCATATTTACCCGTACAGTAAGGTCCCAATATTTACAATTTAACATTGGCAAATTTGTTTATTTGTGATTCTGGCAGACGGGGCCTTGGACAGAAGCCACATAGAGAGAAGAAAACCAAGGCAAAGGTCGTGAAACGCAACTTTCAAATTCACACATCTAGCTAGAGAGTGAGCCTCTCCCTGCCCCCTGCACAAGAGCCTACCACCCAGCACCTGCACCTCAATGTGGTCTTGTTTTTAATCTGAAATGAACATTCCCAGTTCTGTTTCAGCAGTGCGGGGAATGACAGGCTGGAGACAACTTCACAGATACTCTAACAGTTTCACTGCATTACAGTGGAGTGCACTAGTCAATGGGTAAGGGAGACAAAGAGCAAACTGGACGTAGAGGAGGGATTCATGTTACTTTAATGGATAACTATACGTTTGTGATTAGTCTCCATTGATCTTTAATTGCTCAATGTTATTTAAATTAACTTAAAGCCAATGTGTTAGTTCTTGAATTATCATAAGGGAGGATTACTTTTGTCTTTTAACCATAAATACCATAGACTTTCATACAACTACAGTTCTCTGCACCCAACCCATGCAAATGTCAAGACCCTTCTGCATATTTAACAGCTCTGTGCACTAGTCCACTATAAACTGGAATGTGTATTACTAAGGGTCTATAAACACGCCATAAGGAGGACAGGGCAAACCGAATAAAAAGTTCTTCTTAAGTTGAGCAAATAAAATTCTACTTACTGCAGACTGGTGATGTTTAACCTGTTGATTGCTGACACCATTTGCCCTTTTCTTTAGGTTTGGAGAATCTTGGTGTTTTTTTCCATTACCTCGCAAATTCTGCAAAACATGATAAAACCTTCACTTTAGTTGTCAGGCAATTTAATGTCTACACAATCCTGGTCCTGTACCAAGTAAAAAGTATTCATAATTGCGGGTTTAGCAAGAAACTGTTTTTCACTTTGGCATACACAAAATTTAAAATGAAGTCATGGAGTGACAGTACTTACTTTGACTTTTAAGAATTCAGATAAGTCGTGTTGAGTAGATTGGCTGAATGGCTTTTGTTGCTTTTGTTTCAACCAGCTGTCTCCTGAAGACCCATCCACAATTGTCTGGTTCTGTCTTGATCTAGACCTACCAAAAACAGGCAAACACGTCAACAGTCAGCAGTCAACCTGAAATACTAAACGTTCTATACTCGCTACTTTTACCCAGAATACTTGTATAAGTATTTCTATACATACATATTCTCACAACGTGTTGTGGTATAGTGCTGAAACAATAGATGGAGTAGAAATGTTTTTCATACAATACAACTAAATTTTAAATGAAATACAAAGAAAAACATGCCAGGTGCTTTCCAATCATTTGCAACATTAGTGATCCTGGAAGGCCAACTGGAACTAGTTTATGATACATTTAACACTCAGTAATCAAACCCCCACCACCTCCCAACAGTGAAACAGAACAGCAGCAACAAATCTATTTTGCTCCTATTGTAAAACCTGGGTGACTTCTGCCGCAGCAGCCACAGAGCAAGCTGTGTAAGTGCTGCACAAAATCCATAGAGGAAAGACAAACAAAATCAGCTTCAAATGTAGCTTTCACGAAATGGACCTTACCTTAGACAATCATGCCATTTTAAAAACAAACTTGAGAAAAACTGCAACATATTACATGATATATTCCAAACTGCAATAGATGTTGCCCCCCTTCCTCACACCCAGGACATTAAATACAGTTCCGAACTTACCGAACTTTGTCCATCTGAGGTTTGGCTGGTGTGCTACCATTGGGAGGGAATCCATTGTCACTGTCTGAAGACTCTCCTTGCTTTTTAGCTATCCATTCTCTGAGAGGTCTATAAACATTGATAAGAGGGGAAAGAAACACTTAAACCTTTTACAGATCTGAAGAACTCTTCATTTCACACATATATGTTTTGTTACACAGCTTCTTCTGCCGTTTTATTACCACATGCAAATTAGGGTTACGGAAAAGTGCCGGAAAAGAGAACGGAACCTGCCGCTGGAGGAGCTGCTGTGGGATATGAGTAAAACCTGAATCATTACACTTCTTTGGTCAATCACATGAAGCCTTGGGCTTCATCCTCAGTCTACCACAAGATGGGAGCAGACCCTAAAGCCAACTGTACTTCATATGGATATATACAATTGAGCCTTGTCATGACAAGCCCACTGAACTAGGTCATGTAAAATTTATCGGCATACTTTGCCTACTCAACAAAGGATCCATTATCAGGCCTTTTGAAGAGGGACAAGAATTGAACTGTATGACAAGAAACACACAAAGGTGTGCATCACACCAACTATATTCTAATGTTTCCGAGGGATATGCTCCATTTGAGATTAGTTAAACTTCCTGCTGCACTGCAGCAGAGAAATGAAATGAAGGATTATAAATGATTTAATCAACAACTCCACCCCACAACCAAAACCATCCGAGTTTGATGTATAGCCATCAAAGTCTATACACTGATGTGCCTTGACATAAAACGCATCTACAGACAATTGTCAATACACTTACTGAATAGCAGAATATTCAGACTTGACATAAGACCAAACTCCTTCATCAACAAGCTCAAAACACATATGTCCCAACAGTAATGATTCAGATTTGTGATGAGTGTCTGAAGAATGTTGAGAGCTTCCCCATACCTTTGGAGTTATTTTTCACAGAAGGACGAAACAGACATTTAAGAAAAATCAGTATCATCTCAAATCTGGAAGGGCAGCCTTTAGCCGTCTCAGGAAATGGAAATGGGAAAAAGGAGAGCAAAACTGAAACCAGACCGATGGCATATTGTTCTGTTATTATTCAGCTTTAACGCATGGAGCTGACACAAAGACTACACAAAGGAGAAACTTAAAAGTACGGAAATTGTGTCACCAACAGTGTTTGGAGAAGACTTTACACATCAAGAGGAAAGGCAGAGGCACCAAACTTAGTTTTTTCCCCCCAAATAGGCATCAAAGGCATTGAAGCTATCAGATTCAAAAGCTCTTTCGGGTGCCTGGAGAGTGTGTGAACCCAATACTGGTCTTATCAGTCACATCGGTGTTCACAGAAAGTACTAGCTTTTGACCATGGACTTAACCCATTAATAAATGAACATACAAGTGAACAAAGGGACCTTATGGTCTTTCCAAGTTTAAAAAATGCACATAAAGCTCTGACAATGGACAAAAAGTAACCATACAAACAATTCCGCATGCACAATGTTGCCCCTAACAGTGCAGCCCTATCACTGCTGTGACCATTTGTGAGAATGTAGCCTTACTGTTCAAAGCTTCTGCATACAGAATGTCCATTACTTGCAATGTGGAATTCTGCAATCTTCTCATGATACCCTGATGGAAGTAATGGTCAAATACAATAATATTCTGAAAGCCATTTGCAAAACACCTGCTATTATTCCTCTTGTGAAGCAATGAATCCTAATGTTAAATGTATATACCTCCCACACATCTTTTTGATCTCTCCCATCTTACAAAAAGCCTAATGGGTAAGAAAACTGCAACACATAAATTGGTGGGTGACATATGAATAAAAAATGTTTCATTTACTTTTGCGTCCGCCTTATGTATGGTTTATATACAGTTAAAAGGTACATTATTTTGATTCCACAGAAACTCCTTCATAACTGCAGCATACTTTAATACATTTCTTTAGTATCTTGGATAAGTAAGCCATAGTTTTTAACAGATCTGTTTTATTTAGGTTTTTAACTGCTATACAATATTTTCTTCTGCTTAAACCCACCTCATAAATGGAATGGCCATAAAAAATTTATTGGGTGCAAGTCCCAGTTTGGATTTAGGAGTCATATCATTCTTGTGCGATGGAAGCTTTTCTATTGAAAACCACTCGATATTCTGCAATGATAAAAAATACAATTTTACAAATGATTGAAAAAAAAAACTCACAATGTAGAAGAACAATCCCAATCACCTACCCGGATTTCTTTCCTTGTTTTAGGGTTAAACTTGGTCTCCTTGGGAACCCCAGGGATTATGTACAAACGGGCTAACTGATCCGTGATTCTCTGCTCAATGAAAGTATCTTTGCAGATGCGATCTCGAATGTCGAATCCAGTTTCTTCCAGCACCTTGAAAGAGAAAAGAAAATGTTTTCCAAAAACCACAGCACACGGACTACAGAGCAAATTAAGCAGAATGCTGATTTTATTTGTAAATATACTAGGAATAATGTGAAAAATGCCATGTGACAAAAACATATATAAAATATAGCAGCTGTGTAAACAAACTAAACAAAAATTGGGAAAACCGAGTGTGTTAAACAAAAGCAAGAGCTGATCTAGAAAAATACTTTCTTATAGTTTTATAAATATTCAAAATCATATCCATCAATAATTAAAAGAAGCTCTAGTATGTCACAATCCCTGTCCTCCTACATTAACAGTAAAGAGCTACCAAGAACTAGATCATAAAAGTTTGAACACACCACTCAGACATAATCAAGGCTTGCAACATGAAAGCGATAAATCACCAGTATAACAGCAGGTGGCGCTCTTCTCATTGCACTAGACTTTCACCAACCTTTACCCTACACTGTGTCACAGGAAGAGCAGTCCTTCGAATGAGACATTAAACCATGATCCTGGGTTACTGATTACTCGGTCATATAAATGTTATGCACGTAGTGCATTTCCCCCAAAAGCGCACGGCATTTACCGACGCACCCCCGCCTTCTATTAAGAAAACTAAATTCTCACTTGCGTTAAAACTGAGAACAGGAGACCAGCCTTTACCCAGAAAATTGCAGGAGTATGGAGCAAGCTACCCAGCCGCGTTCTTGAAGCGGACACCCTGGTTCCTTTCAAGAAACAGCAGGATGAGACCCCCAGATTGGTTGACTCCTAACTCCCAAACAGGCTAGATGACCCATTCTTATGTTCCCGCTTACTTCTACTGGGAAAGTAATTTTACACTTCTTGCATTTTTCTTGGCCGATCCCCATTTTGAACTTCTATTGTTTTTGGACTTTGGGGAATGCTGTAAAATCTTAGGGGGCTAGTTCAAGTTCAAGGGATAGAACCTCTAGGTTTTCTGGGATTGTGTGCTGACCTCTCGTGCAGCACAGTCATGGGGAGCCTCATCCTCGTTCACTTTGCCCTTGGGGAAGCCCCAGCCAGACTTGGCAAGATAACCCTGAACGAGCAGGACCTGAAAAAGAAAACAGGAGAAAACCGCTTACTAGCAGAAAAACAACCACCAGTTAAAAGTTTAATACTTTAGATATCGAATATTTTGAAGATATTGGTCACCTGACAGGATAAACAAGATCTCCTGTGCATGGCATTTGGAAAAGAAAATCCTAAACATCTACTCCATTTTATGTGTTTCTACTGAAGCTGTGAACTGCTTCTCTTGTTACTTGAATAGGTGGGACTATTTGTGGATTGTGCAATCATGATGTAGAAACTATCTGACGTATTCTGCCACACAAAAAAAACATGTCTTTCTGAGGGCTATTGACAAATTAACAACTAGAAATACACAGTGTAAAACGAAACATGCTTAAGAACATTAGTTGTCTGATAAGACTTTTTCCTCAAGTTGCACAATAATTTGGCTCACAAATACGACATGCCTGTAATTAAAAGATCATACAAAGGTTTGCTGAACGTCTAGCACACGATTTGTTTAGAGCAGCAGTAAGGCACAATTGTCAAGGCACTGCACTGTCAGCTGGAAGATTATGGTTCAAAGCCCAGGTAGGGCACCGTTGTTGTACCAAGCAAGATACTTGGATTTCTTTAGGAAAACAAAGCATCAACCAAATTAATCATCTCCTTTTAATAATGAAGATCTAAATAGTCATAAAAACTATTGGACTAAAACTGGAAAAGACTGAAAAGTTAAACAAAAGTTCATCAACCAGTAAAAAATTTAAAATGAAGGCAAGATGACCAGGATTGGGCATTTGAAGAGAGACGCTTTCCTGTACTAAAGAGCTGAAAGGGTGTAAAAATGGAGCTCACTTTCAAAGTACTCACATTTTCAAGTGTTTCATCGAGAATAATTGCACCATATGTTGGAACCCCCATTTTATACTCCTTCCACTGTTCTAAAACCTTCTGAACATCTTCTCCTTGTGGCAATAAAAAAGGACAGTGATTAAAAAGTAAACAAAAGGTTAAGGATTGAAAACTGCAAATAAATACAGTAACTTTTCAGCACTGGTGCTATTTTCAGGCCACAAATACTAAAACTCAGGTGTCAGATGAAATGCTGACATTATTACATCCTGTACAGAACTACTTTAACTGTGTGACACCAGCGACATCACTCCAGGCCATTTCACACACAAACCAGTTTTCTTCTACATTTTAATATCAGCTTATAAAATGAACATCATATCCATTAAAACAGCCTTTGTCACAACATCTAGAAAGTCATCACCACCAGCAGCCAAGACTGGACACAAACATACAGTTCTGAATATTGCAATATCTGTGTGGCACCATCACTCTTGTATCCATTTATTATAGAAAAACTGTAGACTAGGAGAAAAACAATGAGCAAAACAGAATTATGGTAAAACCGAGTAATTCAAAAGCAATCCCTAATTTGTATCTCTGTGCTGAGATTTGGAGCAAAACACCCTTAAAGTATTAGCAAGGTAAGTAGCCATTCAGCCAATCTTGCCTGTCTGGCAAACAAGACAGTAACTGATCTAAGGCGCCTGTCTACATTTCCTCATTCTAACCTGTATGAAATCACAAGCAGAGGCCACAAAACTTTCCTTTCCAAAACTGAAAGGGTAAATACTTTTTAGCAATAATAGTGAGGGCTATCATAACCCAGAGCCTATCCCATAAGCACAAGACACAAGGCAAAGCTGAAATACCACTGCAAGACAAGGATGGCTATTCTGAATTGCCAGGGCCAGCTTTTTGTTGAAAGTATGAGGAACTTTAGCACCTTGGGAAAGCTCACACAAACGCCGGGAGATCATGCAAACTTCACACTAAAGGCTCCACAGCCGAAATGTTGAGCTTCTTTTCAGCATAGAATAAACCTTTACTTGTTCCATTACTGGTAGGTTATTTGACTTCAGGGAAAATTGACCCTGGCGTGCCTGAACTGTGCCTGCCCTGTGATGGACTAGCGCTCTCCTGTGATTCTGAATGAAAGACGCCATCAGAAAAATGGATAGATTACACAAAACATATACTGGGTGTTGTAAACAGTGTACGCTTTTAGTTCTACACTAGCAAGCATCCCAAGGTATACAACAGTGGTCTTCACCATCAGACATCTTAACTAACACTGGTCTGCAGTCGGCAGTCCGATTCAGCTCACGGTAAAGATTATGAAAGGATATCAGCTTTTGCAAACTCTCTTATCCCGCACTGAGGCAATCCTGGTGTGTTCTGCATGTAGAAGTCCAAGTAAAACCAGTGGGCAAGCTCGATCTGGAAACAAACTCGGATTGCATTGTCTCGTTCTTCACTGGGAATGTGCAGGATGAATCGGCTGGAAAGACAAGAGAGTGAAACATGGAACTCAGGTGTCCCTGCATGAACAGAAAGGTCACAAGAAGAAATGAACAGGTATGTTAATAACTTACTAATGTAATGTTGTTGTTGTTTTTTTACTGTTATTGGTTTCCTCACACAAGCACTGTGCCTTAATAAATGACGATGTTTTCCTGAGAACATGACCGTAACCCGTGTTAATAAGTCACAGAAACAAAGAAAAAGTCCAAACTAACAGGAGGCTGCAAAACTCGGGGTACAGCAGCAGCTGCTCGGCTACACACCACGGATGACATATTAATGGTGCACACGCATCTTTTAAACAGAGATCTCCTGTGTTAAAGCCCTGCCTCTTCCTATTAACATCAGATGAAATACATCAAGGAAGTAAGTCAATACGTGGTAATAAGCAACACCAAGATTTTATATAATAGGTTACTTTGTGAAAATGATTTATTAAGTACAAAACAGTGCAGTCACCCAACTATAATAAGAATACATAATACATAATAGCCTTGTCCCCAAAATCAATTTCTCTGGGCCACTTCTTTAATAGCAAAAGCAACAAATAATTCCTTGCTGCTATACAGTACTTTCACAAAGATTCCCAAGAGAGGCTGCACATAGGAGGGGGTTTCAATGATGTGCAGTACCTATCGTGCACCAGCAGCCCCACCACAGAGCAGACTCTGTGAGAAACTTGCTTTTCCAAGTGGAGCTTTGGGAAGTCTGGAATCCAGACAGGTCCAGATCACCAGGGATAACAGCTGTACTCTTTCAAATAGTGCCATGGTATCTTTAACAGCTACCGAGCCAGAATCTTGATTCTACTCCTCATATGAAGGACAGCACCTCCAGTGACATTCTGGGGCAAAGGCTTGAAAATTGGGGTGCAGAGCAAGGAGTGCCACACACTGGTCAGCCTTCACCCCTTACAGCAGCAACCTGGCTTTCCCTAAAGGTCTCCCCATCACAGTTATGACCAGGCCTGTTGAGCCGCAGGAATCAGAGGAAACCGGATCACAAGATAGTGATACTGCTGCTTATTGCTCATTTATTTGTATAAAAGGCATCTAATTAAGCTTTAAAAGGGGGCACAACCAACAAAGCAAAAACTCAATTACACGAATTAATGTCTATGACCAGGCCACAAATAACAGTCTCCTTATATTATTAGTGATTATTATTATTATTCACTCCTTATATTATAAGTGACCATCACTGACACTTCAATCTCTATGCGATTCAAGCCAGGCAAGTTGACAAACCGCCAAGTTAGAAAAACGCACTGAACAGTTAGCTCCCAACAGCCCAAGAGCAAACAATCGAGAAGGTATAGATTTCACACACAAAAATCAATTGATTTGATCAATTTCTCCGTCCACAGCGGGTATTCAAACGAGAGCACAGTTTTAATAGTTATTGTCTAGCATGTTTCGCAGAAATTAACTAATTGCTGTAGCAATCGGCTCGCTACCGAAATACACATCTTCTAAAGTAATGGAGCGGATCTCATCCTTTTCTGCCGAAAAATAACAACTATTGCTGTACTATTAAGAAAAAAGTACAATGCCACAGCAGTACAATGAAACGAAAACAATTATCTGAAACTTCGACTGACGTTTGTTTTGCTCAGCCCGATAATACAAGCGTTTTCTTAAAATAAAATACTGCTAGTTTCATTTCTGTGCTTAAAAATACACTTGGAGCTAGACCGAACCCACCCCCTCTAAACAATGATTAAGACATAAAACAAACACTCACAGCAGTAAAACACTTTGCTACCACACACCTCCCGGTATGAAAAAGGACAACCAGAAGCGCCCGAATAACTGGCTACATCTTTTTCATAATAACACTTACCTGCAGAGGTCGTCCAATACGCCGCTGGGAATCTCCCCTCGTTTCGTCTCCATGATGAGGATAAGAACATCCCGAACTAACAAAACTGCTCATAAGAAGAAACAAACACCACGATGGAACTGCGATTTTTTTAACGTCGCACGAATAACAAAGTGCGAAACGGAAGAAAACATCGGCGCGACCCACGCAGGAGCAGCTCGCAAACCAACCACTGAAGGACCAAAGGCGAAGACAGACGCGGCCGCCGCTCAATCATACAGAGCGGAACAGGACCAGAGGCGATGGCGTCACAAAGGTAGGTGGGACAAACACCACCCCGGGGGCTGGCCTTTCGTCCGGACACAAAATTGGCATCCCAGTAAGCCAATCACAATGGTGAAAGGACGTCTAATCTTCCATCACAATATATGTCGTCCAATCCGGGCTCCCCGTTTGTCGAGTTTGATTGAGAAAACAAGGAAGACTTTAACAGGCCGAAAATACGTCCATAACCGCATTTCGGAAATTGAAGAGTGGCTGGGCGGCGTCGGTGCTTTCCGGCCCTATTCGAGTATTTCCGGAACAAAACAAAGGTCTCGCATTTCCGCTTATCTAAACAAAGTGTAAAATTGAGTACGATTCGTGCTTGATGATTACTCACCGATGTGCAATTTTCTCGCCTCTGAATGACATATGTGTCAGTGTTGGCTCGTTATGATTTATTTATTGATAAATGACTTTACAAATTCATTTATAAAATGGCAAGTGTATAAGTTCTTCATTTTTATCATTTGCTTAATTTAAATTCGAAAACAAGGCAAAAAAGCTTGCCTCCGAGTGACAACCTGTGTTTTGGATGTGCGTTGTATTATATTTTCTTATTATCCCTTGATTTTCTTAGTGTCTCCTCCCCGTCTGGCAGCTGCTTTTAATATTCAAAATGTACAAGGAAGATAAACGTGCAGGTGGGTAGCTGCGTCAGCATGTGTAGGCTGCAAAGGAACAAGTCATAGGTTTATTTCACGCTGAAAAAAAAAGAAGAAAACAACGTTTCAGACGTGGAGCCTCACACCTGAAGAAGGCTCCACGGCCGAAACGTTGTGTTTTCGTTCTTCTTTTTTTCAGCATGGAATAAACCTAGTGTTCCAAGGAAGATAAACTCTCCGATTAACATTTGGAAAAGAAAAGAGAAGCTCAGAAACATCTAATAATCGTGGAAAACAGAAGTGTAATTGCAGCATTCCAGACATTTTATTCTTTCTAACGTTCATTAATGTGTGGAATTAACCTATACTCCTTTCTTTGAAGCCAGTATACTGAAACGGCACTCTCAACGTTATCAGAGTTGAGCCTCAATTCAAAACTGACTTTTGGAACTCGCATTATGATCCACCGATTTGGAATGTATACTAAAATAAACAACATTTTTTTTTACTTTAAACTGTGTGAAAATAAATTATGTTACAAATTATATCTATCTATATTGTGGTAATTAATGTGCTGTCTTACCTGTGACTCGAAGAAGCAGCAAGTTGGTGATTTGCATATAGTACATATAATGTAGGTATATTAATTTCTTTGCTGTTAAAGTTGAAAATCCTTTTAAATTGTAATTGGGCAAATATTTTAATTGCTGCACATTGATGGAGATTTTGACATATTTACATTATACTGTCTTTTATTTAACAAAAACACACCAGTCTGTGCATCTTACTATTGAATATTTAAAGAAAGTTCACACCAAACCTATCAGACATTCTTCAGGCTGCTGATCCACCTAGTCCTTGGGCTAACATTCTTTAAAACTGTTACGTAAACATAGGTGTACTGTAGGGTGTAAAGCTGTTTTTGATTTGGCTTCCTTAAGGCTGCAATATCTAAACTCAGCTACCTTCCAGCTTCACACTTTTGCAAATAAATTAACAGGAACAGAAGGAGCATAATAATTCTAATAATAATATACTGTATTTATATTGTGCTTTTATTCCTAAAAGATACAAAAGTGCTTCACATGCTGGTCATCACTAAAATGCAGCACCTCCCTTTATGAGTCACTGCAGCTATAATGTGCCAGCAGCCCCACTACACAACAAATCAAAAGTGAGCAATCACTTCACCAGGTGCGTGGGGGAACTTCAGGTTGGTATATTTTGCAAACCCAGGGCAACGTTTTGCTAACCCTACCAAAGCAACAACTCTTTTTTTAGAAACTGTATAAGATATAAGACCACTTTATTGGCCATATACAATTTCCTGCAGTAGGAAATTTGTCTTTTTGCATACTCAAACTTGCTCTCCATGAGACACAGAGACAGGGAGAGAAGCTTGGGGTCAGCCATTTATACGGCACCCCTAGAGCAGTTGGGGTTAAGGTCCTTGCCTAGGGGCCCAACAAAGTAGGATTCCTCTGCCGGCCGCGGGATATGCACTGGCAACCTTCCAGCCACAGGTGCTGTGTTTAAAGTTTAAAGTTATTTTATCTATAGTATGTATGTTCTTCAAGATCATACAGTTCCACATTTTTCTTAGTGTTGAAACTGAGACCCTTAACTATAAAAATAAGCCAAAAAGATATTCAAAGAACAAAATCAACAAAATTTCAACGTGTGATATATTCCTCAATGTACAATGCCTCCTCAACATTACAATCCAGTGCTGCAATCAGAAACCTTTCTCATCAGAGCTGTTATTATCAGCAAAGGTTATCTTATCTCAGAGCTCAGTCTTCAGCCAAGAGGAAATGTAGAACCCTGAGTGGGTCAGAATGAGAGATGTGAAGATGTCATCTCTTCTTGATTTGCTATCAAAGATGACACAGCTCATTGTGATCTTACCCATCATTAAGTGTCTTGAATTGTGGCAGATAGTGATCTTCCCTCGGTTGGCTTGAAATTATTGGGGGGGGGTTGGGTTGTGCTTTTGTCTTTGTTATTTAGTAATAAAATCATGTTTTACCCTGGGCTACATAGTGACAGAAGAAATTTGCAAACGTTGATGTGACTCTAGTAGTCTGGTCCTGTTTGGGTTTCAAGAGTTTGGTCATGCTCATTGTTTCATGGAGGAATGTTGGTAATCTCTACGCCATGAATCGTAGCTAAGTGCTTTTGGGCGATACGTCTATGTGCTATATCACAAACTCCAGTTATCATTATCAGATGTCACTACTTGACCTTGTTTATCTTCTTGTTTATCTACTATGCCTAAAAGTTCACTTATGCTAAAATTTACATCAATTTCTCATTTTTACTTCATATTGCAGACAGAAGTTATACCTATATACTGTAGCTCTATAGATGAAAATATGGCAAAACATATGCAGTCTACATACTTCACTGGAAGGTTCAATCTTCATGTTCCTGGAAGACCCTCCAAATTGCAGCTACTGTATACTGATTCAAGAAAAAGCAATGATTAACCACCACACACCCTGGCGTTTAAAATGCAACGAAAAATTAGAAAGACCATTACCTTATCTTTTTTCTGGAACATGCTTTGTGTTTGGTGAGGGAACAGGACTTATGAGCCTGCCTAATAACAGCTAGGAACAATTGAATGGATGCTTAGGTAAGTCTCTAAAAGAGCGATGAGATTTAATTTGTCATTTTTTCTGTTTAAGTAAATACGTATGTAAATATTCCCATTAAAAGTCATATACAGTATAAAACAGCAAGTTTGTGGAGTGTACTTTTGATCCAAACAAAACAATACACATTTTTGACTTAGACAGACATCTGACAGTGCCAAACATAATGGGTGTATATATATATACAGTATAATTCAAAGGCTTAAATATTATATACTCCCTCTAAATGCAGGAAGACCATTTTGAATTGGACATACCAATCAAAACTTGTTTTTCTAGCTCTGAGTAGGGTTATGATAGTACTAATGGTGAAGGGGACTGAACTACACATACTACCAGTTCTACAGGTCCCACAGGTTTCAGTAAGACTGAGATCTGCTGCTGGTTCAGTGAAAGGAGGTAATGGATGTTGGTCTCAAGTCAATACCATTGCCTGTCTTTGAAAAGGTGTATTCACTAGGCAGATAGCTATCCTAATACTGTATGTAGACCAGTGGGTGCGTATGCATATGGACTCACATGCTGATACTTTTTCACTTTTTCAACCACATCCATAACTTAGTTTGACCATGCGGATAGACCATTGCTGTGGACTGTAATATGACTATTTCTAAAATCAACTAGTTTTTGCCCATATTTACTAGTTCGTGTTTTTTAGGATAAATATGAGGGAAGGGATGCATATAAAAAAATGTGTCATTTCAAATGCAATTTCTATGAAACAGTGGGGCACATATAAAACTGAAGCTCTAACAAACTGTAATAAGCATTGCGACAATTGGCTCAGACCTTTGCAGGATCCTAGCAAGAATTTTTAAAGACAAAAAGAAGTTTGAAAAGGGCAAGGAGAGAGGCCATCGGGCGGAAAATGAAAATCCGACAGAGGCGTGGGAGAGGGAGGATCAGTGTGCACTCATTTGAGTCTGAAAAGGGTGTGTACAAACAGGTAAATACCTGCTCTGCAGTTCTCTTAATGGTGAAAGGGGAATTGCAGAGCTTGAAAGTTATAGCTCTGACCTGCTTCATCCCCTGCCGTACGAAGAAGGTGGATTTCAGTACATTTCTGGAGAGTTCGACCTACTAATAGCCACTGCAGAGGTGAAGAGTCTTGAACCAATTTAAACCCACAAGTCATGCTTCAGCCTCATGTACTGTACTCCACGCAGATTACACTGGCCATTTTCTTCTTGACAAGAACTGCCGGAGTCGACTAGCAGCTGTTGGGTGGATTAATTACTACCACACTAAATTTCTGCTATATTGTCCATTTCATGGATTTTCTCCTCCATCGATTTCCACAGTGCCCACATGCTGCAACTTCCCATCCAAGCCATGGCCATCTGCCCAGCCATTGGTCCAGCATTTGACCCTTTGTGCCAACTGGAGCTGGGATAGGTTATGTTTCCCATGTATGCTTTCCCACTGTAGTGTATCACTAGCAAGAACATAGGTCTTATGCAGTTTCAAGTACCATAAATTGGGGTTGCAATCAGGGATTGAGAGAAGAAAGGGGGAAAGGGTTTGTGTGCGATTCAGGCAACTACATAATGAAGGGGGACAAAACGTTGAGCATCAGAGGGTCAGGATGCTACAAGACAAGACATGACGAGAAAACCTGTAATACTGCAACTTTCAACAACATAACAAAGGGTTGAGAGGAGAGGAGATTGAGAAGAGATCATTTTGACCCATTTGGTAATTACAGTAGGTAGGTATTTAAAACATAAAAGTCCCAAACAGTGACTCTTATGTTGCTTCCTTCCAAAAGTGAATTGCCTAAAGCAGCAAGAATGAATGGCATCACTCACTGCTGTTACATGAGTACTCAGATTCTCAAAGCTGCATGCATCCTGACTGACCATGCTACACATTTTGACTACTGAATGATCGCTTAATAAGCTTATTAGTGAGAAAGTTCCTTATGTGCAGGTAATGAGGTGATTTAACTAGTTTAATGTCAAACATCGAGGAACCAATATGCCCTGTTTATCATAAGAACACTCTTGAGATTAGAATGTGATAGTTATGCCATGGGTGGCCTACTTACAAAATTTAATAATAATAATAATAATAATAATAATAATAATTGCTTACACTTATATAGCGCTTTTCTGGATACTCAACCTAAAGCACTCTACAAGTAATGGGGACTCCCCTCCACCACCAATGTGCAGCCCCCACCTGGATGATGCGACAGCAGCCATAGTGCGCCAGAACGCCAGAACGCTCACCACACACCAGCTATCAGTGGGGAGGAGAGCAGAGTGATGAAGCCAATTCATAGTTGGGGATTGAGTGGTAAAGGCCAGTGGGAAATCTGGCCAGGAATCCAGGGTAACACTCCTACTTTTTTCAAGAAATGCACTGGGATTTTTAATGACCAGAGAGTCAGGACCTTGGATTATGACTCATCCAAAGGACGACGCCTTTTAACAGTATAGTGTCCCCCTTACGATATTGGGGCATTAGGACCCAAATTGCCCATAGAGTGAGCGCCCCCTGCTGGTCTCACTAACACCTCTTCCAGCAGACTGTACAAGAGAAATGGGACAGAATCCCACAAGACAAAATGTACAACATGGTGAAAAACATATAACGCAGGTGAATAGACTGTCCATCGGTGTCCAAACGTTACTGGCCTGTGACTTTCACATTAAACCCCCTGTAGTAAAATCCTTTGATGACAAATATTAATCAGCATCATGAATTTACCCGTGTCATCTCTGTTAATTAAACGTCTGTGTACGTCTGTCTACGAAAATTGTATTTCTTTCTGATAATTCCATAAAAGTGTTGCTGTACTATTTTAAAATAATATAGTGCGTTTTTTTATTCATTTGTATTCGAGCCTAACAGGTTAATCAACACAGACACTTGAGCGGATATTGGGCAGTCCGAATGTTATGTAATGAGCCTATTTCTTTCTTGGAAACATCATTACATTTTGTGAAAATAGAACAAAAATCTGAAAAAATACAAAAATCGCTGCAGCATTAAAAGGCTGATTCTGCATTAGCTGAAAATAGAGATAAAACAACACTGATTTACAAGTCAGTTTAAGGGTGTGGCTGCGGACAAAATTGTGACGTCTAGCCCAGCGTGTCTCTGACGGAGCTGCTAGTCACACAGCGCAGAGCTTGCAAAACCAGAATTTTTTTACATCGGTGTTGCAGTTTATCAACTTCGGTGAGGGAGGGTAGTCGGTTCAGTGGTACTCTGCACAGTCATTTTAAAATTAAAATCAATCATGGCAGAAGGAATTAAAGAAAGATTTGAAAAGTTCCTTAACGAGAAGAATGTAATGACCGACGTTCTGGCGAAGATCGAAGCCAAAACTGGAGTCAAGAGGACGTACATTGCACTCGGTAAGTCATCTAACACTCAAAAAGAAGCCCAGGCAAAAGCAGGTTTGCTTCACGGACTAGGAAATGTGTGTCAGTGTTTTATAGGTGGAGAATTCTCTATAAATAGCTCGCACCACATACTGTTGCGAACAGCAGTCGGGCTGACGTTTTAAAAAATGTCTTGCATATGGAGCGTCCCTTCACTGAAGTCGTTGTAATTATTAGAAATTAAAGAAGGCGATATTTAAAATCCATTTGAAACTGCAAATGTCGTAATTGCAAGAACCTCCGAAAAAAAAAATGTTTTATTGGTTGTGAACTTCGGAAGTGCGTGTGCTGTACCATTGCTGTTTTCTGTGTATTTGACGCATTTCGTTTATTGATTTTGTACCCTACGACGCCGTTTCTTGAAACTGCTTTTCATTAAAACAAACGAGGTGTAAGATCGCCTACAATATTTGTTCCCCCACGTCTAAAATGTATAATTGTTGCGTGTGTATTGTATAAAATACATAATGTAAAATAAATATTAACTATTCTTGCTTTTCAGCTGTTGTTGCAGTTGTTGCGGTTTACCTTGTGATAGGATACGGGGCTTCTCTCCTGTGTAACCTTATTGGATTCGCCTACCCTGCATATATCTCGTGAGTTAATTTTCTAGTTATTTTATGTACTGCACGGAGATGAAATATGATCTGTCGCAATGGCAAAACCAGAACCGTTTTCATCTGAGGGCGGCTGTTACTGAAGGATTACATCACCCCAGTGCTGTATTAAAAATTTAAAACCGAAGTTGTGAAAAGCTAGGGCCGCGTTGTCATTTAGTCAAAGGCCTGTTATTCTCAGCACAATAAATAAGTGATGCACATTAAACAAATGTGCTGTGGACGTACAGCTATATTCATTTTATTGACCCACCCTCCACCCCCGCAAAATGGGATGAACGACACTCTTGTCTGAAATTTGACTTGATTTCCAACGGCTATGTAACATTCGAAAGCAGACCAACCTCTTAAAGGAATGACGTGCACAAAAATCAAGTTCTGTTTTTAGGGGTGTACGCCTAAAATCCTATATTAAACATCAGGATTATTATATCAAGCCATAATATTAAAAAAAAATCTTATCAGAAAGATCTGATTACCATACAATACATTATTCCCTCTCAGTGATAGGAGGTAAACGTGAGATAGGGTGCTTGCGTTAGAAAGATGCTGAATGTCAGTTTTTCATAGCAGGTACTGTAGAGCTTAACATTATTACTCCTTGTGCTGGATTTTCTCCTTTCTTAGTAACACTTGATAAATATGAAGCTTAAAGAACTTACTTTATTATAACAGTGCTTATAAACTTGAGGAATCGGCTAAGTTACTTGTGTGAAACTGGGGGATCCTCACCACAAATCTCATTCAGTGAAGTCTTCACTGCAGTGCCTCTGTGAACAGCCTTTTCTTGTTTAGTCCTGTTTAGTGTTATACTGCACCCACAATGCTTTGCCAGATATGACACTGCACTTGTGCAGGTTTGTATCGCCTGTTTCTTGACTTGCAAGTGTGTGTCGATGGCTTTGCAATAATCACCAGGACAAGCCCCACCCTACACCAGTGGGCAAGATGTAATGTCTGGATTGGCACCTTGACAGTTGAAGATTTGATTACATCATGGAATTAGAAAGTCATGTGAGAGGGTGTTTGTAGCTTTACTTTTAAAGTTAACAAAATGTGTTTGCCTGTATTAGAGTAGTATTTTAGTCTTGCTGTTAACAGCCTTCCTTGCATTTTAAATTTGTCAGCTTGATTTATTCTGTGGAATTTGACCCAGTTATATGTATCATAAATAAGTATAATGTTATTATCTGCCTTATAACTGTACTGTAATATATGAAAATGACAAAAAGCTTAAAAATGTTTTAGGAAAAGAGTCTGAAAATGATAACTAAAATAGTCTGATGACTATTAATCCAGAATGGTTGCTTTAATTTTTCCTTTGTGAAAGAGCTAAACAAGATTGCACACCACATGTTCTGTTAAACATGGTATGAATTTTTGTCGTCACTGTACATGATGTCTGATTCAGATAATTATTTTAAGAGCATTGGATTGGATAATACAGAAAAAAATGCCAATCTGAACTGATTCTCACTTCTTACATTTGGATTATAATGTACGTTAAAAAAAACATCAGTAGAGGTGAAGCATGCTGTGCTTCATAAGGAGAATAACACATTTATGGGCAGTGTATTCATAATTCTGGTGATTAAAATCTGATCATGTAGACAGGAAGTTGCTTATTTATTGTGCAGTGTTTACAGAGGATAGAACTGGTATTGCTTTTGAGTAATTCTTAACCTGCTGCAATAACTGCATGTGCATATATGTTCATTGTACAGTCTTATGGTAAATATATTGTTTTCCCTTTTTTGTTTACATACGAGTGAGATTTCTCTGTACACCAATATATTACAGCACTGTATATTTTGGGCATCTGGTATGGGAATGTTCAATAAATATTATAAAACCCATCTATTTGACCTTTGCTAAAGGCCTAAAGTTTCCTCTAACAAAATTAATAAATATATATATATAATGTACACAGGAAAGTGCCATTAGGCTCTAATTAAAAATACAAAAGGAGCATGGGAGAGCTTTAGATGCTAAAGGAAAAAAGACAAGCCTGTACTAGGTGTCACATGCATTTGTAGCAGTATTGTGTCCAGCCCCTGACACAATAAGGTGGAAATATGACAACATTTTGGGTTGCAGAAGCATATCTCTGAAGAATATACAATTAACACCTGTTTATGCTTTAAACAAGCAAAACACTGGTAAAATATGTTTGGGAATAATACTTTGTGTTACCCCTGTATGCCCCCGACTTGCTCTGTTGGTAGAGCAACTCTGTTGGTAGTCCCACATTGGGCGCCAGGTCCTCCATATTAGAGGTTGTGCACAAGGTTAACAGCCTTGTCCTGTAAAAAAAAAACCAAACTGTTATGATAACAGAAGGCATAATGGCCAAACATCCATCTATTACCCCTATTTAGCACAGTGTGCCTGTGAACATCAGAACCAGTTGAAGATTTGATTGAAGGAATTACATCACAGTGGGGTACATGTCCTAAAACTGACCAGAACTTGTTATTGTTTAAATCTCTAGGGTTGTTAGACATAATTCTGTCTGCTGGATGGTTTCAGGTGCTTGTCTGCAGAAGGAGATGTACATTCTGCTACATTTATGAAGGGATACTCCTGCCTGTTCAGTTACCTTTCCAATGAAAGCAGTATTTTATTATACTTTAATCAAAATATCATGGGATACTCTCCCAGATTATAGTGCCCGTGCAACACAAAGGGAATTCAAAATTGCCCATTTAATCATAATTACCCAGCTGTATTGCTGAAGCAGAAGAATCTGCAGAAATCCTTCAAGAAAGGGCTACATGACATCTTCTGATTAATAAAGCCCTAAAAACCAAATGAGGTAGATGGGCTCTGTGGCCTCCTCTCATTTGTAGCATGAAAACATACACTGCTGTTTGCAGTATGGAACAGCTGCAAGATGGCTAACTGCAGTAGTGTAGAAAGAATGGGCTTGTCTTTTGTTACAAACATGCCAGCCTGTCATCGGCAGCTTGTGTTTTCTGATGCCAGAACATTTTATGGTCAATTTTGGTTTTGTTTTATTTGAAGGATGGAGTGGTAGGAAAGAAGGGATTTTTTCCTTGTTTTCCGAAGACAGAAAAATGGTTATGAGGCCTTTTTTAATTTTATTTGTCTTCCAAGTAGTTAACTCGAAATCAGCAGAAGCATTTCGCAATAAGGTGAAGGTGTTTCGGCTAGCTGGCAGACTTATCTTACGTTACGCACGGGGGCCATGTCGCAGAGTTAAAATGTGGTCAGTGAGGAAACAGCACATTTATCTGATTTTTTTTTTCTCTTCCGAACATTCTTAACAGTTCTTAACACCTCATCAGCTGTTTGAGATTTTTTTTTGTGTGAATTGAGGAACACCATGTGTTCTCTCTTTTACTGTGAGCAATGTGCTCAACTAGTTAGCCCTGGTTTTAGAACAGGGCGGGTGAGACGTGTTTTTTTTTTCCCTCTGTCCCTTTCTGAAAGCCACCTGCCTTTTGTCACTCTGGGAGCCCGGGAATGCTTGTACAGGCCGCATCCAACCAGTTGGGGACAAAATAATGGGAATGGTGGTGGCAATTATTAACGCCCATTATTTGGATATTTTGTCATCTTGTCTTTGTTGGTTTCAGGGGAGGGGCTCGGGGCTTTTGGGGGAAAACTTTATGGTAGCAGGAAGGGAGCTAAAGGGATTTCAGGAGTTGTGACTGTTATCCCTCACCTTGAGTTGACGTTGCCATTGGTAGCACGAATTGGTGAAGTGATGCTGCCCTCAGCCACAAACCCACAGGTATCTGGTCTTTCCAAGATGTCACTGCCTTATGGCCAGTTGAAGTGCCGGGGGCTTGGACTGGACTGGCTACTTGGCTCGCACAAAGCTAATGATTCAACCCAAATATGAACCTGCGATGTTTGGTCTAATGCAGTGGTTTCCATTCCCGGTCCTGGTGACCCAACACACCTGATGGGTTTTGTTCCAGCTGAGCCCTCAGTTAAACCATCTAACCCTTCCTTGACTTAACAGCTCATAAACTCCTAAATCCCCAGTAGAAGCAAAATGCAAATGTTCAATTAAAGCATCTTCTTAGATCAAGTAGGGCTTCAGTGATCTAGCTGGGGTGGGCTGGAATTGTGTGAAAGGTCACCAGGACCAGGAGTGGGAATCGCTGGTCTGTGGGCTCAGAAGAGTGCTGTTATTGGTTGAGACCGACATAGTCATCATAGTTGTTCTTCTGGTGTATTTCAAAGAATGGGAGCCAAACAGGTAGATACAGATCCAGCTTACACAGGCCTTAGCTTGTAAAACAATGGGGACAATAATTAGAATTAAGCAAAATTATTTTGTGGTAACAGGGGTGTAGGCCACTTTGGCTTTAGAAAAGACAGATCTGAGTGATATTGGTGGGGGCACATGTTCCATTTAGTGCAGCACATAATTAAGGTTACCCATGTCAAATGTGTGTAACATTTATTTTCGGTACCCGTTAGGATCAGTCATCATGCTGATTATTACAGTAATTACTCTGGACAATTTAGTACACTTGTGAAATTTACAGATGAGAAGTATTCAAATTTGTTAGCAAAATTGTGAATTGTAGATTTAAGTTGGTTGAAACTCATACAAAAGAAGCAAACTATGAAAACTGAAGCAAACAGTTAAATCATTTTATCTTCCTCTACAGTGTAAGAAGTGATTAAAAAAAAAAGGCCAGAGAAATAACAGGATACTTTGTGAATAAAATAGAATATAAATTAGGGGAGGTTTATTCAACTTAATATTTAATACATTTGTTTGAACTTGTTTAGAATATATTGTCCACGTTGCAGACGGAAGATTGCTGGCTGGAATGGGGAGAACAGCATGTCATACAGACGGTTTCAAAATTTAACCTGTTCAGTCCATAAAAGAGGACATTGTGCGGACAGGATTATTACGTCATTACAGCCTGACAGATTGAGTCTAGTGCACTACATCAATATTAAGAGAAACCTGAGAAAAGAAACAAATGAAGAATGCAGTACTGAGAACAGAAATAGGGTGTCAAAAAATACTGAGTTGCTCAGAATGAAGCCTGAGGATCTTTAATGAAATAGAGGCATAAATAAAAATATGTTGGGGGAATAAAAGAAAAGACGGATGAGATCCTTGAATTAATGTCCTAACAGAAACCCAAAGGCTGTGAGGGGGTGAAGGCACTCCTCAATTTCGTTAACCTTGTTTTTGTTCTTACCATAAACTAGTCTTGGTGTGAGAAAACGCTGAAAGGAAGGGACCATTAGAGTATAGCTACAAAATCGCAGTGCATGATAGCTACAGCAAACCCATTTTTTATTACATTACTGTCTACCTATAGTTTTAGTAAAATTGTATCGCAGACATATGCGTATGTCTTACATTCAAAAGAAAGCAATTGGTATTAATTTGAATCGCATTAGGCTAGAGAAGCATTCAGTCACTAATTTGTGGAAGTGCAAGCCAGACTTGTGGTACTTTATAGGTTGAGTCAGTCCCACGTGCTAGGCTTCCAGCATACTTGACATTTTGAGTATGCATGAAACAAACACATGTAAGATTCGGATATTTCGCTCATGATGAATCACTATAGTAGTGTTTGGCGGAAGAGTTATTTAGTTGACTTTCTTTTGTCAGCTGTAGTTAAAAATGAAAAGATATTTCTTTGTACTGTAGTATTTTAAGATGCAGCTGAAAATATTTTCTTTTAAGAGATTAGATAGGCAAGCTGCACAAACATGCTGTTTATTTTACGTCTACTATTTTTTCTTTTTGTTGTTCAGTCCACGTAAGCGTGGATTTAACCTCTCCTCGTATTATTTTGTTTCTCTGCTTTTTATAAATCTGTCTTTTTCCCCATCTCTTAGAGGCCACATAAGCAAGTAAATTGTGCATAATAAATAAAATCAGTGCTTTCAAACATTAATTATATTTACAGGAAGAAAATACTTTGGCAGTAGTGCATCACACAAAAGCCACATTAAAAATGCTGATACCTATTTCCTGATGTGAGTATTTCTATCACTGGTATCTGTGTCTCTCTTTAACGAATAAGGGCAGAGGTAACTGCACTTGTCTTTTCTATAGTAATTTAGAAGGGATAGTACAGATTTTAATTCAGCTTGGAATAGATTGATGTTTAATGATTGTGTGAATCTGAAATCCAATGGCACCGCTATTGTTTAGAAAATTATGGAATTCCCTAGATAAAACTATCTGCTTCAGTTAAATTTCCTAGACGTACTCATGGTAGGAATGAATTGGGTAAACTGACAAGAGTGCCACTGTGCTGTTTTTGCTCAGAACACAATCACGGGTCGTAGACTAAGGAATGCAGGGAAGGAAAGTATCGAATACTCTCTGATTCACATGGAAGTCTCTATATAGAAGAACTGATGGGATTCTCCCTTTAGCACTTTGTTTTTATACGTTTTCTAACTAGTGCTTCAGAAGCAATTTTTATTACTGTGGACAACAGTATTTTGGTTGATTTCTTTACTTTGTTAGACTTAATTTGGACACCTCTTGTAGAACTAATACATTTTTCAAAATGGCCAAGGCACAGATAAATCATGTTAAGGTAAAGTGCTGCTGCGGATTTTTTTTAACCAATTTCTGGAGTTTGACACAAAACCTAATTAACACATTAGAAATCCCCTTTGTCAGATATCTTGGTGAAGAGCATCTGATTAACAAATATAGTTGTATTGTGCAATATGCCCGCTGCATAGTTATCTCTGACTTTGCAAAGTAATCTTATCACTTTCACTTGTGCAAGAAAGGAAATTATTGTACAACACTTAAGTTCTTTAATTGCTTACTACTACAAATCTGAAATGATCTCTAGGGTTTCTTCAGTTCTTTACTGTAGAATAAATAAATGTATAAAAGGGGCAGCCCATGCTCATAGTTGTTCTTGGAAAAGAGTGAAATGAATGCATCAGGACTTGGGAGTGTATAGTTGCTGCAGGTGATATATACCATCTTGTCCTTGTTAAGCCAAAGTGAGTTTGAATTCAGCCTTGTGAGATGCAGCACTTCAGTAATGCCTCTTTTTTTAAGGAGGATCTACTGAAAATGCCCTGTCTGTCTCTTTGAATTTAAGATTCTCCTTTAACTCCAGTGTGTATTGCTCATACATTACAGTTATAGTTCAAAATGTGTGTCAAAATATGAGCATTTTAAGGATGAAGAATCTTTAAATTTCAAAACCAAATAAAGGACATGTGGATGCATCAGATTTGTTTGTATTCATCACATTTTCCTAGCGGTATATAAACTAAATTTCCTTAAATATAACAAAACGTAGAGTCTGATTTTTCTGTGATGAAACTTTGGGTGAATTATCTTTCTAACTCATGTACTATGGCATAGACCATTTACAAATAGCTTCTAAAAATAAAGCTTAAAAAACATGTAGCTTAATAAAATTATTTTTATTGTGGGTATTTTCAACCCAAAAATATTAGTTCTTTTTTTGCCATTCTTGTTTCTGTTGCTGTTCATTATTTCTCTTGTATGACTGTGTTCCATGTTAATGTGATTTTGCCCTGAATTGCAGGATCAAAGCGATCGAGAGTGCAACCAAAGACGATGACACAAAATGGCTGACATACTGGGTGGTATATGGAGTTTTCAGTGTGGCTGAATTCTTTGCTGATATATTCCTGTCTTGGTTTCCATTTTACTATATGGGAAAGGTAAGACTTACTTTTTGTGTATGTTTACTGTTTTTTTTTTTTACTGTCAGGACAGTATTGTCATGCTGAACAAACACTATTAATGTTGGAAAGTCAATTGTTGCTTAATTGGAGATATCAGTTTGTTTTATTGTCGACTCCATTAATTAAGTGATTAATGACTAAGCAGTTCCCAGCTTTGATTGCAAACACATCTCTCCAAATAAATGAGAAAGTCTGGAACCTTTCAAAGTGTGCAGTTTTCCTGTAAATGATGCCACATCCGTGTTAATCCCTTTTTAATAATTTGGTGTTTAAAAACCAGTCGTCCATATTACATGACTTCTTACCTCACTGGGATAACAGTAAATGTATTCATGTGAAAAGAGTATACAATTTACTGTTGTAATGTTCATACATAGATTTCTGGTTTCACAACAACTTGCCTTAAATGCTTCAGTAAAGCATCTTTGTACAGTAATAACACTAGAATCTGCAATAGCAAGGAACATTGTATTAAAAACAGAACAGTGAGAAAACTGGATTTTCTCAAACAGCGAGTAGTAAAAGTAAAGTAATTTACTGTTGAAAGGTACAGTGACTTTTTTAGAGTTATAGACCTGTTTTTTTGTGCTTTTTCTAAATTTGCCTTACCCAAAATGCACAGCTGTTGGCTGAAAGTTGCTTATAGAAATCACATGAGAGTAGGAATCAGAGAAGTGTCGAATCTGTAACAGGCTGGACTAACTGCTAAAATTTAGAAACAAAGATGTCTTTCAGAAAGCAAAGTATATTTTTTACAGATCTGTTTATGGTTTGCACTATGGACATTTAGTGTCTTGTGCTTCTGTTTTTCACCCTCTTAATATGCTATGTTTGATACTTGTTAGTTATCCTTGATTCTCAGTATAAGAGATACTACAATTTTGAACAGGGATGGGCTTCAAATTAAATATTCTTGCATAAGAAGGTTATATGAGCTAAAATTGTATTATGTACAGAGAGCATCAAATCTGGCAATATAAACAAGTAACCGCCATGAGACTCTTGTATTTTACGTTAATGGATCTGAAATATAATTTTCTCATTTCTCAAGAATGTTAAAAATATGTAATACTTAAGAGACTTTGATAAATCTATTTTATGTAGCCATTGACACTAGCATTACTGATTATTATTTAATGTGTAAAGCTATAGGGGGTAAAAGACAGAAAGCTTTCACACATATTGGAATAAATAAGAAATATGAAATGAGATCCAGTGAAAATTATGTAATAATCAATCGCCAAAATGCTACATATGTAAACCTCTTAACTGTCAAAAACATACAGTATAAACATAATTTATTGATAGAGGTATAGATGTACAGTATGTTGTCCGTCTCACAGCGTGAAACTGGTATCTTTCAATATTTCAAATATATAATTTCTAAAAATAAGTAACTTATTTTGCAATGGAAGTATTTTGGACCTGTCTGGTGCTGTAGTCATCTTATTATCTTAATATTTGTATAATATCTTAAGAATTCTGTTATTATTAATAGCTTGATAACATTTTTTTCAAGAGTTTGATCACTCCCTCTTTTTCAATCAGTGAGAAGCAGTCTTTCATAAGCCTGTCAGAATTCAAAATTAAATCATGTAAAAGTGATTAAAGCAATTACAGATATGACATTTCTATTAAAAAAAATCTAAAATAGTGAATTTCTTCTTTACACCTTTTCCTAGACAATTCTTGTGCTTCTATAAATGAAATTTTATTTTTTGTCTTGATATTGCTTATGGATATTGCAGGGCATTATTAAGTAACAAGAGGAGATCTTTAAAAGCGATGTATAAAAATGATTAGATAGCACATAAGCTGTAACATTATGTTTGGTAAGACATCCATATTTTTAGTTGTCCCAGAGGATGTTACAGTTAGTAACGGAGCAGTCCCTATCCCCCTCTTCCTAAAAACCAGCTTTACCATAAAACAAACCATAAACAGATCTAGGAAAACACTGAATATTAAACATCTCTAGGAACAGATGGGAATGACAGGATACAAGTTTTTGACTAAGTCGACTTCCCTCAGAGCTCATCACCTGCTAGATTGAGAACCATGTTAGTGGGTGGGAAGTGCAGTCATTTAAATAACTGTCAGTGTAATATTGATAAACCTTTATTTATATAATGTATAATAAATAAACCTTTATTAATATTAATAAACCTTTCTAAATCTGACTGCAACTGTAGGCAGGGCCTAGAAGACCAAATATCAATATTAGCTATATGGGTGGCACCTCACTAGGATTGCATAGTTGTGTCTGAATAAAAGAATGGCATAGGTTATGAGTTTCAACGTTTCAGTAGAATAGATAGCTGTTAGTATTCAGAATGTTTCTTAATTGAAGGACAAATAGAGACGTTTTAACCGTGATGGACCCAAATGCTTGGTCATCCAATGCTTGTGTCAATCCACAGACAGCATGTGCTGACTTTGGAGCTTGCCTGAGAAGCTAGTTTTAATTACAAAATGCTAGGATCTTTTTGAAAGTTCAAAGTTCAAATTTAAAGCACTTATTATTTACGAAGTAAGGAAAAGGTTACGCTTACATTTTGATTATTACTTCGCCAAATTAATCTCCTGGTACTGCTAAATCCCTGTCCCTTAGCCAACAGTACATGATTATTGCAAAAGAACTCATTGGGTTCTAAATCTGACCTACACCTTTGTTTGAGGAAAAGGTGATTAAGTAGAAAAGAAAGACATGGCCTTTTTGTGAATATACTGCACCTACATGTCTCTTAACAAAAACAAATAAAGTAAAGCCTTACGCTGGCACCATGTCTACCCTATTTTGCATATTATTCAGTGTATATTTTAATACCATAGTTACAGCCTACAAATAGTCTGTTGTTAACCAGTAGTAAAGCTGACGTTCCCTTCTTGCGGAAACTGCAGTATAGTGGCTGACCACATCACAGTGCAGAAACACTTCATTGTAAGATAAAGTCTCAATTTACTTTCATTTCCAGAAAGCAATCACATATTTTATAGAGTGTGTCCTCAAAACTGCTAAAAGACTACATGCTCAACAGAGCTTTACAAAATGAAAAGTCGGCTATAAATTGGCATTTCAAAACAAAAAAGCAGGTATTGTATGATGCCTAAATACGCAAGGAAAGAAATTGCAAAGAAAAAGCTATCTGTTCTGTCAGTTATTTCCAAATGTATCAAAATACATATAATACTGCCACCCTGGATTTAGATTAGACTAAAAGGAAGTAGAGTGTAATGTGTTTCAGTGTGGATCAGACTGCTCTGGTTTTCAGGCTCTTAACAAACAGGAAGGTGGGTGATCCACTGCTGTAGTGTTAAGCTTATTAAGATAAGATCACTTTATTGGCCATATGCAATTTCTTGTATTAGGAATTTGTCTTTTCACATACCGTACCCCAACTTGCTCTCCATGAGACACAAAGACAGGAAGAGAAGCTTGGGGTCAGAGCGCAGGGTCAGCCATTTATATGGCGCCCCTGGAGCAGCTGGGGTTAAGGGCCTTGCTCAGGGGCTCAACGGAGGAGGATTCCTCTGCCAGCCGCAAGAGGAAAAACCGTCAGCCTTCCAGCCACAGGCGCAGATCCTTAGCCACAGAGCCCCCGCCCTGTCCCGTCCTGTCCCATCTGTATTAACTAGGGAGAAAAAATATGGCTTAGGATATTTTTTATAATAGTTACATTAGGCAGTTCCACCGACTCTTGGTCGTAAGCTTGTTGACAAACAGGTTCAACATAGTGTAACAAAGCAAAGGTTCAGTAACAGACGTATACACTGGAATTAATTTAAATATACATTTTTAAGAAAGCTAGAGAATGAGGAATCAGTTCATTCTCCAAATGTAGGTGCTAAGGCTTTAGTTCCTCAAGATATGGTATTTCACATTTTATTATGAAGCTTTCTGAGCTTCACCAATAATAATCCAAAGCTTGCCTTTACCAGGGCAGGTTTCTTTTACAGTTCACTCACTTTATGGAAGCGTGCAGAGATTCCAGGGTTTGGTTTGTGGTGAAAGGGAAGAAAATAAAGTTAACAATGATTTCGGGCCTGCATGTAGTACCAACTTTCTGTGGTAAAGCTCATTGATGAGATGTTTTTCAAATATTGTTGGCAGTTAACCGAGAGCAGCACCCTTCTTAGACGTTAAATCAAGAAGAAGGGGGATATTAAGTGATGCTGATCGCGGTGAACCAGAAAAATATAGATTTAATTGTCTTCAATTTTTATTTTCTGGTAGCTAAGCTATTGCCTAATTTTGATCTTGATTTTATTCGTGTCAGCTGGGTTGCTAATTTCCTTACAGATAGAACTCCAGAGGCTAAGGGTCAACATTGTGTTGTCTTACAAACTGTATTCTTCCTCTGGTCCCCCCAAGGATGTGTATTTGCATAGCTTTTGTGTCCTTTTGAGTCCTGTGCTTTTCCAAGAATCTTCACTTGGAGACAGTTTATGCATTCCTTTTAATGCGGTATTTTTAAGATGCATTTCCCGACGACTTTAATTTATGTCATATGTTTTTCTGATCGTGTAAGGGAACAAAAACACAGTCAAAGCTTACCCTGAGTGGCCTATCTTTGTGAACCAGTACATACAAATGTGCAAACAATTGAGAAAAAAAATAAGATCAAGTATTAAAGTAAAAACAACACCCCACCCGCTGCATACACTACCCCCACTAGCAGTGGTAGTTTTCCTGTATGTTTCCAATCGGAAAAGCCCTAAACAAAAGCTAGAGTGTTACTCATCGCGATGTTTATTTGGTTCTTAAATGAAAAACTGACTAAAGGAATAAAAATACATATTGAAAATGGTCTCCCATCTACCAAAATCTTCTTATGCTGTGTTACTGTGTGTTTATTAGACCCTCTGCAGTGAGAAAGCATTGGAATTGAAGTTTTTCTCTCCATATCCAGTGTGCCTTCCTGGTTTGGTGCATGGCTCCGACTCCAACTAATGGCTCAGTCCAGATCTACACCCGGATTATCCGCCCTTTCTTCCTGAAGAACGAGGCCAAGATTGACCGTGTCGTGAAAGACCTCTCAGACAAGGCTTCAGAGACTGCTGGCAAAATTAAGGAGGAAGGTAAGGTCAACATGTTTTCTTTTGCTAAGGAAATAAAATGTGATGTTTGGAAATGCACAGGGCTACTTTCTGAAAGCTGCATGTCTTCTGTAATAATACAGATAACTTGCTGCATTATAAACTCCTTGTAGGTGATCTTGAATTCTCAGAATCAGATACACTGTGCTTCTCAGGAGATTATAAAAAATTATAAAAGTTATACAAAATGTGTGGTGTAATAGCTGTCTTTACAGTGGTGCTTCCATCCATGAGTTCCCCTGCTGCTTCTAATACTACGAGAAGCTAAAATAAATCAAATCAATTTTATGCCAAGCCCATTTGTATTATATATACAACATATAATGTTTATTACAAACAAGTAATTAATGTATATTAATATTAATTAATAATTGATAATTAATATAAGCACAGTTTTCGTATGTTTTATTGGAGGTGTGCAGAAACAGAGCATTCAAACTATGGTGCAAAACAGTAAGAATAATTTAGTATTTGTATGTTTTATGACGTTTTCATAATACCCTATGCAAAAACATTTGCATGTGGTCAACTAGGACAGGTTCTGCCTTTTTACAAAGAACACTGTCTGTGTGGCAACAAGGCATTCATTCACACAGTGAAAATGCCCCTACAGAATATGGAAAAATCTGGGTACTATCCAGTGTTGCACAGGTTGCTGTCAGTTCATTTTGAGAGAGCAGAAATTTTCATGGGGCGCTATGTACTGTGTATTTAGAGGCATACTAGGTGTTGGTGCTTTTAATCTGTACAGTATCTCCTTACTTTAATGGAGAAAATATGCTAAAGAGGGGATCCCACAAAAAGGGAGATTTCTGGATATCCCCCTGCAAGACTGGGCAATGTTCATTAGAGTACCATTTAGTCTGTAATTTACAACCCAAAGCATAGTTTATGGTATTTATTTTCTGGTTTTCTTAAAGTCATACAATACACATACTGTAGTTGTTTCATGAAAAATGATGTGGATAGGAAAGATAAAAGTAGGAAATTAGTTGTAAAGTACATTTAATGTATCAGAATATCTTACAGTATACTTCACTGTACATTATTGACAGCCCATGGTGGCTGAAGAATAGTTACAAAATTTGTGTGCTTAAAAGAAGTAACTACAAAATGAATACAAAAAAAATTGTGTATTGTAAAAAAATATTTTTGTTGTATGTGAGAAGGTCGTTTGTTTTTTGCTTACTGCTTACTGCTTATATTAGGTGAACATCAGATTGTTTGAAGCAGTATTTCAATAAAATGGTTAATAAAAGAGCTCGACTGTTATGCTGTTCCCTTGATTTCTTCTCACAGATTCCACTACGAGCCTGAATTACCTCATTTAGAATACTATACTGGCAGGTTTTTATTGTTTTGGAAACATATCTTAATTCATACTGTATATATTTAAGACCCCCCCATAAGTTGTGGAATGGGTAGCTTTTAAAGGGAAATTAGGTGGTCTACATTGTTATAGGTTCTTGGAATTCGTGATATTGTTTTTCAAACATAATTGGAGCCATTTGAGTAATATAAGTTGTTTCTTGTATATGGAGGTATGGCAGTAAAGTTTTTTTTAATTTAAACTGATAGTCCATGTGATGATAATATTTGAATCTGTAGGTCATGTTTTATTGAAATAGAACCTAGTTCATTTTTTCCAGTTTCGAATTAATCTCTGTTCTCTGACAATCTCTGCAAGATCCACTATTTCTATATGTGACCAATCACTAAACATCCAAATGTTCAGCCTGTAACACTGTCTTCTTCATATTGCTGCCTAAATTAATTTGATGAATTTACTGCAACACAAGTTTTGTGTACATTTACTAAAATATTGTTTTTAGCAGGTCCCAATTCCTTTAGAGCAGTTATTAAATTCTGGTAACAAAATTCATTGAAGTTACAGAAAAAAATTACACATTTTGAATTAAGCACAAAACTTCACTGAAGTACTGTAAGTTGCCACGTTGTTGCAAATTCCCATGAATTGCGATGTGCTGCAGTGAATAAGAACAGGTTGTGCAAAAGACATTTCACCATAGAAATGTTCAAAGTGATCTGTATGCAGAGTTAACAAGTAGCAAAATCGTCTCAAAATCGAAAGTGATATTTCTATTGGTTCAAAAGAGATGTATTCACAAGGCTGTTTGTTTACAATGTAATAGAGCCACATCACATCACTGGAAGTTTTGTTGCCTTATTCTGAATCTCAGAATATGAGAGTCCTTACAACAATTTATTCAAAGCCTCATTCAGTGTTTCTACTAAAACTTCAGCTTCAACTGTTAAAAGTACAATTTAGTTTGTGAAAGAAAAAATACACTTGCCATTGAGCAATATTTTAATTCACATTGATCAGAATTTTTAAAAACTTGATCTCAGCTGAGGGTAAACTCCACATGAGCAGCCATTAGAAGTATTGTAGTAGATAACTTGATCACATTTACCAATCTACATTGACTCATTGTCATTTGTTCCTCCTTACATTTGTTGTATGAAGAATGGAAAACATTTTTACATTTTTTGTATGAAGAACAGAAACATTTGAAGAGTACAACAATGCAAAGCTTGGGAAAGCAGTATATGTACAACTATGTACCTACATTTATTGAGTAATGCTTTTGTGTTTTTCAGCAAAAAAAGCAACAGCAAATATAATTTTCGAGGAGAAGAAGAGCTCGTAAGAGGATCCCTGGACAAAGCCATGTTTAAAAAGCTTCATCTCTAAGGAGGACTGTGGTATAAGTCTGAATAAATGTTGCCTTGGATTTTGTGTTTTATTATTTTTAAATGAACTTGGAAGATTTTAAGTTTATGCTCACTATTTTATTGTTGTCTGTACAAGTAGCAAAGGATGTATTATGTCAATTCAGTCTAGTGGCTGACGTTCAAAGCTTATTGCAAAAACAAAACTATTTCAGTCATGTTTAAGATGGAAGGAACCTTTGTAATGTATTGACCTGTCCCCCAGAAGGAAATAACTTAATAAACACTTGTTGCTAATATCTAGTTTCTGAACATTTTTTTGCCCCTAGTAAAACTTTCTCCTAAGGCTCAGAAGACATTGTTAAAAATCCATCGGCCGCTTGCAAGCAGGGCCAGACTTATATTTAGGGAAAATGATAAAAATGGCAGTTTATTTGCAAACTTGCAAATAACCACAGCTCCTTCCCACAAACAATATTCAACACCTCAGTATTTGGTATGTTGTAGTGACCAGACCTGTACCAAGTGGTGATGGGGGGGGTAAAGTTTGATTTCAGACTTTTATTATGTAGTAGAATGAGATTAGCTTGGTTTCATACTTAGATTAGATCATTATTTCCCAAGTTACTCCCATATGCAGACAGTGTTTCTTATATAGCTACTTGGCTTCATCAAATTCTTCACTGTAGGAACTGAGTTCCTACAAAGATCCCTGACAGAAAGGACTGCTGTAAAAAAGATGTAATTTCTTTCAAATCAGTTAGTTTAAAATCCTTAGCTTTGTAAGTGAACTCAACTCTAGTTACATGTACTCAGCATTTCAAGAAATGCTGAAAATACAGATATTTTCTCATGTCTTTTAACACTTAAAATCTCTGTTCTTGTTTTGAAGAGCACCAGTCTAGTCTCAGACCAGCAGAGTGAAATTCCTTCATCATGATTATGCCAAATTAGTGAATTAATAACTTACTATTAAAATGAATATGACTGTTGTGCAAATATTTTAATTGGAAATTGTATTATTCAGATGCATTATTCACTGTTATTCATTCAACTTTTATAGTGCAAAGTGTACAAAACTCCCTTGGATAGATGGGTTCACATTTTCATCATAGTATGCTGTAAAGAAAACTGCAATTTTCTGATATGAAAGCACATATTCACAAGTGTTTCACAGACTAGATTTAAACCTGTCTAGCCTTGCCCACTTACTGTAACTAAAGCTGCAACTGTACTTAATCTCTTTAAACACCAGTTTGTTGTCACTCATGCCATTGCCCATTAAGTGTGTGACTGATTCAGATCAGTTTACTGTACAGAGCTAGTGAACACCCCTTTCTCTATGGCTCTGTGATAGACTGGAGCCCCATTCAGGGCACGAGCAGGTAGGTACTCTATGCTTAGGGATTGTTGCAGCCCTTAGCAGGGCATGCACTGTTCCGTTGATGAGTACATTGGATGTGGATACATATTCTGCATGATAATTAGTTAAGCATGTAGTGTACTAGTCAAGGTTTTAATGCAAAGGAACAAGTAAAGGTTAATTTCCCGCTGAACAGGAAAGGAAAACACATTTCGGCTGTGGAGCCTTCTTCAGGTTTAAAGAGATAAACCTTTGCCTGTTCATTTGCAGCCTCCACATACTGACATGTTCATACACTGAGATTCCAAATTAAGAATGGAAAACGTTCCATAGACATATCTGGTCTACAGTATGCCACACAAATGTTAGTGCGATTAACTAAAGACGGTACTACACATACAAGACTTGTTGCAAATGTGATTCTTTTGAAATCAACAGAAAAGGTAATACATTTAGTGCACTGGAGTATGATTACAAAAGAAAAGTTAGCTGAAGCATAAAGTGTGAGAACTACTTTGCAACACACTGCCAGCATGATCAGTGGTACTGGTGTGAGACAGATTAGATTGACTCCTTAATCATTATACCCATTTTTTTCTTTCTACAGTGGATATAAAAAGTCTACACACTCTTATTGAAACTGAAGGTTTTTGTGATATAAAACCAAAAATCAAGATAAATCCCCACCCCCCGACCTGCCCAATGAATACTTTGTTGCATTTATTACAGCAGTAAGTCTTTGTGAATAAGTCTCTATCAACTTTGCACACTTAGCAATTTTATCCCACTCTTCCTTGCAAAAAAGTTCAAGCTCCAGGGGATCTCCTGTGCACAGCCCTCTTCAGGTCATTCCACAGGTTTTCTATGGGATTGAGGTCTGGACTCTGGGTTATTCCAAGACTTTGATCTTCCTTTTCTGAAGCCATTCCTTGGTTGACTTGAATGTGTGCTTTGGGTCCTTATGTTGGAAGGTGAAATTCCCCTTCAGCTTTCTGACAGAGGCCAGCAGGTTTTGTGCCAAAATATTTTGATATTTGGAGCTAGTCATTATCCCATCTATCTTGACTAGAGCTCCTGTCCCAGATGAAGAGAAGCAGCCCCAAAGCATGATGCTGCCACCACCATGCTTCACAGTAGGTATGGTGTTCTATGGATAATGGGCTGTGTTGTCTTTATGCCAAACACATTTTTTTAGAATTAAGACCAAAAAGTTCAACCTTTATCTCATCAGACCATAAGACATTTTCCCACATGGTTTGGTGTGATTGAGTGTATTCTTTTGCAAAATTCAGATGGGCTTGGATGTTCTTTTTTGTGAGAAATGGCTTCTGTCTTGCCACCCTTCCCCATAGCCCAGACGTGCAGAATTACAGGAGATTGTTGTCACATGCAAAGAGTGACCAGTACCTGCCCGAAATTCCTGCAGCTCCTTTAATGTTGCTGTAGGCCTCTTGGTAGCCTTTCTCCTTATCCTGTCATCAACGTTGGAGGGTTGTCCTGATCTTGTCAATGTCCCTGTCATAGTCTTCACAGTGCTCCATGGTATGTACATCCAATGCCTTTGATATTCTTTTATACCCTTCTCCTGATCTGTACCGTTCAACAATAAGATCCCGCAGATGTTTTGGCAGCTCATTGTGGACCATGGCTATCCCAGTAGGATGCAACCACGAACGTTTCAAGGAAATCCTACAGGAACAGCTGATTTTTATTTGAGGTTAATCAGAACCACTTTCATTGATGTCAATGTTTTGAACTCTGCTAAGGTTTCATTCTTTCAATGTCCGCTCAAGATGTCAGAGTTGCCTGAATACATTTAAGTTTTAATAATTGAGGTGGCTGCTTGAATCACTCGAAAAACAATGTAGGGAAATGGGGAAGCTACACTCCTTTAAACCATCTTTAGCCTTTATTCATCATGGTAGACTGTGGAAAGCTAATAAGAATTATCTTCACAAGCCAATGAAATTACAGCATTGTAAGTCAGCAAACTTCTGAAATTCACATTGTGCAATTAGAAAGGTGTGGTGATGACTGAATCTCACCTAAATATAAACAGGAGCTGAAAATCATAATTACAGCCAGCCACAGCAATGAAACAGTTTGTTTAAAAAAACTCTGAAAAGAAGGATATTTTGTATTCTCTGTAATGCATTTTACACATACAGTAATGAAAAGGTTTGCAACACAAATGAAATATCACAAGTGCTTCCTTGCGCATGCATTGAAGGGTAGGTCAGTCTTTTCAAACTATCATCTGGCTGGTGTGATGAGGACTTTGTTTTGGTGTACAGTATATGACTTGCATACCTGAGTGATAGTCGCACAGATTGCAAGCACAGACCTGGGACACAAATTTCTCATACTAGCAATGAACCAGGCTGGGCTTTTAACAACTGAACACAGGAAGAAAAGTTTCCTGCAACACCTTTACTTTGATATCCAAAAATATACAGCTATATTCAGTACCAGGCAGGACTGAAGGTCTGAAGGAAATAGTCATAATTCCCCAGGTCCTTCAGTGAATAGAAATGCTGATAGCTGGGGCTGGACAGTGTCCACACTTATTCATGCAGGTCTTCAGGAAAGCACTGAATTCCAGTAACCAGTAAATGCCTGTGCATCCCCTTTAAACTGTTAGTTGAAAGGACTGAGGATCTGTCCATTTCAGAATGTTACAAAACCTGATGCTTCCAAATTCATGTTTTGCCATTTGCTCCATAATTAGTTACCATGTGGACACTGTTGGCTGCTAACAATGAAAAGCCTCAAAAAGAAAGGGGAAGTTCTCTGAGTGGATGGAGCTCAGCTCATAGTAGAAATGTTTTTACATGAGCGAGATAAACATGTCTGGCAATTTAAATAGATGAATGCCATTTGCAAAAACAAGACCTTTCGTGATTACACTGTTCATATAGACGACTTGCATGTTTATATTGATTGACCGAAGGACAAACACATGGGGCAAGTTGAAACTAAGAGATGATAGAGGGCTCAAAAACTATTCCAGTTATTCTGCAACACACAGGGGCACAAAACCATTACAGATAAACAGTAGGTCCTTTGATAATGAACAACTTTAAAAGAAAAACTGAGAACATTAGTTTGCTAACTAAATTGCAAAGAAAAGTGTTGCTGAGTGTTGCATAATTCTCTATGTTGTAAAGGAGAAGGCTATGTTTTAAGGGCTAAATGCGAATTGGACACATTGAGGCAACACAAATAACGCCTTAATGTTTTAAGTTCATATAAAAGATGGGAAGAAAAGTTTTATGAAATCAAAAATCAGAGCAGAAAAGATAAATCAGTTTCTTTCTTTTATAATTATTCTAATGATACCACATTAGAGGGTACAAGATTCAATACACCTTAGGTTAGTAGGTTCCGATTTGACTAGAAAAACTACACATGATTAGCTTAGACATTTTTCCCCAATAAGTAACCTGCACATTTGTATGCTTGAAAAAGAAATCAAATCTGTATTAAAAACTATTTTAATCACGGCAAGTCCATCTGTTCAGTACGTCTGATAGTACACATTTTAGTACTTTGCCATTACACAATCAAACAATTCTAAGCGAAGTATTGCTTTTAACTTGGATATCATCACAGAAGTCTGTATCAACACCGCTGAGAGGTATGCCTTTCAAAATGATCAAAATGTCCTATTAATCAAATATAACAAACAATGTGGTGGCAATTTTAATTAGACCTTTACCTTAGTGTTCAATTAAGAAAAAAACATTCACAGTGATCTATTTTGCAGACGAGGCAGTGGAGTAGTACTACGCGATTCAAACCCCTTGGCCACCAGCATAAACAGGTCACTTACTCCACGCATTGCTGTTTCCCAGCAATTTCATCAAAAATATACTGAAATTACTGCTTTTCCAGAGGTAACTTAATAAGACTAAGTCTCAAGCTTGCTGTGAGAAGTGCAAGTGCAGTTTTTTTTTAAAGTGATACAGTTATACACCTACTACTGAAACAGGACTTTTTTATAAAGACAAAAACATTTATAGCACTTCAGAATACAGTGCTACATATATTGATGTTTTAAAATAAATACCAATAGACACACTGAAAACGGATTTTATAGTACCACATGAAGACAAGATCTTAGTGTACTGATAATCTATGCCTAGTACCAAAGCAAAATATTTAAACAAAAAAGTAAACTTTTGATTACTTTGCATCACTAAAGAGGACATTTCGATCAAAAAAGTATTTTTAAAAAACACTACTTGACAGCTAAGAAAAGCACTTTATTCTTAAAATAAAACCCATGGATAGAGAGCGCCCCCTGGTGCAACTTTGTTCCTTCCATAAACTATAGACTAAACTACCCGAAGGAACTCAGAGTTGATAACTATCTCATAGTAAAAACTCACGGCACTACCTCTCAAGTTAGTCATCTGCCTCTTAATAAAAAGATCATGTAACAGTACACTTAAAATATAAATTACTTTTTGTCATTTCATGCACTGAAACATCAAAAGGCATAAAAAAGTACATTTGCACTGTAAGTGTTCAGTTTGTAAAATGTCAAAAAATAGTGGTTAGACATCAGACACTCAAATCCATGCCCTTACAAGGTCTAAGCACAAAAACGATTAAGTTTCCTTTTGTGATAAAAAAAACCTGAAGTGCGATGGATTGGAAGATGCAGTACTTAGCTTCACTTTTACACAGTGGTGTTGTGCTTCGTTAAGAAAATGCTGCGCTAGTGAAAACAAAAAGTTACTTCAGCTAGAAAGACTGAGTTAACGTATTTTGGAAAGGAAAAATTCTGAGCCTTTCGCCTATATTTTATTTTTCCCAGCTTTATCATCACAGCAAGCAGTCTGCAGTTAATGGGGAAAAAAAAACTGGGCTCAGTAATTGCCCAACCCTCTGAGGCCTGTTTATGCAGTGGAGAAGGGGTATTTGAATTCCTGTCCGAATTTTTCTTCTGTTGACCAATAATTTGGTATGAAGAAGACGAACGTTGGTACTGAATTCCCTGAGATTTGTTGTAGTGGTTAAATACAACTTGGAGGTGTCTGAGGCAGTTTAAAAAAAACTCTTGATCTAGTCGATAAGCAGGGTAAAACTTTAACCCACCCATCACCACTCATGGTATTTTTCCTTCAACACAAAATTACAAAACCTAAATACTGTGGCTTGTACAGAATGCCAAAGTTTTTTTTTTTCACAATTTAACATTAAAAGTGAATACAGTGATCGGGCTTAATGACGTCATAATACCATATAAAAGAAAAACCCATGCATTTTTCTGTGTAAATTTAATTTGTAATATATAGAAGGAATCTATATACAACAGTGTGCACTGTAACAGTATCTTTCAATTTGCCCAGACATTACCAGAAATACATTTGGCTGCATAGAACAATTGATATTATTGCCTATATTATAAAAGAAAAACAAAATGGACACACTAAAATTTTCATTTGAGAGCTAACTGGTATCTCTATCTGTTGTTGACCATTTCCACAATTTGATATCACAAGCTGGAATTAAAATGAAAGGCTTTTATCTTTTCAAAACTACTATTTCACAACACTGACAACTGAACAAAAAAGTAAATAAAGACCTAAGAGAACAAAGGGGACACTAAAGGAGTACATAATGGAATACAGTTTCCTTTCCCCAGTGTTACATTCTGAACAGTGATTCGTTGAGACTAGCATATAATAAGAAACTGAGAAATTCATGACTGACAAGAAGGCCTGAGTTGGTGAGGAAAGGGAAACAGTCAAAAACAAATAAAAAAAAAAGCCTGAGAAGAAAAAGCCCATTCAATTACGTATTTTACAATAATTTACAGCAGAACATTTATAAAAAAGGCATTTTAAATTGATCACAAAAAATAAAATAATCCAGGTTATTTTACAGTGGAAAGTACAGAAATTAAATATTCAAGCATGATGCAAAAATCGGCAAGGTGGTCACAATTTACACTGTAAACAAGTTACTTTGGAAGGTGAGCCGAAGTCCTTCAGGTCATTTTAAAAACCCTTTATTCCATTCTTGGGTATGATTAATGATACAGATATATTACGTTCTTTATTGTTAGACAGTTTTTAAATAAACCAGAGACCACATAAAAAGTGAAAATCAATAACCACGATCCAGTCTTGTGGGGGATGGGCAGCGTTCAGGTTTGTTGTGTAGAAGTAAACAAGTCATCCATTTAAAAAAAAATGCCACAGCTTCCGTGGCACAGTGCAGCATTACCCTTAAATACAAAAATATTTTTCTTTTTCTTTAAATGGGATATTACACCTCGCAACCTGGAAAGAAGAAGCCGTTCTGCCCCTTGAAAATCACACCACCGTCCAGAGAGCTTTCACAAGTCACATAAGGCATTTACTGTGTTTTAACTGTTTTCTATGGCTAATAAAAGTCCAGATACGACATCTTAGCTTGTGTTATGTCTTGCGGTTACACCAGATTTGCTCTGGTGTGCTTTTGTGGTCAGATGAGTACTCAAAAGGCGACCTGTGTCCAAGAGGAGACCTTGAGTCATAGGGAGACCTCTGGTCCCGGGGGGACCTTGGGCCACTCCCAGAAGCCCTGTGGTCCATCTGCCAGTCCGAATGGTACCTGTAATCACGCGAGGTCTTGTGGTGCCCATAATCTGTGCTGGACCTGTGGTCAGAATGCGATCTGTGGTCTGAATGAGAACGGTGGTCAGCGTGTGACCTTTCTTTCATGATGCCTTCCAAGCCTGACCTGTGGTCTCGACTCCTGTGATCTTCCAGCTTTCGGTGCTTGCTGTCACTGTAGTATCTGAGTGGAAAAGGAAACAAGTGGCAAAACTAGGATGCGATGCCGACTCTCCAAAGATCAGACTCCGCTGCTTCTTAATATTCTGCTGATCAGGGGTCATGTTGACTGCCCCCACAACCTCACGTACAAAGACACTGCATAATGATACAACTATTTTTAAAACACCAAGGTGAATATTCCTTAAAGAGAAGCAATCTTTAAGAGTTATCTGCGAATGTTGAGATGTTGGAAGTATGGATGCTGGTAGGCACCCCTGCTCCACTGCCTACCTGTTGTCTTGCCTGTAGTGATCCCTGTCCCGGTGGTCCTTGCCATTGCTGAATGCGGAATAAGGTCTCTTCCTCGAAGAATCGCTTTTCCTGTACGGATCTCCTCCGTGCCGGTCCTTATGGTGGTCGTGGTAATGTGACGAGTGGTGCCTCTCTGAGGTATAGCTATCCCTGCTGCTGTCATCATGCTGAGAGTTGTCCTTTAGCCTTTCTACATCTGTGAGAAGAAAAGAGGTTCAGAATTGAACCTGACACAGTGTAGACAGCAGGTGTATGAAGTAATTTTCAGTCCTGAACTTAATTCTAGCGCACTGTTGTGTCGATGAAAGAAATGTTGAAATAATTCAGGGCGGTTCAGGTTCATCCCAGTATCTACAGGCTTTTGTTCCAGTTCACCAGTTCAGCTCTTAAATGACTTATATCAACCAATTCCAGGATTAACCATTCCAGCTTTTTAGGTGCTGCTGCTTTAAAGAGATTTGCAACTGCCTTCCAGGACCAGAGCAGGATCACTCTGAAACAGCTGCATGAGCTATTTTGAGTTTTTTTTTAGAAAAAATCAATTTCTGAACAAAAACTGGAGAATGGAGAATACTAATGAAAAGCTAATAGCAGAAATCTGTCAGCTTTCAGCATGTAAAGATGTTAATCCCATGGGTTTTAAAATTAATATTTTAAGTGTAAATAAAATACAAAAAAAATGAAGATGTAAACACATACCTGCATGCTTTAAGCCAACTGTGTTTACAGTAGTAACATTCTGATCAGCTGCCTGAAAACAAGAAAGGAAAACTATTACAGAGCAGCATGTGTGACAGAAAAAGCCAAACTGCAAGCAATAAACAGCTATTTGTACAAGGCAGTCACTATGAAAATTAAAATTCAGATGGCAGAGAACGTTTCTAAGCGAAATCCTCAAGAAGCAAAATATTAATGGAAACATTCTACATACCTGAGCACTTTCCTGTCTTTTCTTAATGGCGTGTTTATAAAGCTTATGTAGTTTTCTAGCATCAAATTCTGTAAACTTTGAGACAAATATCCATAGATTTCTGAAAGAGAAATCAATGAGCCATAAATACATTATGAGCAGAAACAAGAGTATTCATATACACTGAGTTAAAACATGAATGTGTGCAGCAAACCTTTAAATTGGATTTATAAGAGTTTGTATTTTCATTAAGGATCTGACCACTTTTGCCAGAACACTAAGAAACTGGCCCTTAAGACGTTCTTTAAAGCAACAACAGCCCATAAAATTCAATGACCACCATTAATAAACTAATTGTAAACTTGTCCAATTACGCACATTTTTAATAGGCATTGAAAGTGTTAATGAAATATTTACAAGTCCGTTAATTTTTTAGCATGTTGTGTTGATACAAAAGAATTCAAACTGGAAGTTGTGGTGAAGGGAAGAAAAAGGAAGCTGAACAACATCATGCTGGAAATGAAAGCACACAATTTTGGTAGTCTCAGATTTTCAGTAATCGGATTAAAACTACCCCCTATGCCTTTTGTGTATGGCCAGTAATCTAAAGAAATGTATTTAATGTGATTTGCTCTTCCGATCTGCAACTAAGGCCTTTTGACCCGCTTTAGTTAATATTCCGAATGTTTTCCAAATTTATACAACCATATATGATGTCAGAAACAGACACAGACCGTAAGACGCGCTCAAGTTTTGCAACTAGGGCATCTGGGATGGGAAACATCTAAACATTCTGGACCAGAATTTCCAAAACCTGGGCCCCAATATGGGGACCAATCGGATGTATCGTCCTTCAAAGTTGAACTGAGGTCCTAACCTTCTGGTCATTAAAAGATCCCATGAACTAACAAATCCCATGGAGCTTCAGGAAAAACCCCTGTCCTGTCTAAAGCGCAGGCTGGACTTATGTCCTTTCTAAAGCTCCCCCTTAATTCAACTGGTTAAGCAATTTCTCACGGCACTCTCTAAGCTGTTGCACAGTGGGACGCCGACGCAAAATGTGTGCCACACATCACCCAGCTGGGTGCTGCACTTCAAAGGTGGCTGAATATAAACCATGCTGCTGGAAGAAAAGTTCAAAGAAAATTCAATTCTGAGTTGAACACAGAGGTTTCAGAAACTGCAGTTGAACCCTCCTGGATGACTTACTTTCTCCACTGTTTTATCTGTTCTGGGTTTGTGTACTCCTTCAGACACTCAGTGATGTGATCTCCAATTTTGATCAGGCACTGTCTAGTGTGCTCGAGCTGCTCCCTCTCAGAAAGACCTTTTTCTGGTCGATCCAGCTGCTTCAGCGCTGCCTTCACCGGCCGCATTCTCTCTTTACACTAGAACAGAAAAACACATCCAGAGTTCTTTCCATTTCATACATATAAAGGGTCTCTTACCTTCTTCCAAAGGTCATGGTATTTATGAGCCTATTAAACGTAGCCTGGAACTTTTTAAATATTAAAAGCAGAGTGAATACTCTGACAATTTAATACTTTAGAACTTGAAGAATGGCTCCATTTTCATGAAAATACTTCCATTGCAGAAATAAACTATCACATTACTACTATAATGATTTGTGTTTATGCTCAACATATTGGTAATGCATATAATGAAAGACAAACATTTTGGTTTACAGAATGTAGAGCAAGAGAATTTAATTCTAGCTGACAGGAAAACCATTTCCACAGAACTGTTGGGAGCACAGATTCTCAGAGAAAATTCCACAGTAGCTGGCTGCATGATTATAAGTAAGGAAAAGTTCTAACAATAACCATCCTTCTTCCAGCAAAATATAAAAAAAAAACCTTACAGTCTAAACCTTAACATACCACACTGAACGTTTTCTGATCCAGCTCCTCAGATTCCTCAGAAATGGGTACAGTATCCCCACTGGCAGTAATATGGATCGGTGTGTCAGCCAACTTCTTCAACTTCTCCTTGTTTTCAGCTTTGATTTCAGTTACCTAAAGATGTTAGATGTTCCATCAGACATTCATCTTTACAAGGACAGCATCTTACTAAAAAGCTACTACTCTTGCTTTATTTCCATAGTGTTAAAGCAGTATGTGTTCTATATTGTGCGCTATTATTAAAATTTAGTTTGGAATGCATTCAGAACATTCACTATTACTTTTTAACAATACATTAAACAGTGACAAGGAACAAATCTATATAATAAAAAACAGATTCACATAAATTCTCACCTTTTCTTCTTTGACTTCTTCTTTTCTGTTAACAGGTTCCACCAATTTAGTTTCTTTTTTCTCCTTACATTCTTTCTTCTCTTTTGTGTCTCTGGTTTCCTCTTTTTTATCCTTCTTATTTTCTTTTTTGTTTTCCTTTTCTTTCACTTCCTTCTTCTCTTCCGGCTCCTTTTTAGTCACAACCTCGGGCTCAGGATCTTCTTCGCTCTCCTTGGTGACTCTTTCAGCTTTAGCCCTTCTACTGGGAGGCTTTACTGGGGTAACCTCCTCCTACAGGGAGAAACGAACCTTTACTTCATAAGAAGAGAATGCAGTTTACAGTACTTTTAACTGCTCCCTTTCACAATGTCCCATACATTCACTTCAGCGACTGCATTAGAGGCTTCACTAACTCACATCAGCACTACGATTTGAGATTTTCCAACACCACCGAAAAAAGGTTTTAAGAACAAATAATTTACAAGGATTTAATAGTTTTGCAAATCACTTCTTTCCTAGGCTGAACAGACCCTAATGAGCACTTTATGCCTGATTTAAGTTTCAATTAATGAATCTGTATGCCAATGCAATTATTCCACAGTTCACTTTTCTCAGGACGAGCATGCCCCTTTCCTAAGACACTAAAAAGCCCAATGTAAGCCATATGTAAAATTATAGGACAGGTTTATGTACAGCTAAAGCACATAATGGCCAATATGCCCACACGTGATTACAAAACAAGAAATACACTGACCTCATAATAACTAGTCCCTTCTCTGAATATAAGCTACGAGATATAAGGGGTGTCAGGAAGAACACAGTTCAGCTAAGTGTGGAAAATTCCACTTCGGCGCTCTAGAATCTCAGCACTGTACCTTTTCCTCCTCTTCCTCCTCCTCCTCTTCCTCCTCCTCTGTGCTCTTCTCTGAAGGAGGTGGAGAGGAGTCGCTCTTCACTTCTTCCACCTTTGCTGGCTTCACCACCTTGTTCTTCTTGCTTCTTGGCTTCCTTTTCCTAGAATTAGCCTGTAAACCAGTGGCAACACGCCAATCAGCTGTATCTTACCACACTTGCTTACATTCTTTTGGAAGGAGGATTCAGTTGTATAAAAAAAACTTGAGTAATTTAAAACAATGACAAAAAACTAAGACGTGGAATAAAGTCATATAAAATAATGAGGTACACTAAGTGAAAAAAGCTGGTCACAGCTGAGAAGACTACAGGAATTATATTGTTTAGTTAACTTATCACAGTATTACCGAATTTATATCACAAAATTGATCAGTTTAAACATTCTGCAGCCCAAATGTTTGCTACATATTCCGTGTTCTTAGCACAGGCAAATTTTAGATTATTGCCCTTGTTATTTCAAGATTATTAAAAGAAGATTAAAAAACAAATGCTTTAATTCTGTTTAAAGCATTTTAAAGTATTCTGGGACATATCAAAAGGGAGACCTGCCCAGTATCTTACCGTTCCAGCTAGTCTCTGGGCCTCCTTCTTGGCCAGGTCTTTGCTCAGTAATTTAATGAGGTAGTCAGCTCTGGTCTGCAACTGTTTAGCCTGTGGTTTCTTATCAGGGTCATCTGGTAATAGCTGAGAGGGAAAAAAAAATATTAATAATGATAACATTAAAATATAATAAGCGATAATGGCATAGGGGCAATAAATTAAACCGAGGTGGAGTTTCCCCATGTACAGAAATGTCTGACTCAACATTTTACATACACACAACAAATGTATTGCAGCTGTTGTACAATAATCTTAAAAGCAGCAGATATCCCAGCCTACACTCCTTAGCAAGATCACTCAACCTGCACCTTTCAGTTGGGAAAAATGCATAACTACCTGAAACTAATCATGTCTTCTACAGTTTTCAAACAGGCAATCATCTCACAGGGAAACCAAAGAAACACAGGTGTCCCCTGAGATTTGAACTGCGAGGTAATTGCATCTTTTCGTGCTAAGCAGTGAAACAAAAACATTGAAGACCGTGTCCCATCCAGAGAACAGACAGACTGACTACTGACTCCTGGCAAATCATGGCCAATACCAAAATGGCTGCTGGGACATTCACCTAGGACCACAATTCAGATCTGAACAAGCAACCTTTTGGTTGCATGGCAGACAGTCCATTTGGAAGCCTGCTTCTTATTTCATTTTGAACATTAAAAGCACTTTACCATAGCAGATATTTTTCTAATATTCTTATAAAGAAAAAAAGCCTGTAATAACTATTACAACTTTAGTCAGTTTTGGACGGGTTTTGTGTCAATTAATAATTGGAAAACAATTTACGGGCACAGAAAACCCTTCAATATTTCCCTTTCTCTGTAAGAGAAGAGTATACTCTACCATTTAGTTCAGTGTTTTGGTTCAGTCTGAGAACATGGGATTGGTCCGGCCTGCTTTACACATCTTCCAAAGCCGGACAAAGCATAGCAAGCAGGAAAATAGCAAACATCAACCAGACTAAACTGCAGAGAACGAGAAAGGCTCCCGTTTCTTGGATTAAATAAGACAAGAGGATTATATCAGCAGAAAAAAACTGCACATGCCTGCCATTACCTACCTTTATTGTTAAGTTGAGATCTGGGTCCATTTTTATCATTTCCCAGCTCCCATACCCGTACTCATAGATGCCTATGAGCAAGTTAGAATCATCCTCTTTACCCCACTCAACATCAAAGTGAGCTGCCTTTGAATGACAGGGGATGGTGTATCTGTGGATAACAACAGGAATCATTCTATCAATTACATATATGTGTACTCAAACCCCAAAAGAAACATGAACTGTTGGGGGGGGTATTACCAAAGCCACTAAAAATTATGTTCTGCATTTCCCTCATTTAGTTTCAAAATCTTATTTAAAGACTTGGTGGTTGAAAAAAATCCCACAGCCAATTTAGGACCCTGGTATAGTATGGGCAGTTCCATGACATTGTTACAGAATACCAAACTTTACAAATACAGTACCGATGTTTCATTTTGACTTACGAAGCACGCATGAAAAAAGGCAGTTGGCTTTATTAAGATCAAGACCAGTTTTTTTTATAATGGTGACAAATAGCTATTTTTTGCTCCATCAGGTCTCACTTCTGACTAACTGCCAAACACCAAGCATTATTAGTAACAAACCACCATTAATGTAAGATTATATTCAACCAAAGTAAAAAATCTGAACAGAAAAAAATATTTTTCATTCCTGGTAAATCATACTGCTACATGTATGTAGTAAAGACACTAAATGATTGTTACGACTCAAAGAATTATAATAGCTAAATGATAAATTAAATTTTTTTTATACTCAAGATGTTATGATGCTATATCTATGTATAATAGACATGCAACATTTTGTCACCTGTATTTATTAACAAAGCTTTATTACATATAATGGTATATTCCAGTCATTCAATTACCCAAAACTACAATTTTGGTATCAGCCTGCATTTCGGGAATATGGCACTGAAGTGATTGTGTTGCTTCCATAGCAACAGGGTTAATGAACATGGACCCAGTTCTAAAAACAAACCAATAACGTGCATTACAGTTTTGTTTGGTGTTGAACCTCAATTAAAATCTGGAGAAACAGCTGTAAATGATTGTTTTGTCAGCAATGTGAAGAAAAGATAACAGAGACTAGAATAACCACAGTACATGTTGGTGTTGACTCATCCTGAGTTATGAAAACCATAAGATTATCTTATTTACAATTACTTATATACCTGGTGAGCTTTAAGAATACAAAGTTCTACAATTATTTTTTGTTAGGTCGTATTAACATTGGAGACGGAGTCATCATTTGATAAAGTTTTGCCAAACTGAGCTTTTTTGTACACTGTCCACTGTCTTTGGGTTTTGTAAAACTGTTAATGGATGCAACTTTGTAACACTAAAAAAGGAGACCAATTTTATTTTTAATGAGCATTTCCCCTTACCTCACACAGATAAACATCACACGTGCCTATCCCTATAGAAATGTTTTTTTTAATTTATAGACAGCAGTTATAGAAAACATTCACCTTTCCAGTTTGTCATATTCTAAATCTGTAAATGTCCACTTAGACATGCAATACATCTTCAAAGAGAACAGAGGAGGTTCAAATACCTTTTTCTCTCTTCAGGATCAGCAGGAATGGACTTGTGCAGTGGTGCCAACTCCTCTTCATGAGAGATGACCAACTTCGCGTTGACCTGAACTCCTGAGATACGGAAAGTGGGCCCCTTCACCTTCCCCCGTCTCCCTCCTGCCGCAGCGCAAACACAAAGATTTATTTTGCATGCAGATTTTCCAACACACCTTGGATGAACAACAGCTTTTGACTTATTCCATCTGCACACAGCAAGTGACGGGTTACCTCCAGTCTTTTCTGGGCCGGAGGAGTTTTCTCTTAATGCCTTTATGCAGCCATTATGCACTGTTTCCGCTAGTCGCTTGAGGTCGTATTCAGACTTGTCCACCAATTCTGCATCCCGGGCAATTGCATCAAGCCTTTACACAGGACAAAGAAATTCAAATGATGAAAAGGCTCAAACATACGACCCCAATTTGCTATGTTAAAAATTCGTTTAAATGAGCTTACCTTTCGAGAGGTCCACCAAACTTTTTGTAGCTCTTTATGAACCTGTATGGGGGGAAAAAACATTAACTGTGATGCTATTAACAGGAATACGTGAACATTAATCCATATATTTAGAAGCAACAACTTCAGTTGTTGGTGGATCATACTAAATGAGCTATTTTATATTTTACCTTCTTATTTCAGCATCACTGAAGCCTTTGATGTTTTCCCGTGGAATAGTTCGAGGCCTCCCTCGTTTTTTTGGACGCTTTCTACCTGAAACTGAGTCGCTGTCTGACCCAGAGTATCTTCGGTTCCTGCTGCGCCTGCCTTCATTACCATTAAAGCTTATCTGTTTCAAAACGAAATATATGATTGCATTAAAATCAGAACAATTCGTTTTAGACCCAGCATTTGTTAACATAACCTCCGTGCAGGTACTCAATTGCATTTCAATTGCAATTTTCAATTGCAGTTAGTGCTTAAACATTTTTGGCAAAGTAAAAAATACCAATTAGGTGAAAATGGCTATTTCAGATCACCTTTTCTCAGAGTATATATACACACATGGCTACTACTGATTTTTTGAAGGACCATAACCTTGAAAATCAAATATTTGGGTAAAGATACTGCTTCACAATGTTACAATACTGAACAGAATACCTGTTTGGCACAGTTTCTCATTCTGGGTAGCAAGTAAATTTCCTCCAACTCTTTCTGCCTCTCCTCTTCCTCCATCCTCTTTCGCTGCTCCTCAGGAATGATATCATCCCAGGTCTTGCCATTGTGCTCCCCATCAAGGTCAATCTCATCATCTTCCATTGTGGAGAAATTAGCCACCTGTAGTTTTAATTGGAAATTAGAATGTAGTGCTACATCAAGGAGGTAAACTAAGTACCAAACAACTCAGGTATCTAAACGTTGTGCTAGAAGAAGAAATAAGGCATGAAATCAGAAAATCAAGCAGGTCAAAACATGTTTTCTTGCTGGAGGCTGGTCAGTACCTCCTGGGAAGAAGTGTTAGTGGGGCCAGCAGGGGGCGCTCACCCTGTGGCCTGTGTGGGTCCTAATGCCCCAGTAGAGTGACGGGGACACTATACTGTAAAAAGGCGCCGTCCTTCGGATGAGATGTAAAACTGAGGTCCTCTCTGTGGTCATTTAAAACCCCAGGGGAATTCTCGAAAAGAGAAGGGGTATAACCCCGGCATCCTGGCCAAATTTCCCATTGGCCCTTACCAATCATGGCCCCCTAATAATCCCCATCTATGAATTGGCTTCATTACTCTGCTCTCCTCCCCACTGATAGCTGATGTGTGGTGAGTGTACTGGTGCACTATGACTGCAGTCGCATCATCCAGGTGGGGCTGCACATTGGTGGTGTCCCTTTTTTGTGCTCCCCTTTTCTACCGTTGCACTCACTTTCCTCTTAAATGGTTCCAAAACACTGCACAGATGCCCCTCCTAATATGTTCTTCCCCAGTGCCACCCTAGCTTATCGCCAGTTTCAATGTCTGTCCAGGGTTATGAGGATAAAAGAAGGGAGGGGTACACTTGAAATATCGGACACCAAATAGAATATATCCCTGGTAGTTGCACCACAGATCCTTACCCAGTTACTACAGCTCAAGGTAAGTTCTCAGAAACATTGGTCATAATTAAATCATCACTATTCAGCTTTTGCTCAGCTCTTTGAGGTGTTGCATATCCCTCTGATGTCACTCACGAGGCTACTATTACCATGTCTATTTTCAGTTCAGTTCCTATGATGAGTGAAGATTTTATGGTCCATGAGGGATTTACATTTTGAATGCCTTAGCACACACCTGGGCCAAGTGTGTACAATCAAAGCTGCTTCTTAAAGCCACAGAGGCACGTTTCTGTGGTGAACCGCCTATCACATGCTGTTCTATCACAAGGATGTTTGGAAATTTCCCCTGTGAAGGGAGGTACACAGAGCAATGTCGAGAGGGACGGCACCTTGAACTGTGAAAGCAGCTCTTCCCCTACAGTGGCCGGGCCTGGATCGTTCTCGCGGGTTTCGGCTCGCTTCAGGATTTCATCAATATCCATCTCCTGGACAAAGGTGGAAAAATCAGGAAAGGTGAGAAAAGTGACTCACAAAAGCAGACGAACTCGCTGCTTCAAAAACAGCAAAACGCAACACGACCGACCTGCGGCTCCTGCTCCTCTCCTTCCTGCTCTTTGAAGAGCTCCTCGGCGCCGAACTTCAGGATAGCAGAGAGCTCTTCTTTATTGAATGGAGTGGAGCTGCAAACACAAAAGTATTACAGCATGACGCAAAACAAATCACATTATCTGCACTACATTAACAAATAATTGATATACAACATTATAAAATGCATTATATTAAACAAATACTGCATACAAGAAGCACTGATGTACAAACCCTGAATGCAGACTCACAATACTTCACAGGACTTTTCAACATACAAAGGCTTAGATGTACAAGAAATATATACAGTCCTTATTTCAGGGGTTTAAAAAAATAACATTCAGATCCAGCAGGCACCTGGAGGGGGCAGAGCCTGTGTGCAGCACAGTTTTTCCAGTGGTGTCCATTCTCTGGATCACCAGATGATCCAGAACCATCTTCTTCTTTGCCCTTTCTATGATTTCCTCCTCCACTGATCCCTTTGTCACAAGACGATAGATGTTAACCTAAAAAGGAAATTAAGGAGAAAAACTGAATCCTTAATTAAGGGGAAAGACTTATGGTTAAATAAAGTTTGCACAAAGATGACTACACATTCAAAAATGGGCAACACAAAGGTCTGTTGCTTCATGTTGCCTTTCTTAAGACTTTGCGTATTAAGCACTTCATTAAGATAACGCAAAGTGATACCTGTTTTTTCTGCCCAATCCTGTGGGCTCTGGCTTGTGCCTGCAAGTCGTTTTGAGGATTCCAGTCTGAATCAAATATCACCACAGTATCTGCAGAAGCCAAGTTTATGCCCAAACCACCAGCTCTCGTAGACAGCAGGAAGCAGAAATCCTACAAATGACACAACAAAAATCAAATTGCAGCCAGATATGTCTGAACAAATTCACAGATGCACAGGAAGAGCTTCAAGGTCCAAGTGACAAGTTCCAACACCCAAGTTAAATCAAATCTGTGATCCACAGGCCAACTGAAAAATTATAAACCCAGTACCTGATGGTAGATTTTTGTTCCTTCTTTCAGACCAAATAAAACCCTTGATGGGTCCCAAGGGTTGAAACTGATAGTTGGGACAAAATGTAATTGCAGCCCTATTTTTAATCATGGGATCACGATTCAATAATCTGTCATATTACAGATTCTCTAAAAATAATGTGCATCTTGAAATACACTCCTTATTTAAGGGTTTTAAGGATGCTACTAGAGGCATACAGTGCCTGCTAAGGACAATCATAGTTTTTGGACAAGGTTTTGCTTACAGTCCGAATTTTCACTTTTATACAAAACTGTTAAACCACACACAAGACTGCTCTAGATGAATAACACTTACATCTGACCCTTCTGCATTAAAATGATCCAGTGCTTGTTTTCTCATTTCTCCTTTAATAGATCCATCCAGTCTCTAAAGGAAAAGAAAAAAAAACCTGATGAAAACCAACACAAGCGGGCGCAGATTTAAAAGCGTCCCCCCTCTTAGACGTGGCCGGTTTCCCTTGCAGCCGTTAAAGGAGAGTTTAAGAGCCGCACCTGGAAGAGGAACTGCCGGTTCTTCAAGTACTCCGCCAGAATGTCCAGCATGCGCACCATCTGAGAGAAGATGAGCACCCGGTGGCCTCGCTCTTTCAGGCGGATCAGGAGCTTGTCGAGCAGGATCAGCTTCCCGCTGCTGCGGATCAGGTGCTGCAGGAGAGGAAAGCGGACGAGGGAGCTTGCGTTAAACCTCCGCCACCGTTAATCGTTAACACGGCCACATCCAAAACCACAACCAGGTGTCCACTGCCTGCTCCAAATGCATCACAAGCAAGGGGCGCGAATGAAGCTGCAAGGGTGAAACATCCACAGCACCCTGAATCGGTCATAACACACACTTTCATTCATTTATAGTCACCTTTATGAGAGTAGAAGCAACAAGGTTCAAACCCAAGGCCTGGCTTGTTTTTGAACTGCAAAATGTTTGTCTGCAGAGTTTTTTTAAAATTGAAACCCTATGGTAATTGATTTCTGACCTATATCACATCGTGAGTCTACATCACCTTCTAGAGCCCTCTCTTACCTGTAAGGCCTCTTGTCTGTTATAGAACTCGTTATCCTCTGGTGGTTTAATGAGGTAGCAATGATTACAACACTTTTTCAGCTCCATCATTATATTGAGGAAGCCTGAGGTACTGCCCTTCGTGCCTTTGCTGAGGGCCTTGTAATTTCTGGTCAATATCCACCTGTTTAAAGGAGTAAGAAAAAAAATTGTTAGAATACACAGTGTCCTGATGTTTCCATAAATTTAAACACAACCCCATACTTATGTCTTTAAATAAGCAGTTAAAAAACTATGCATCACAAAAACAATTCAACGCGTTTCCAATCTTTTGTTTCAAAAGCAAATAATGCATTTGACATTCTGTACATCAGTCTCCAGGGTTCCTAATTAGCATTGCAAGAATAATTAGATGAATAAAACCCCACTGTAGCTCTTTCCAACAATTTATAAGCCACTACAAAGAGACAATTATAGTCACATATAAATGATTACACTTATGTGACAATGTTGAAATCTTTAAATGTCCCCAATCAAAAAGTACAGAATGAATGCCTTCTTGTACACACTGGACGGGGTCTTTGCGGTCTCCAACCCACAGAGAGCGTGTCACTTCACTTCAGATGCCTTACTTGTAGTACTGCTTTTGGATTGCACTCATTTCCACTCGCAGTATCTGCTCGACTTTAGCAGGAAGAGACTTCTCCACATCCTTTTTGACACGGCGCAGCAGGAAGGGCTCCAACTCCTTGTGGAGACTCGTGTAGCCCGAGTCCCTGCCTTTGCCATGCTCTTCCTCAAACAGCTCCCAGGAATGAAACCTGTCGAGAGAGAGAGAGCGGGATTTAAAGTACAGAAATACGATCAATACAAATAACAGCAGTCCTAAGCAACATAGAACATCCTTTAAAATCTACTTTTAAATGAGAGAGTCCCCAGAATCTCTTTAAATAACTCCCGAGACAAAAACACTTATCTGACCGCTTCAATTAAAACAAAAGACGTGTGGTCCAAAAAATAAATGGAGATCGTAAAGAAACTTCTAGAAACAAAGAATTCTAGGCCAAGGAATGAAACTGCTGTTAAATAAGAAAGGAAATATACATCATTCACCAGCAAGAGGGTACTGTGCATATCAGCACAAGTGGAAAAAAAAAGTCATAGTAATGTTTTTGAAATATTTTATAAATTCACTTTGGTGACTTTATAACAGTCACTTTGAAAATGTTTTGGCGTTACCGTAGGTGATATGAAATTTTCATTGCCTCCACACATCAACATAGCCGGAACTAACTCAAGTTGACAATTTAATTTGCTTAAATGCATCTTTCCATTTTAAAACTTAATTGTTAGCAAATCTATTGAAATACAGCTAGCAATTTATTTTCAAAAGCAAAACAAATAAAGCAGTGCCTACATAAAATAAAATGATGACTATCAATACAATGTTTTTCAAACAGACGGACTGGCTCATTTACAGATTGTGGTTACCAAGACATTAGGACTAATAATGCTTAAGAAAAGGTTTCCAAGACCAAAAACACTTTCTCAAGTTAATCAACAACCATGAATCCTAACTGAACCTAAAAATATCAAGGCAACACGCAGGCAAGCAAAATAAACAATAGCAAACATAAGAAATAAATGATGGCTGTCTTTAACATGCGCTATCTTATCTTGGAAACCTTCGGCTGTTCCCTCACACCTGCCCAATACAGAGCACACCATGGCTAACTCGGACTCGGCCGTTTCTACCTACTTTTCCGGCATGATGAAATGCAGCAGAGACCAGAGCTCCTTCAGAGAGTTCTGTAAGGGGGTCCCAGTGATGAGAAGCCTGTGATTCGACTTGAAGTCAATCAGAGTCTTGTAAAGAAGGGAATCATCATTCTTCAACCGATGGGCTTCATCAACACCAATGAAGGCCCAGTTCACATTACCCAGGAACGTCTAGGATTAAACGACCACACATTCTTTATGGCATGGGCGAACAATCCTTCCACCAATCACCCAAAACGAATACCTGATACCTCACTCAAACATGTCCGAACAACATGGAGTGGAAACATTTCATGTAACAGTGTCAATGATCACAAAACGAGAAGCTTATTATTTAAGAAATTTTTAATATTTGCACAAAATCTTTAATATTTAAAGGGGAACCGCAACTCTATTTTCATATTGCGGGGTGAGAAAGAATCAGCACTGATGAGTGCATTTCAAACTACAATAAAAGTCAAATGTACACAGTAACTTATAAGACCTCCAACTGACATCACAAAACAGACTATTTCCAGGTATGTGCAGACCAAGTTCTGTGATTCAGAACGAGGCAAAAAAACTTCCTGTGACATGTGCAACCGTAAATTAGTAAGCTTCTGAGTACATCTCCTTAAATCTAACAAGTATTGCTCTTGATTTCAACACGATTTTGCCAACAAATCTACTTGTCTACTCTACATGCAGATAACGCTGGATCAGTTCTGTGGTGAAATGCTTGCTGCACAACCTGTTTTTATTTACTTGTACATCACATTAGTCATTATGGAGACTAGAGGGGAGGAAAGGCCGAATCATGTCGCAATTCGTGGGAAGACTTACGGTTCTTTCACAAAGTTCCCGATTAAAGTGCTCAATTTGAAACTTGTAGTTTTTTCTATAACGTCAATTAATTTGTTACCAAGATTTAATAACCGGTCTGAGAAATCAGGACAGCGGTTCCCCTTTAATGTTAACTGAACAGCAACTGTGGCAAAATTACTCTAAACATCCTTACAAAAACCTGCATTCATCAGGCTTACAGAAACAAAAAAAAAAGTACATTTAAACTTTCAATTTAAATTTAGGAGAGCTTCGTCAAATACATACCTTATCTTTCAGCAAAATTTCATAAGTCGTCAGTAAAATGTTGAACTTTAGTCGCTTGTTTTGTGGATGCATCCATTCATGTGTTCTGATCTGTAAAAAAGAATCCCAGAGCATTTTAACAGAAATACACATCATTGCAATACACCCAACTTAAAAAAACAAAACAAATTTTCCTCCCAAGCAAACTAGAACATAAGAAGAGGAATAGTTATGACTTGTTTCTGAAACTGAATGCTTTTTTAGATTTACATACTTAAACCTAGACATCCATCATGCACGTATCGATCTAGCACACGCATCTAGCTGTGAAGATTCACTGCATGCTCCATTGTTATGATGTTCAAATACAGACAAATGACAGCCCTGTCAAGGTAGTAGACCAAAGCAGTTCAATCTAAAATATAGGGCAAAAATATCCAGCAGCCATATCACTCTGCAACTCACTAGCAACCCACTGAAGCTAAGCACATGTGAGCCTGGTCAGTACCTGGATGGGAGACCTCCTGGGAGAAACTAAGGTTGCTGCTGGAAGAGGTGTTAGTGGGGCCAGCAGGGGGCGCTCACCCTGCAGTCCATGTGGGTCCTAAAACCCCAGTATAGTAAAGGGGACACTGTACTGTAAACAGGCGCCATCCTTCGGATGAGACATAAAACTGAGGTCCCGACTCTCGTCCCAGGGCATTTTTTGAAAAGAGCAGGGGTGTAATAATAATCCCCATCTATGAATTGGCTTCTATACTCTGTTCTCCTCCCCACTGATAGCTGATGTGTGGTGAGCGCTCTGGTGCACTATGGTTGCTGTCGCATCATCCAGGTGGATGCTGCACATTGGTGGTGCTAGGGGGGAGTCCCCGTTACCTGTAAAGTGCTTTGAGTGGATTGTCCAGAAAAGCGCAATATAAGCAATTATTATTATTATTATTATTATTATATACCCTCAACACAACATCCCCAGACATACCATGCCTCTGCTGTTGATGTCTCCCAGGTAAACAACAATGTTCATCTGGGGAGCCCACAGCTGAATCTCTCTCTGCCAGGACGTGAGAGTAGAAAGGGGTACCACCAACAAGAATGGGCCATACAACTGATGATCATTAAACATATAGTTGAGAAAGCAAATAGTTTGTATGGTTTTTCCAAGACCCATTTCATCAGCAAGGATGCAGCTGTTTCCCCTGGTAAAGAGAAAAAGATTCAGCAAGAGAAAGGGTTCAATATGGCTGATGACAGCAGAGGTAACAAAACCAAACACCTCTAAGAAGCGAATGGAGAGTGATAAGAAGTCAAGCATCAACAAAACCACTTGAGGAACCTTAAAGAAAAAAGGTAACGGAGAAAAACTCACTTGCACCAGGAATGTGCCATCCAGTTCAAGCTATCCAACTGATAATCTCTGAGCTCTAGTCCGTCCCCCCCAATATAGGGGGGCTGCTTCTTCATGGGAACAAACCTAGGTCTCTGTTTTAACACCTGCAGGACAAATTAACAACAAACGCACTTTTGTAGGAGCAATACTTCCGGCAGTATTCGACAAGCCATTTTCAATTCAACTCCTGCCTTACAGTGTCTGAAGACACCCCTCAATGAGGACTGCCACTGAGTAATAAATGCCATCATTACTTGATCTGTCAAACTTGTGGCTCAAAAAACCCACAAAATGTTGAGAATATGTGCATGCAAGTGATGAAGATGTTACAGGGTTATCCTTCTCAGAATAAAAAGAAGAAAAGCACACTACACATTGGCATCAATGGGGTATAGCTTAAAAGGGACAGTAAAAGTACTGCTCATTTCCTGACTCAGCAGCAAGGTCAGTCACTGCCTGGAGCTGTGCTGGAATAAGACTTCAACACAGTATTTGCTTAAATCCATCATAACGACTAGTATCCGGGCTAAAAAAGAAACAAGTTCAAATTTGATGCTATAAGATCATATCAGTTCGCAAAACCAGAAACCAAAGAAATTTGATAGTATGAAAATAGGTTATACAAAAGGTTCCACGCAGATAATATGAAACTTATAGGACAGAATCATAAGTCTCAACCCCAGACTTGTTTAGCTAGAGTTATGCAAATAAATATTTCAATCACAGGAGAGATTAGGATCGCTATGGTCAAAACTCTAAAATGAATAGAAAATAGATGGGGATTGTTACGTTAAATTAAAATGAAATACAGAACATGTTATTTTTCTTAACCTCACCTTGCAGTCTCTGAAGGGAATAGTCTTGGATTGGTTTCTGCTCATATAATCATCAATGCACTTCTGAAATTTCCTGGAGATGAGGGCCCCATCCTCCCAGCTGCACTCGGAATATGAAAGACCCTGCCACTTGCACAAATAGTCCGGGTAACCAGCTGCCGACTTCTGATTAGAATGAGCTGCCAAAGAAAGAATTATGGATTTCAGGACCCACAGGGGAAAAAAGCTATAAAAAGCTTTTATAATAGCTATTAAAGGTCTCCATACTAAAAAAACATTTGTAGACCTAAAGGGTGTTTTCAGACTGTTAGCTGGATAAGTGCAAGGGAAATCACTGTTTGCCTTCTAACGAAAGTGACTGTCCACAATGAACAGACACATCCCCAATACAAATACCAATCATTTATAATCATCCAAAACAGTACAACTGGACTAACCTTTTAAAAAAATTGTTAATTTGTTCAATACTAACTTTTATTACATTTCATCTCAGAAATACCACAGATTCAAACTGCAATTCTGACATTTTTTTAAATTTAGATGTGAAAGATGAATTCTTTAGCTTGTTCATCAGCTCAAGTTCACCTAATGTACTTAATCTACATTCTGAACATAATTTATTTTTGCCTTTTTTTTAGGTCTTCTTAAAATCCTGCAGCCTCTGAGCAGTGAGGAAAGAAAATAACGCTTGACTTGCTTTCTAGGACTGAATCAGTTTAAGTAGCACTTAATTTTTGCATTGGTTTACAGGGTCTATAAAAAGCTTCAGGAGCCTTTGTTAAAACCAGCTGTCAGTGAAGATTCCTGGGGATGGCTTTCACATGCACAGAAAAACCTACAACAATGTACACTGAACCTATGGTCACTCCCTCAGCCAGCGGTTCTGCAAAAAAAAAACACTGATGTATTTTTAGTGGCGGGTGTTCATTAAGGACAGGCTGGGCATGGACCCACCAGACAGAAAGAGAAGGAAGAGGAAAAAACATACACAGAAATGAGCATGTGTAAACTGCGCAACCAGTAATTTGTTTTATATCCGATGCTACAGCTCAGCAAAGTGCAGATGGCAGAAGGCAGAGATCAACACTAGCAAGCACTGTTAACTACGACTTAACAATGGTATCATGGGAGATATGCCTCTCTGTATTTCCTAATTTACAGGGATGCTGGACAAAAAAGGACATTGGTACATAAACTGCCATGCCCTTTCTATGAAAACCTAGGAGCCCGATCAACTCGGCTCCCTAAATCTGTCCATACTGGGACCAACAGCATTTGTTGCCATTTTAATGCCTTTCAGTATACTATTTTAAACAAAAGCAAAATAATGCTTTCATAACAAAAAACAAAGAAGGATGTCATGCTGTGAGGCTCTTTTTAACTCTTCAGTCACATAGCAACTGGTGTACAGTTAAATTCCACAACACCCAAACGGACAGTGGAATTTGTTAGAGATGAACTTTCTTCGCTTGACCACTTGTGCCAAAATATTTTGGCAGAATAATACTCACCTATTATTCTTTCCACGATCCGATACTGTGAATACAGGTCATCCATCAATTCCTGTTGACAATTGTAATATTCTACGTCTTCAGGAGATGCCGATTTTAACCTAAATATAAACCGGCAAAAAAGATGGAACGTACCCTTGAGACAAAGTTTAAAAAAAGGCAAGATCTTGTCCGGAACATACAAGATATCATGTGTCTCCATATTCTTACTGTCAGACTCAGCCCTTCCAAGAGATCAATTAAAACAATCCAGTGAAGTCCCATTTTGCTTCATTTAATATGGTCCATTCAAATACAGATAGAATCCCCCTGAAAATGTGTTTCAACCCAAGCATTATGGGTTTTGAGTTAAATTCAGACCGCACTTACTATAAAGAACAATACAATGCAAACAGCCCTTTCCTTCCCACGATGGTAAGAGCAAGACATCAGTAAAAGTCAGTCTAAAGACACAACGCACACTGTTTTGGTCAGAAATACAAATATGACCGCAATGAAAACGTCAGATGGTGGAAGGGTGTTCGGCAGAAGGAGCACACAGCTTACAGTCCCATCAAATTTCCCATTTGGCCTTACCAATCATGGCCTCCTAATAATCCCCATCTATGAACTGGCTTCATTACTCTGCTCTCCTCCCCACTGACAGCTGATGTGTGGTGAGCGTTCTGGTGCACTATAGCTGCCGTCGCATCATCCAGGTGGATGCTGCACATCGGTGGTGGTGGATTATGAATTATCTTACCATCGCTTTATGTCCTGTTCTTTTTTCTTGAAGTTGTCCAGTTTTTTCATGCCTTTCACATTCTGCTGTTTGAGTGTTTCTTCCGTCTCCCAGGTGTTGTGAATGTGAGACCATCCTTTCCATTTAATCAAATACTGCTGCTCCCCGGCCTCCTTGTTTGGGTTGAAGTTAGTGTTGGGATCCCCATCTGTCTCCACCGCATACACAGTTGTGGCAGCACCAGTAGCTTAAAGAGAGAAAAAAGGGGATTGCTTTTCAATGGCAGGCAATTTGAACAGACCTTGCATTTGCTAAACATCTGAGTTTAGATCTCTTAGTCACTCTGTTGGGGGGAGGGGGAGATAACAGACCACATGCAAACAAAAATGTTTGACTTAGTGTAAGATGTTGCATTAAAATAAAATCAGTGCAGTATTTTGTCAAACTGATGCTAGTCAATGTCATGTTGATTTTATCGATTTAAGTGAAAACCATCTAGAAGATGTTTGGCTCTACTTCATTTTTACTTAAGAACATTTAATACTATGTTTCCATTTTATGGGCAAATTGCGATCTGTAACCATAATCCTAAAAATCCATGGTGCCTTCATGGTGTTTATTCCAGATGAATTTCTTAAAACAGAATTTAACCAAGTTAACCTAAATTGAACAGATCACTACTGCTATCTGTAAAACCTAGGATACAACAATCAAGCTATTTTGTGGTTGACTGCAAATATCTGACCTTTAATAAGAATATTAACACTTACTCAGGAATAAACATCATGTAAATGACCTCCCAAGATTTTAAATGTTTCATTTTTTAATTAGTTTAGAATCATTTACGTTTTAGTGTTGGGAAAAATTTGATGTTTATCTGCCCGTGAACATAAGAAATTGTACCTTTTGTTCTGAAGAAGTAACCATTTTTAAAGTTACTTTTCTACCTATATAATCCACGCTCAGATTTTTCTTGTAGGAAGGGCTCATGCAGAAGAAGGAATACAATACGATGTGCTGTGTGTGGTTACAGTGTGTGGCAGTGCAGCGACACCAGGGAGAGTAGCCCCAAGTACAGACAGCAGATCCAGCACACCGAACCGTGGAGCGAGTTGCTAAGACATTCACACTAATGAATTTCAGATTGAGCAGAATCACAGCCAACGGAGAGATATCGGACACAAGGGTCAACACGCTGGCCAAGAACGGAACAAGAAATGCTTACCTCCTTTCCTCCCTATTCTCATTTCCATCACTTTTTCTAAAGTTTCAAACTCATCTTCCTCAGGCTGCGGAACGTCCTCCCCGCACACTTCGACTAGGTCGTCCGAATCGGTCTTCATTTCGTCGTCTTCCTTATAGCTCACGTTCACAGTAGCCTGCCGCCGCGGCCCCTTCTTGTCGTAATCATCTTCATCCGAAGACGACCCTCCTGGTTTCTTCTTCAGAGCTTTGCCTTTCTTACCATTTCTTGCATTAGTCCTAAGAAGGGAAACCATCTACATTTAAAAAAGCGCAAGAAACGGAGGTTCATATCGGGCTCCGAGTGTAAATGTACCAAATGGAGCTAACCGTTACTTTCGCAGCGAGAGAAAACGAAACTTTCTAACTTCTAACAAAAGCAGAAAGAAAAAATAAAATATTCTTCGACAACATTTTACAAGGCAAAAAGCAAAGTTTGTACCTGTTTGGAGGCTTCCTGCTTTTGATTTTGTGACTTGGCTCATAGTCAGACACACTCTCATCACTGTTTTCACCTTCTTCTGAAGAGTCAGAACCAGAATCTGAACCGGAGCCCGATCCAGACCCGGACCCTGACCTGGAACCAGACACAGAGCCAGACATTTGCCAGTCCTCACTAAAAATAAAATTAATTTAAACAAGTTTAAAAAAAAAAACACTTGATAACAATACAACATAAAATACATTCAAATGTTAAAATCCTCAGAACAGGACTGATATAAAAAAAGAACCACTCCTATGTGATTACAACTCAGAATCATGAATACATAAATTGGCATATACTGCTCTGAATTAAGGAACAGCAGTGTACAGGGCAAGGTTTAACAGCTTTTTACCATCTGACACCTACAGACCTGACAAAAACATTAAATTGATATCTTCATAGGAAAGCAACACTGTTTATCATAAAGCAAACCTTCTCATTCTCCTTGATACTCAAAAATAGCGATTTATTTTTACGAAAGAGAGAGAATGCATGGATTGCAGATTCAGCTTTATCAAGATGGTTTTCACATTGCCCAGCCTATTCAAATATAGTTTTGTTAGGGTCATACTACACATCTTCTATTCAACAGATGAAAGGGTATAAACATAGCATGTATCCATTACAAATATGGGTCATTAGACAAGCAACAACTGACCCCGCCCATTCAAAAAGTACAATTAGTCTTATCTCTTGTTTTACTACACAGCACAATATATATGGTATGTGGTCTTTCATCTATTCCTTAAAAATTCATACTTTTGAAGTTATTGTGCCAAAGCACCAAAATGTGCTTGCCTGCTTTTTGGATTGGATGATTTATTTTCTGATCTCTCCTCATTGTAATATGCATCATATATGAAAGGTTTGCTCTGTTCTCTAAACACTACAAGGGTAATGCACTGTAAAGTTTTAACCTTCAAACCCACAATTTTCACGATTTATAGCACAGCAACTACCTATATGCAGTATTCTACATTAAAAATGGCTTCCATGTTTAATAAGTGTCACTATCACTGACGCACATCTGTTTTCTCCCCAAATACACAGTGTTTATTGACAGTGTCAGGCTGTATAATCTGCATTCACTGGGTCTGGTGTATGACATGTATTAGTGTATCCTGTGCCTTGAAATATTTAAATTAACTTACTCTTTACGCTTTTTTTTCCTCTTAGCCTGGCTTGAGGAGTCATCGTCTGATTCGTCACTACTAGATGAATCCTATCACAGAAAAAACATGACCTCTTCAGTAAGAAATTGAAGCTTAAAAAAAAATTGCACTTTTACAGTTTCAACAAGTCAACACAAACAGCACATTTCCTTCGATAAAGATGGTTTTTCAGACAATTTAATTAATATTTTCTACTTTTCAGTTTTAGTCATTTCAATTTTTGGGGGATTTCCGACTCTGACTTCAACTCTCACTCATCAGCAAGTTGTCTTGCTTGAAGCCTTGAAAATGTCCTGCAGTGATGCGCAAATGAAAAAAGAATGTCTCATTTTCTGACCATTATTTTCCGTGTCTGTCCTTAACTCAGATTACAAGCTAATGTCTGAAAACTGTATTTAGATTGAATACAATCTGATTTCTGCATTGTAGTTAGATATTCCATACAGGACTAAGCTAGAACAGTACCTCTCTCTGGGAAAGGAGTTAAATATCACGCCTACACAGCCAGCACAGTGACCTCACAAAATTCTCCATGCCTTGAAAGGATGGTACTGTGATAACGGCCTGCGTGCTTTTATGTGTGAAAAAATGAATACCTCATCTAATGTGTAAAGTGTCTAAAAACGCCTGGCTATACTACTTATTTTATTGCATTATATGATATCCGTTGAACAGAATATGATGGACAAGCTTAAACACGGTCTTTTAATATCAACACAGTTAAGAACAGAATTATAGAATACAAATATCTCACAGCTGAGCTACTATACAGAAACTTTTCATCGGTGCAGACACTGAACAGGGAAAAAAACAGCCTCCACAAACCAGAGGCTATTTTCAACAAGGTAATGGGGTCAAATAAGAAAGATCAGCAAAATCATGTTTTATGGAGGTCTATAATCAAAGTTTTGGAACTGCACAGTTAATGAATGCATTAAATAACTTTTACAACAGGAGACTAAATTATACAAAAAACAGAATAAGACATCCAGCTCGACATACATACTGTATGCTTCTCCTATAACAAAACCTAAATCCTAAATTTAATTTTGATCTGAATAGCAATTTGAGCATATGTGGCATAAAAGTTTAGTTTAAAAATGTACATCAATCCTTCCGCATTTTCCAATACAAGTTCCCCTAAAACAAAAACAAAAATCGAGGTCTTTTTCCCTCAGAATACTCACACTCAATGTAAAGGTTATATAACAGAATAATAATAGAAATTAATGCAGGCATTGCATACATACATATTAACTTACATAAAACTGTAGACAATCACGTCCTAGACTAAATCACTTTCATTAGTAAACCAGACAATACGAGTATGCATCACAGGCCTAAGACTGGGTGATCTGTATTTTGTCATGAAGAACACACGTTATTATATGGACATCCAAATCATAAAACAGGTCAAAGCTCCTGATCCACAATCACTTCAGGAAGGCTGATTACCACATCTCCCATGATGACTATATCCCAGCCCAGAGGCCTAGACAGTAAGATATTGCTAAATGTCTTTAGCATTAAAATTGCAGAATTTAAGTTTGGTTTTGCAGTTTTGCAAGGCCTTTCTTTTGTAGCTTTTCGGGAGTTTCAAACAAAATCATGCACACACAGAAATGTCTTTCTATATTAAACCTAAACTGGCATCAGACTGTCTCCTTTACGTCCTTTAAGAAAGTCTTTGAGCTGTATTTCTTGGCTGAAAATGCATTCCTACCCTACCTCAATGGTTAAAACTGGACTGTCCAAAGAAGGGTGGAGGTTCCCCTCCCCCACTTTGGTAGATCTACAGAAAGACCTACATACCGTGGCTATGAAAAGTACTCACCCCACATGGACTTCTACTGAATTGAAAATATAGAATCAGAACGTATTTAATTGGGATCCTTTGCCATCGACACAAAACAAAGTGGGGGAAAAAAGAATTCTACAGATCCTTGAAAATTAATTATCAATATAAAACAGAACAGACTGCACAAATATTCACCCTCCTCAATCAGTACTTGGCAGAGGCACCTTTGGCAGAAGTTACAGCCATGAGTCTCTGCTAGTTTTGCAGTGGCGTGATGGACATGTTTCCACATAAAATGTGAAAATGATGCCACCCTCATCTGGATAAGGTTAAACAATTGTTTTATTGTTCCATATTTACAAAAAAAATTGAATGTTTTGGTACAAGACAGGATCCTCCTCAGATCTGATTTCCTTCAGAAGACATCAGTGCCCTTTTGTTCCGTACTGGTGTGGGGCTGAATCTCATTCTGACACTTGTAAGCACCTGTAAAATGCTGGGTTATTCTGTCACTGCCATGCAATCCCCTTTGGCTTACCTCTTCTGATCCACTGTTGGATGAGCTTTGCTGCTGCTGTTGCTGCTGCTGCTGCTGCTGAAGCTGCTGTTTCCTGAGCATGGCCGACTGCTGCACAGCCAGAATACTAGGGTTGGACTTCCAGAACTTGCATGGGATGACGGAGGAGACGGAAGCAGGGGGGGAAAGAAGAAAACAACGACAACGTCTAAACAAAAGCAACAAGACACAGACTGGTTTTATAAGGTCATTTGTCCGCCTTTGTTTCCATAGAAACAACAGAGCTCATTCTATATTTGCACCCATAAAAATAATTAAATTATGGCTGAGTGTAAAGAATGGCATTATGATGTACTGGATAGTATGGAATATTTCTACAGACAAGGAAACAATCTCAGCTCACACAAATGTCTGCTGCTCACTACCATAAGCACGTTAGCATTAAGGCCGTCCGGAAATGAACACCTTCGCTTATGGAGACTAAGAAGGGCAGAAATAGTTTAAAGAAAGACTCTATTACCTGTATTGAGGAAAACGACACATCAAGCAAATCACGGTTCGAGAGCCACATGCTTAAGCGATCACCGGACCAAATTAAGAATTTAACTTGGTGTTTGGATACCATGGCGTCTCGTCCCTTACCTCTGCCCCGTCAATTTTTTGGGTTTTGTTTTCCGGCTGGCTCTTCTCCTTGGACTCCTCGGACTCCGATTCCGACTGGCTGCCCGAGTCCGAGCCGCTGCCCGAGTCGCTGCTCCCCGACTGGCTGCTGCTGCCATCGCTGCTGC